AACCTCAGTTGTTGTTTTTTTTTTTTACATTGGCGCGAGTTTTACAACTTTCTTGTGGTTTGGCATTGACTCAGAGTTGGGCTTATTTTTATGGCTAATCCATCGGCAACTTTCTCATGATTTTCTTGGGTTCTCAACAGTGACACGCACTTTGGAACCATAATTTTATAAATATGTCAACACGGCAAATACTGCTAAAATCTACACTCTACTAAACTCCATGTACCACAATATCCACACAACTGCGTGTGCCTACTTGAAAATCCTAACCCTAACCCTAAAACTATCCAGTTAGCCTAGTATTGTATTGCTGGTTTGAGTGACTAAACTGGCTCAAATGATCCAGCTGCTTAAAAATCTAAGCACAGAGTAAGTTTAAAAGATTCAATTTTGTAAGGTTTCGAAACAGTTCCAAAATTAACATGCACATAGCTCAGTGTAAAACATCGAAGCTTCTAGGACTTCTTATGATTCCTACGAACATACACACCTAATGCACGTCAATTTGCCTTTGTTGTCCTCGAACGATCACGTCTTTATGGTAACGTGGTGTAAGAACTGTACAGCACTTTATATATATATGTTTTACTTGACGGTAAAAGTTTGAATCCGTACAAGGAAACGTAACGGAAACAGGCGACGATAATATTCCGTTGACAGTCATATTTCCGTTCAGGAATCATAACGGAAACATAACAGGTCCAAGGAAGAAGTGAATGATGTGGAAACATAGAGTTTCATTTTTCCGAATTACGGAATCATGCTATTTCGTCCTGTGCTCACTCTAACTCTGTGCTATCCTAAACCTAACCCAAACCCCAAACCAATCCTAAGCTATGGTAAAGGGTTTAAGTCAGGGTTGAGGATAGGGTTAGGGCAGGAGCCCATTACCTGGTTAGGGTTAGAGTTTGGGTTGCTTCGGGTCAGAGGGGTTTAGTGTTACAATCAGGGTTAGGGCTAGGGTAAAATTATGCTTAGGATTAGCGGGGTTTAGTGTTAGAATTAGATTTCAGTAACTACTTGAAAATTTACTGAAAAACAAACGATAGGCCGACTGGTACACTTACAGGATAGATAGAGAAGGTTGGGGTTAGGGTTAGGTCTAGGTTAAGGGCTAGAGGTTAGGGTTTAGGGTTTAGGGTTTAGGGTTAGGTTTTAGGGTTATGGTGTGGGGCTAGGGTTAGGGTTAGGGTTTAGGCTTAGTGTTAGGGTTAGAGGGTCTGCGGTTGAGGTTAGGGCTAGGGTGAAGGTTTGGGGTTAGGGTTTGGGGGTAGGGTTAGTGTTTAGGGTAAGGGTGTAAGCCTCTTCAAAAATATTTTTAAGAAGATTTTGTCACCTTTTTCACTTAAATAACCACCTGAAGAATTTTGACCAGTTAGATTATTTGAAGCGGTTGGATTAATTTTGATTGGGGTTTAATAACTTTTAGTAGTTGGATGATTATTTTTACCAGTTGAACCACTGTAATATGCTGGATCTTTTTAACTAATGTTACCATCCTTACCTGAATTATTTGAACCAATTTCACTGGTTACACATGCATTATCCAGTTAGATCATTTCAACTGGTTGGATTATTTAAACCAGTTTGTCCATTTTAGATATTGGCATCATTTTATCAAGTTGGATCATGTTAACCAGTCGCACCATTTTACTAAGTGAGATCGTTTCTTCCGATTGGACCATGTCACGTAATTAAAATCTTTTCACCGTTTAAACCATTTTATCTTGTTTTGGCTGGTTGGACCATGTTAACCAGTTGCATCATTTTGACTGCAGTGAAAAGTTCCGTTCTTAACCCGAGCCCTAACCCTAACCCGGGGTTAGGGTTAGGGTTAGGATAGCTCGCAGCTAGAGTTAGGGCTTGGGTAGGGTGGGATTATGATTAGGCTGAGGGTCACAATTTTTTCTGAAAACATCCAATTTTTTTTTGGTATTGTGTTTGGCTCTAAACTTTAACAACTACTTGAAAGTTTGCTTGAAATCAAAATATACCATTTTTTTTGCCAAAATAACTGCCAAAATGCGCAATTCGGGCCTTTTTATCAATTTACACTTGGTTTAAGCTTGGTTTTTGTGTTTTCCCACAGACTCTTAAACTATTTTGCTGAGAACATTTTTTGCAGCGTTTTTAAAACTGAAATAAGCTTATTTTTGCAAAAAAAACAAACGTGTTTTTCAGTCGAATTTAGTGTTTTTGTCAACTTTAGCGAAAAATTTTGCAAAAATCGTACATTTCTGCCGTATTTTGGAGTTTTTAGACAGATTTCGTCGCGATCTTGTGAAAAACATGTAGTTTCAAGCTAGTTTTCAGTGTTTTGGCAGTTATCTTGGCAAAAAATGGGTAAGTCAGCGCAATTGTTTTTTTTTTTGGTTTTTAAGGTTTTGTTTGCCCAAATTTTACTGAGAACACTGTGTGTTAGCTTGTCTCCATTGTTTTTTCGCAGATTCTATCGCTGTTTTGCTGAAAACATAACGTTTAAGCTTGTTTGCATCGTTTTTGGTCGTGAAATAAGCTAATTTTTGCAAAAGGAAAAAAAACGTGTTTTTCAGCCCAAATTGACATAAAGGATACAGAAGAACATTTGCTTATTGCCTTTTTTTTTGTCCTTACTCATGAAGTTGATTTTGGCATTTCAAACAAAAACTCTGCTAGAGCATTAATTGAATGACATATCATGCACTTACTTTGAAGCAAGAACACTTTTTTTTTAATTCAGAAAAATACCTTTTTATTTTTTTTAAGGACTGCTGGATATAACCTGTACAACCAAGATGAATTTACATTCATTATTTGTCATAACTTACACTAAATTAGAAATTCAAGTATGAAATGAGGGTACTAGCCCTTTAATAGTGTTCAAAATTTCCATATGCAGGGGTACTTGTGGCTACTGGAGAAGAATCAGTCTTTAACCCTTCACCCCCCCCCCCCCAAGGGAGATAATAAGTACAGATATCCTCTTCCCTAGGGGCAACTAGCTCAAAAGTGAGTGATCTCAAGGGCCCTCCAAAAACGTTTTCTACAGCAATAACTAAGCTCTACAGAAGCACACTATGCAGACAAAAGGTGTAAGAGAATCAATGAATTCTTTAATTCTTGGTCCCTCCCAGGCCAACCTATTGTACAAATCTCATGACATCTGTTCCAGTTTCATCAGTCAATTTTTCAAGCTTCAAGCTTTTCCTGCAATTATGTACTTGTTCTTGAAGCTGAAAATTAACAAGGTTCCTGTAAATTAAGTTTACATAACAACCTAACAATTTGTGAAAATCACACAAATCCCAAGCTATATCCAGAATTATGCTCTTAATAAAATAAACTTTTAAAGCAAATTGGGATTTTGCCCTAGTTCTTTTTATTTTTTTTGTTACTTTTTAAATACATTTGTATAAATAATGCTCCCCTAACTCTCCCCAAAACTTTTAGAACAGATGCAAACTCTTAAGAATGATCAAGCTTTACCTTATTATTAAAAATTTTTACATCTTAGACTACCAAGTTATCACAGAGGTTTTTTTCGGTACTTTGACCTGTTTAACACCTAAAAAGAAGAACACATACATAACACACACAATCAGCCAGGTCAAAATGTGCTGCAGCCAACAATTTGGCCACCTACAATGAAATAGCTGCCAATTTCACACATGTCAGACTTCTATTCAGGACAAGATTTGGCCTCTGCTGCCTATTACTATTGCCAGCTTGCCTGCCACTCAAAATTTCAACTGAGATTGTACATACATACATGTGGGATTAGGTTACATGAGCGAACCTGCACTATTGAAATAGGTCAATGAATTATAACTCAAAGAAACATTGATAAATAAAATAAATCAATAGAAATGACAAAAATCAAACTAACAGCAGACAGCACTTTTTTGGCCTTCGGGGCCTGATCAGTGCAGTGATCTTCAACTAAGTGCTTAATTTGGACATAAAACCAAAACTTGTTATGGTTAAATATTATATTTTTCTTTCAATATTCCCATTCCAGCTGATGTATATTATTTGAATAACAAATCTTATTAGCATGTTAAAATCACCTGAGGACAAGGCATACACTTTGTGCCAAAATTGCTTTGCATCAAGTACGTTATCTAGTACATCATTACCATCTTCAGGTATTTCTAATTTACTCTTGAAAATCACACAAATCATAAGCTATATACAGCATAAAACTGGCAGCAAATTATTAAAAAGGAATGCAGTAATCTTTAATAATAAGATTACTTAGTAGCTAAATAACAAATAGCCTAGTCAAAATGTGCCGGTAACCAGGGATTTGGCTGTCCACACAGAACATTTGTTAGGCGTGTAGTCTGGACAAGGTTTGGTCTCTACCTTCTGTTACTATAGCCAGCTTGCCTACTTCTAAAAAACGTTTTGACTAAGCTGAAAAAAATGTTTGAGAGAAAAATGGCCACAACAAGCCCACTTACTGCAAAATAAGAAACATAAAAGTAACACTTCAAATTAATACAGAATATAAGCCTTGCAGGATTTGGCTCTCAATAAAATTAGCTAAAATAGCCGATCTTTAGTTTAACTACTCACTCAAAATGGGCTGAGAGCCTGCAATTTGGCCACCTATGATGAAGTATCTTCCACTGACTTCACACCTTTCAGACTGCTTTTCAGGATGAGGTTTGGCCTCTGCTGCCTATAATTACAACAGCCAGCTTGTCTACTACTAAAGAACATTTTGACTGGGCTGTGCAAGTGTTACTAGCATATAAAAAGCACCTTCAGGTAGATTACAGCAAAGCAGACTTTGTACCAAAACACTTTGCATTAAGTACATCATTACCCTCTACAGGTATTTCTAGTTTACATGTGAAAATCCCACAAATCTCAAGGTATATTACATCATACATGTTGACAAAGCAATCAGGGGTAAATTTTTCATAATAGGATGCAATGGTCTTCAGTATCAAGATTATTTGGTACCTAAATAGTAAAATGTTCGAGAGAAGAAATAATCATAAACATCTTTTCTTTCTCATCAGCATCGACTTCCAAAAGTAATGGATAATGACCACCTAAAACAAAGAAGAAATAAATCAAATTTGTGATTTCACAGGGCTTCAATACGAAACAACTATACATATCTTTTATTTCCTACCACTTACAAGTGGTAGGAATGGCTGAAATGGCCTTCACGTGAACACAACAGAATCCTATGCGTGTATAACCATGTAGAACTATTTATTCGGTATCGAAATTACATCCCAAATGTCATGATATTTGACTGAAACTCAGCTTACCCATCTTTCGTTTAGACTTCGAAACTTGCTGCTTTTTACCACCGTTTCAATGTTTTCTTGTTGTTCAAAAGGTGGTAGGGCCATTGCAGACCGTGATTTTTTTTTTACTTGAGAACCAGATCACAACACCCAAGCCTTTTCACGCTAAATATTAAACTACTGAGATTACCTTCGCCGCCGTAAGCCGCCATTTTATCTTTCCCTGAATACTAGTTCCCAAGCTTCGAGCCCGAAGGTCTCAGACATGCACTGAAATTATGATATTCGTTATTTCAGGGCCAATTTAGAAATAACGGTAATCGTTATTTTGGTGTCGAGATCATGCTGATCACAACTGAACGCACATTTACCCCTTTCCTCCGCCATCTTGAATGTTGTAAGACAGTAGAACCGAGTCCTTCTCTTTATTTAACACGTGTAAAGAGCATTGGTAAAGAGTGCCACGAAATTACTATATCCATAAATTTGGTGCCAATTTAGAAATAACGATAATCGTTATTTCGGTCTCGAGATCATGTTGGAGCTACGAAGCCGTACGTTGGGGACACGAATTTTAGGCCTAGAAAGTATTTTTAATTGATTAGGTTTCAAAACTCTAATTTGCTTCATCATTTTTCAGGTGTCTTCATTGTCCTGTTGCTGCTTGTGGGTTATTTGATCTTTGGCGTTATCGCTTTGGCATGTTTATTGCTGTATTGTCTTTGCGAGTGCATCTGCTCAGCTAGAGATAACTGAGAAATCTACGAAGATGAATTTAAATTGAATCAATATTCCATTATCTATAGCGTTTTCACTAAATGCTTTAAAAAATAACTTAAATAGTTTGGGTTTTCATTTCTTCGAATTTGGCACTCTTGAGCAGATTTACTTCGGGTCATTCAGATTAAGGTGGTGATCAAGTGCTAAACTGTTCCATGCTTCATCAAAAAATTACCTCAGTTTCTTACTCAACCTCCAACAAAGCTGTTTTCATATTCAGTACAAAGCTAAGAAATGAACTTAATTCGTACAGCGTTATACATGGTTGTTAGAACAGCAATGCTATTACATAGTTTAGTATATGAGCGAATGTTTTCCGGTAAGCTTGAAGAATTATTTGAATAAAGTTTCTTAAAGTAAAATTACGCTCACTTCATGACGTCATAGTGATGCCCCCATCGTCGTTACTGATTGGCTGGAACCAACCAAGGTCCTTCTTTTCCCGAAATACACAAAGTTCAAGTTGTTTGTCAGTGGAGTGTAGTCACACTTTAACGATTCGACTTGGAAATGAATAGCAACCTGCAAGCCGTAGTGGCAAAACTAAGGTACAGCATGTCATTATCGATGAAATTCCATTGGAAAACAAGACAGAAGTTGTTGCTACAGAGCAAAGATTAGTTAAACTTATCATACTGAACATTTTCATAGCTTTACTCTCATGAGTTTTCCAGCGCAGGTACAAATGTAGATCTGTTTACGGGGATGAGATCTAATCTACTGTTCAACCTTTGTAAATGAAAGGAGAGTTGTTTAAGTCTGTAAGCGAATTCAATGGTTCATTGGGAGTCAGTGTAGATGACTTCATAACCAGGCCATAATGAAGCGGAAATAATTCTGAGTTCTGACTCATTTCGATGATTTCTGCTCTCGACCTCTTGGTAAGCTTGCTTATAACCGAAAGTTCACCCCATCTTCCACTTCTCTTTCTCCTTGCCTGAATATCATTACGTGAGAAGAAATTTTCATAAAACTGGAATGGGTGTTATACTTATTTCTTCTTGTAGAAGAAACTTTGCTTTATTCAAATCAATTATGTTGGTCTTTACACTGTAATGATTCAGCAAAAATATCTCAGTACTTTTTTCCTGATACTTCGATATTTTGTGTGGAAAAGAAAAACATTTTTCTATTTTGGCCAGGACATCTCCCCCACTATCTCCTCCAGGGGTGGTTGTAGTAGATTCTCGACCACCATCAAATGACAGCTGCGCTGAATTTTGTTTCAAGCATGAAACCAGGTACAGCTGGTACGACTTACGGGGGAAAGCTAGGCATTCAGATGCTTTCAGAGCCTCACTTGTCAGGGCTCACTTTAGCTTACAATCAAGCAATCGGAGTTGTCTAGTCAAATCATACCTTGGTCAAATTGAAGTTATTTATTTACGTGTACTTATCAATCCCCCATCGTATTTCTTTATTTATTCATTTGTTTGATTACTTATCTTGGCTGTCGAACGGTATTGAATCAGCGCCCTGCAGTTCTTCGATTTGAACAGCTAATTTACGGATAAGAAAAAAAAACTAAAACCTAGGGAATGAAATTTTGGGAAGAGAGATCTGTGCACATCGAATTAAACGCGGCGAAGTCCCAATAAAAAAGCGATTCTCTTAGTTTTTCCTAATAAAAAGCAGTCAACAAGCAAAGATTCCTGTTGTCGTTGGTTTGTGTTAGACGTCCTATTGTTGTAAGAAAATCGAACAGATACGATTTCACGTTCGGCAAGCCGCATTTACCCAAAATGGAACTAGCTACTCTGAACCCACTTTGCCTTTGCTAAGTCACACTGGAAAAAAAAAAGGACTTCAAGTATTTGGATTTCCCCTGCAATTAAAGATTGTGGCCGACACTTCCAACAATTCCTGTTAGGTTGGCACGTAGGATCTATTGTTAAAGGTTTCAAGCTGAATAGAAAACATAATCAGTTGATCAGTTAAAAAGTCTCTATATGTGATTAGTTTCATCGTTTTTCAGGTACATGCTTTTTCATGTTGCTTCTAGTGGGTTATGTGATTTTTGGAGTTGTCATTTTGGCATTATAGCTGTTAGCCTGTTTTCTGGAAGATGGGGGATTGATTGAATAATACAGCTGACTGAAAAGAACATAAAATTCATGCTTTGGGAATGATTCGGGGGTTGCATCAGAGTCACTGACACTAGTCAGTGTTCGTAGTACACAACAGCTGCTACTGGTATATCAATCGATGATATACCAATACAGAAAATACGTGATTGCAGCAAGTATGGACAAGAATATCACCAAAAATGGAAAATGGAACAGGAAAAGGCAGCACAAACCTGAAAAAAAGGAATTTTTAAACTTATGATCCAGTTGCAACAGTATAATCTCAAGGTTATTATGACTATGCATTACAGTTTTCTTAAATATGATTGGTGGATGAACTGATTTATTTTTCACTAGTAATTCTGTAGAGTTGTAATCGAACAGTGTCATCGGACAGTTGGATGTGATCGGAAACCTTTAATGGGACAGTTATGTCAGCCAATCACATTGAGTATACTTAAATAAATTCACCAATCAAAGAACTGACCACAGTAGCCATAGCAACGGCCCACCATCCCAAGCCAGGCCAGGGATGTTACAATATAGAAAGCTGTTTTCTCGAGTTTTCAGAATGTTTTTCTCAATGACTGTTATAATTAAATGTTTGAAGATTGGAATTACACGCCCTTATATAAATGAATATATATTTTTTGGAAATTGTAATAGTTGTTATCAATTGGTAAAATGAATTCGTGTCGTCCAATTGGCCAGTAATCATGCTTGTAATTAACAAATCGGCCTCCAAATTCAGGTTTATTCGATTTGGTTGATCACTCGTATGATTTCAGACTGAGTTGGACTCCACACGGTCCTTTAACCATCATTATCATCATCATTAACTGGATATTTTTATTCATTTATTTATCTATTCGCAACATGGTCCACGTCGAGACAAAATACCTTTTCCTTCTTCATCGTACCACTTATACCGACTGTCACACCCACAACAAATGTCCACACAGCCTTCTGATACTTCAGATGTTACCTCAAGATTATCTTGGCTGTCAGGTAATGCTACTTCTGGACAGCTGGCAGGTGGTGCGCTTGGGTTTGGGAAAACGCTGAAGTTACAATTTGCAACACAACATTTAAACCTCGCCATTAAAATCTTTAAGACTGTACACATTCGATAGTAAGAGAAAGCACTCTTAAAAGCACGACTCTTTTGAATTAAGTACCAGTTTTTACCATCGCCCGGGGGGGGAGGATTCGGGGGGAAATCATATAGTTTTCAGGGAAACAGAGAGGGAATCATTCGCCAACAGAATATAAAGAGGAAGGGAACCATAGAAAATTGCCAATTAACTGCTGATGAGGGAAGATTATTGGACTATCATATAGTCTGATGGGGGGGGGGGTGGGGGGAAGGAAGGAAGGGGAAGGGGGATCGGGTAAATTTCATCGTGACTCAACCAAAATCCGCCAATTTTCCCCCACACCTTTCCTTGGGTGATTAAGACCGGTCCCTTGGCAAAGGTAAGGTTCGTCATGGTGAGGGACCTGTGCACGTTGGTTTTGACAATATTCAATCACTAAAACGTCGATTAAGGGCCTAGAGTACTCTATTTAGGAAACCAAACATACGCTATTCTCCATATTTGTCAGTTCTCATGACCAAGTCGTCACATAATCTAGATAATATCCAGTTTACGAGTTTGACTTTGAAGTTAGCGCTTAAGGGCTTCTGAGTTAGCTTAATGTAAGCCTGAGGTTGGTGTCGTATTATCACACCACCCACAAAAACACATTTTGGGGGAAATATTCGGTTGCATTTATCAATATTAGATTATGGAAATCACAAAACATGAAACTAAATGCCAATGGAAAATAACTTCTCTGTCATCTTCGAACCGTCTAACTTCGGTTTACATCACCACTGAATAGGAATGTAAGTCGAATACTTCAAGGACAAAGAGCTAAGTACCCAAGTAAAACACTGCATCTTCTTCTTTGCAGAAATAAACATAAATGAATTAATAGCTCAGAGCAAACTGAACGCTTTTTTCCTATACTGACCCTTCACCTTCAACTTCGCTTCTGTCAATCCTGACGCGCTGTTCTCGAATAACTGTCATTTCTTCTCCAATTTCCTTCATTCTCAGATTACACTGAACTTATTTTCCATTAAGTTGTTGCCACCAAAATACTAATACATGTGATCTGGTGAAAAAGAGCCTCAATCTGCATCAACCAATCAGCGTCTGAGTAGGCTTTCGTGACGTCATTGACCAAGATGAAGAGATATGTTCAGGTTTAACCGTTAATGACACTCATTTATGCAACGTGTCCTCATTAAATAAATTTCCCCCGAAATAAACAAACTTGCACAGCCATGTCGACCATGAAGTGTATGAAAACCCAATCAGACATGACGTTCTATGAATTATACGCGATAAATCCTGAAGAAAAATGATGAATCATAACAAGATCACAAACAAGTATTACAGCTTCATGAGTTTTACCAGAAACAAGAAACTTTGCATTTAAAGTGAAAATCCCCCGACCAATTTCTCGAAACAACTTATCCATTACCGCAAGGTCTTATGTAAATTAGATGGAAAAAACGGAAAATGATAACACTCTCCATACAGTCTTCAAAATGTCTTTGAACCGTCGAGTTGACATTATATTACAAATACCAAAAGATACCGTCTTGGTTTTCGAGCAATTTGCTCTAAAAGCTATTTATTTTACTCTTCCTGTAATGAAATTATACATGTTTTGTCTAAAAACTTACACATTCTGCCTTTTGTTGCCGATATCTCTATCCATTAACAGGTTTTTTTTCCACACAAATCTATTATTTATAGCAATGGTGGTTTGGTAATGTTATTTACCTTTTTACTTATTCATAACTTTTTGCATATCGGCAACTCAATACCTTCTTAACGAATTATGCAATTGATAATAATTTGCCATCGGGTTAAATTTTTATACCTGTTACCGTGAAAAATTCCTCAAACAAAATTCTTCAATGACTACACGCCTTTATAATCTTTGCGCAATTCTAAAGCATTTATCTTTTTTGTTATTTATCACACTGATTCAAGTTAAATATAATTATCACAACAAGAGATCCGACACCTTGCATTGCAAAAGCAACAACAAAGACGAAAAGTAATGGTCTTGTTTTTTTTTTTTCGTTTTTGTGTGTGTATAAAAAATTTTCGAACCTCAATCGGTTCGAGAAACACCCAAACAATGGCCAATTTTCAACTACCTTGACTGGGATTAGCTAAGCCAGCACCAGGTCCCTCAGGGGGCAAGTTGTTCACGTATCAGCCTTTTATAAAACGTTCTCTGCAAAATTAAAGTAACGAGACAAAGAAAGATTGTTGGCACATTGACGAAACGTTTACGGGCACAATATAATAATCACTGAAAGTGTATTTTATTTTCAATGAAACAAAACTAGTTCAAATGCACAATTCATAATTGATCAAACCCCGGCAAATAAAAAACGCTTGTATTTTTGAAAAATGCACATCTCCTGACGTCATGGCGAGTTGTTATGGAACCAAAAGCCAAGGAATTCTGAGGCAGTGAGGGTAGTCATCTCGAGTGTATTTCGTAGCCTCGTGAAGTCATGGCGGGTTGCCATGAAACCACTGTCCAGGGAATATTGAGGTAATTAGGGATAGTCAATTCTCGGAAATATGAATTGGTAACTTTTAACCTGAAAACAAGAAGAATGTAAATAATTGTTTGAATTCATCCGTCCGTTACAAAAAATCAATTTGTTGTGTTTTCCTTCTTTAATGGAGATTATTTCCACCGCTATATCCAAGAATCTCACGAATTTCCAGCCAACACAAACGCCTCTTCTCCTAAGATAAGTAAATTAGATTAAATACGAGACAAAAAAAAATTTCCTCTGAAGAAATTATTTAACCGGCTAGGATTTCAAAGAGGAGTACGAGTTGTCCAAAATAACAATAGTGGGCAGAAAAATAGAGCATTCTTAATAAAGATAAAAACACATCAAATTAGGGGCAGACACTAATGATGGGCACCCACAGACACATACACACAGAAACTACTTTAATTTATTTTTGATATTTTTTGGAAGTGTAGCTCTGCTGCAAGCAATGTGAAGTTCCATCTTGGATAGAAATGGTACTTCATGAATAAATCACATTTTAGTATTACAATTTGTGAGAGGGTAACTTTTCTGAATCTCAGAGCGCGTTTTTAGAACAAAAACATTAGCATTTCGTGCGCCTTCAGGTGTCTCATCTGTTTCATCATCACCAAAACAACTGAAAACGATTTTCGAATACAAGCCGGGCTAATTTGAGAGAAATTTTCGTGCAATTCTACAGTAATATTTTCGATTGAATAAAATACCATACTGCAATAACCATTTAATGCCCATTTATAATATAAAACGGAAAAAGATTTGAAATTACCAGGATCAAAGAGATGAAATATGCAAATTTCTGACGAAGAATTAGACCAATTGTATGCGGTTTAAGAGTTATAGCTTAATCTTGAGAAAATCTGAATACTAAGATGGTCTGAAAGATTAAACGATTAATTATGCTTTTCATCGGAGGTTGGGAATGTCCCATTGGTCGATTTTGAATATGGAATGGCTTAATCAGATTTGCCGTGGTACAAGATTCTTTGAAGTTAAAATGATTTCATGTTACTTTTGTATACTGACGTGAACTTAAGGGTTGCTCGGTTCAATTTAATTCTTATTGAAAAGGTAAGTAATTGTTTGAGAATGCTTTTATTGGGTACATTTAGAAATTTCTAAAAGGCTCTGCTTAAAACAGAATTCTATACATTAACGTTTTCTCGTGCACGTTTTTGCTTATCAACAAGGATGGTTCAAGCTGCAACTCTGTAGCAAGGGAAGACCAGCTAAGCAAATTTTTAAGTAGCTTGACGTTCAGGGATATCTGTAATATTTCTGTTGATTCGACTCCACACAGTTTGCTTCAAGAAATCTTCTGTTTGTGTTAAATATTAATGAAAACTTTCTGTATAACACAGCACGCAGCATGAAAGCATAATTTGCCGTAATGCCCGAGATTCTTCGAAGAAAGCACAGCTCATATGTTTCTAGGGAAAAAAAATCCTTTGAAACCGCTGTTTAGTCCATATAGCAGCTACCGTTATGAGATAAGGAGTAAATTTGTAATTCAAATATTAAAAAAAAAAACAAATTATGTTGCTGGAATAAAGATGTCTATTCCAATTATCAACCTTGACATAAAAATATCCACGTTTACCAGTTTCTATTTGAATTTGGCAGCATTGGCGTAAGATCAATGCACTATTATCTCAAGTAAGCTTTCTTTCGGTAGGTAAGATTTTGAACGAGAGTTATGTATTGAAATTGTGGATTGTGGAAATTTGAAAAACTTACCTGTAATATATCGATAGGATGCCAATCTACCTTAAATATTAAACCATTTTCTTTGTTAAAACCTTATTTTGGACCTTCAATTTTAATCAGAGACTCAAGACAAACTTTTAAGGATACAAAGGCCTGAGAGATTGACATGAATTAACATCGGTTTAAATCAGACAGAAACACAATCAAATCGAGATAAGGTAGATTAAAGAGAAAAGGTCATATTAAGAGCCTCTGCATTGGATAGATACTGACTAATGTTTTTCCGTTTCTGGATTGAAGTCTTCGCGATTTTCAAATTGAAAGATAACATAATCTATGGCTGACTTCAATCGAAAATATCAGTTTTCGTTGGAGCCGAGTTTCATGTAAATCTTACACGAAGATTTTGATTTCCATCCCAGCGCACTTCTCAGATAAAATCAGGTAGACAAGAAATATCCAGGAAAAGTTCGATGTTTTTCATTTTCCTCTAAAATTTTATTTATATAATTTATCACACGGACATCTAGGTTACGTAAATAATCCTTTGTATTACAATTTACTTCTTAAACTTACGACATGGTTCTCCATCTCATACAAAATGTAGATTATCTTTCTTTGTTTGGTTATTATGAATTTTGGTATTGAATTCTTTTTAAACCATAATATAAATGGACCTAGAGGCAATGACGTTGTTGTTGAAATTATTTGAATTATCATTTGCAGTTTTTTTATGAAATAAGCATTCCAGCGGCCGATTTTGATTCCTTCGATTCTGAGTTTTTCTTTTTCAGTAAACATCAACAGCATTATATTCTGATCGCCATCACGGAAAAAAATAATCAACACACGTAAAATTCGCTTAATTTCATCGTATATTGTTTCTTTACAAATTTTTAAATGAAACATTTTGAAGAATGTTTTAATTTAAGCTTGATTCATCCAAAAGAATGAATACTTGTGAACGCTGAAGAAGAAATTATTTAAGTTTAGTCAAAGAACAATTAATTTTTTTTTCATGATATCGGAGTTTGTATTTCATGTTTTTATTTTTAGTTCTGTTCAAACTATATGACGCTGACTCGGCTTTCTTGAGATGAGCATAGTCTTGCTTTACTTTATATTTACACTAACCTGTGATCAATCTGATTCGTAACATTTCTATTCATTGCTTTGAAATGTTTCTGATACTAGCCACACTGTATCGCAATTTAAGCTGTCTCAGATTCAAAACCAGAATCAGTTTATCTCAAATGCATTATAAAACTCATCCTGTAAATTTTAAAAGTTTTGCTTAAGAGATAGTCTTAAGACCATGTTTAAGTTTCCCATGCTTATTAACAAATTTTGCTACTTGTTAGCACCAAGGAAAATTTTTCAATTCCTAATTACACTAAAACAACCTTTTGCCTGAGGTTCAAATGACACGAGAATAAATTCACCCACGACTCACTTTCCTCCTTATTCCGACGAATAACTCAGTGATCGTTACAAAGAAATGTTTGGGTACAAAGGCCCTTGCGACTATAGAGAGTTTATGTTGAGGAAAATTTTAAAAAAATCGCATCTTCTTTTATTTTTTTGGTTGGAAACAATTTTGAGTGTGTATTGAAAAGGTGCCAAGACCATGACGTAATCCATTAAAAGAAATATTTATTCACATAGACGACAACAGGGAAACGGCTCTTAAGCTTCGAAATTTTTTGTTGAACTGAATTCGAAATGTAGAATACTTTTCAAAAAGGTAAGTATCCTTGCTTATCTAACTTAAGACATTTAACATTTTTGTTATTTTTCTTTTTAATTATTACTGATTGCTAACTAGGAGTTTTTTTCGCACTTTCGATGAGGAATTTTTTTCACGACTCTAGCAGTAACCATGAGTATTTGCACTAAGGGATTTTCAGCAATTTCCAGAATTAAGGATCGCTCCCAAGAGACACAATTCCTTCTTCTGAGTTCCTATTTAATCAATCCAACCGTGCGTGTTTACAAATTTGAAAATTTGATAAATTCTGTTTTATGTTAAAACTTTAATTTTTGGCAAAATTTCCAAACAGTGATGATAGCTTTTATGAAATATCTCTATTTAAACTCGCGATCTTAGGATCGACGGGAAGAAAAAGGTTTCTGAGAGGAATAGAAATTGTTAACGTTTGAGATACTAGCCGTTCGAACTCTCCGTCACTGACCGTGGAGGAAATTGAGACCAGTGAAGCCAAAAGCCAGGTATTATAAATGGTAATTATAACCAACTAAAAGCTTCCGAATCCAATTGCATGGTACGAGAATTTCAAGCACTTATTTTGTCTAGATCTTGCTGTAACCCCGTTAAAAACATTCCTTGCTAAAGAAATTCTTCCGCGTTAGTATGTAAGTTGGCGGGAATATTTATGCAGGGTACATAGAGACCAACAGACTTTAGTAAATACCATGTGCTTCAAAGTATATTTAACATATTTTTTAAATAGTTATTTATCAAATTTTGTTGTTGTCAACTGTCACAGACCTCATAACTTGTCTACTTTCATACGATTTTACGTCTTAAGTCTCAATGTCGCAATGACACCAGTTTCAGGTGACAAAACGAAATAACATTTCCTACCAAATATATTCAACGAAAGATGAAAGACTTGAAAAATTAACATACTTTTTTTTGGTTTCTCCATCATAAACTGAATCGCAGAGAACGAACAGTTTTACATAGATGTTGTACAGATGTTGTTACACGGATGTTGTTGGGTCCCCTTCCCCCTTCGGACTCCCGTGCGGAAGGGAGGAGGGGACCCGCAGGATTTTGGTTTTGTCACGATGAAATTTGCCTGATTCCCCCAAGTTGCCGTTTTCTGATCTACCCTCCGTTCCCCATAAAAGCATGTAACCCCCCCAAATCTTCCACCAACTACACACCTCCTGATCGAGTAATTACCACAATTGTAACAAAATATGTGTAAGGCGCTTTCTTTATTTAAAGCCGGAATATACAACAGAATTCGAAAGCACCTGGGCAATTACGCTAAAACAATTACTCGCCTCAGGCTCAGGGAAGATTTTTTTTAACAATTTCCTCGACCTCGTCTCGGGAATTATTGAACAATATTCACTTAGCCTTCAGCGAATAATTGTTAGTTACAAGGAAAACAACTTTTCCGCTAATTCCTTCAACTAACTTGAGCCACGATATGTTGATTTCTGACTTTCTGTTTGATCCGCTCTCTTTGTAGCTTTTACTTGGACAATTGCCACACCATATATAGAATATCCAGTTGTCTTTCAACTCACATGAAGCGGGAAAAATGGAGACAGAAAAAAAGGAGACGGTTGTAGAGTAAGTAGATACTGAAATATAATCGAGAAAAGCGTGAAAGAAGGAAGAAAAGTAAATAAAAAAAAGAAGAAAAAGAAGCGAACGAACTAGGAAAAAAAGGAGGACGATCAGAAGAGGGAGCTGTTTAACAGAGCACCATATTTTTTTTATTTAACGCTGAAAAGATCGTAAAATGTTGCTCCATAGTTATTTATTTAGTTTTTTTAGGGAACCAGTAATTCTAGTTTCTCAATGATGTAAGCGGGAAAGCGCGGGAATGGCTCCTGGAACTCAAGGGACTTGGAATTATTATTGTTTTACATGCTTATCTTTCTCCCGCCGAATTAAATTTGAGTTGCGCATTGGAATAAACTGAGAAAGAGACTCTGTTCGTAGTCTCAGAGTTTGTGGGGTTTGTTGTGCTGTACTCCATGCTACAGGGAAAAAAACCTGTCACTCATTTGCTTTATTGTACCGTTCTTAGGTGCGGCACTCAAGTGGATATACGAGATTTCGCAATCCGGTAACAACTTTTCAATGCTATGAATCTATGTCAGGTCATGCTGAACAAACTTTCCTTTTAAATGTATAACGTTTTAGCGGTTCTAAAAGTAATTCACTCATTTTTTTTTGTGCTTTACCTGTTCAATTTCAATTTCTTTCTGATGAGTCCATAATACACTGATGCTCGTTTTTATTGTTATTGTTGTTGTTTGCTATTTCACGTAGCACATGTACAAGCGTGGCAGTACAAGTTGAACCTAGTGACTTTCAAACCGTCCAAGAAGTAACGAAGGACAGGTGAGAGATCTTTTGTAGCTACGGAAATTCCATTTGATCACAGCTTGTTTTTGTGATAATGTCGAGAAGCTGTTCCAGCAAATGTTTAGATAAGGTCAGACACGATTCGACAGGCACGTGAGTAAATAAGATGCAAAAGGCAATTAAAAAGCATTGCGTCATGCTTCGCGTGGGTTCTCCCAGCTAGTGCAGTGAAAAACCACGCTTGGTCAGCTAGTTGCAGAGAGCCGGACTGCCGTGCGGGAGGGCGTGGGTTCAAGCCTTAGACTGGACCAAGACTTAGGGCACGTTTTTCAAACAAACTTTAGTCCTTGTTTAACAAAACCACGTTCTAAGCCATCTTCAATGTAGCCGAACCTTTTGACCTGAACATTTATCTTTGTGAACAGTTTCAAGAGGGCCGGAAGCTTATAGTGGAAGGACCTTTATTCAATGAAATCAACCCTCTTATGGAGAAGCCCTGAGGCCCTCTGCTTACGGAAAACCGCGGTTGGGTTAGACCTCGTGTAACTAAGCGGCCCTCAGGGCGATAAGATAACTGAAGAGAATTTGCCGCTTTTGCTATGACATCTGCAGATAGTTACACATTCTAGTCTTCTCGGATAACAACGACAATTTATAGGCCCTGTCTCCGGCATCTTCCTGTACTGGTTAACAGGGGTCGTTAAAGAACCCACGTATTTCGGGCAAAGAGTCGGGTTTCCTGGTTTTTTTTTGACCAAATCGCATTGGACTTCTCCTAACGAAGTAACTTCCACATGCACTCATACTCTTTCATTCTTTATAGCCAAAAACACTATACAACAATTCGTTTAACAACACTACGAAACCCTAAAGTTTCCTGTGTCTTAGTGTCTCCAAATCCCCTCTATCTACCTCTTGTGAAAAAATTATTTATCTTAGCGATGATAACCTGTCTTTTATAATCATTGCAGCGACGCCTTACCGCTTCTGACAACCCAGCCATCCAGAGAGGAATTCGTCGAGAAAGCGAACCCGGAATACCGCTGCGATTACTGCTATGGATGCTTATTTTGTGAAAAGGGACATGCGTGGTATAGCATTCGTGGTAAAGGTATGGCTTTTTTTTTTCCACTGACATCAAATAAATACAAAAGAAAGACCTTACACTTTCAGTCCCAAATTGAAGGAAAATTTTAAACCAAAGAAAGGAGCTAATCAAAGGGAGGTAACAAAATGAACCGATTAAAAATCTGAGAAAATGTATGTTGGCTAAGCGCGGAAAAATGGGCGTCGACATCTAAGTAGCGGTTGGCTCTAGTTTTTCATTAGATTAATTAACCAGTAGGCGCAAGTTTCTATGCAAAAAAAGAAAAAAAAATTCAAGGGAAAAAGTGAAGTAACTTAGAATGCTCATAAATTTATCTGTTACGAGCGTGAGTTTACAAGTCCTCAACCAAAGCGCTCCAAGCCAGAAGCATACGTATACTCGTACCCAATCTCCTTAGTTTCCTGATCATTTCTCGCTGTTTGAAACCTAGCTGAGCTTAGTTCATTCAGTTGGTTATTACATGTATTACATACAAAGCGAATTCTTAGTAACTGGCTAAACTTCTAGCTTTAATAACTTATAAATAACAGTAGACAAAACTCACCAAAATTAGCTTAATGTTTTGATTGCTTTTAGACCAGCCTTGGTGTTAAATTAAGTTGCATGTACGATGTCTTACACGAATTAACACCTGCTCATACAATAATTACGATTTGAGACAAGGATTGATTAAATTTTTTTTTAATTTCTCTTACAGCCTGCCTCTGGGTGTTACTTCTAACGCCAGGGTACCTTATATTGGGCGTGTTTCTGTTACCCTTCTTCATTCTAATGGGTATAGCTTACTGCGTCGCTGCCGCCATAGAATGACTTGTTGTTGGCGTATTCAACGTTTTGCTCAAATCAAGAGCGTACGAGAGAAATGGATGGACATTTGTTGAAAAAGCGTATATATAAAAAATCATTTTCGACTTCTCAGATGTGCTATTATTTATTGCGACAAAAAAAAACGTTTATGGTGTGTGCAAATGTAAATAAAATTTTCAAATATAGAGATGCCTACACTCGCCTAATCAACTTCATCGTAAAACTGTGATAAGACAACGTCGCGCTGAATTACAGACTGACCAACAAATTAATCAACCTATTAAGTGAAAGACAGACTAAATATTTTTTAAAATGGCCCTTTACTTGCCTCTTTTTCATGCTCTGTGAATACGAGCCCACTGATAACTAATGCAGAGCAGCGGTATAAGCAGATTCACTCAAGAGACTGGTCATTATTAATCGTTGTGGGGGAGGGGGGTGATTTTGGTAGTATTACAATACCATTTGCTTGATCCCACCTAAGTTTCTGTAGTGTTCTAATACTCCTGATTTGCTGTCAATTTTCTATGGCCCCCCTTTAGTTATATCCTGTTAGCGACGACCGATTCCTCTTCTGTTCCCCATGAAAATCTACCGACCCCCCCTTCCCCGACGAAAAAAGTAATAATTGTACTCTAAAGTGAGCGGAAACCAATTAAATTTAGCCCCCCTCGACCATAATTTGAAAAGTCCCTATCTATACGCCTCTGTTTTGTTGGTCCGTGACAGCTTCATCTCTACGTATCACGTACTAGCTCGATTCACACTGCTTCCCTAAAGAATATAAGCAACTTTTATCTGTGAGTGATAGTATGCTGGCTGTTGGCCATCCTAGTTCCATGCTCACGAAAACTTCAAAAGCTCGCTTTGGAGTGATTTTAACCAATAACATAAGCAGAGATCCTTATGGGATTTTTTCTCGCGTACGACAGTAGGATGCACTGTGTCAGTCTAATTAGAAATTTCAAACTTAAAATGTATATTTTCGAATCACGTATAGCGGTGTGTTTGTGTTATAGGAAAAATCAATCAATCAATTTTTTTCGGTCATGGGCACACGCCATCAATAGACCCACTCGTCTGATATTGCGCCCACTTTATTTGGCACGTTCCGTTCCAATTTTCCAATTCCCTCAGGCCGTACGTGACATATACACTTTGCGGTCTATTGGTTCTGAAGAAAGGTTTTAATAATGAGCGCCACGATCTGCGGATAAGGCGAAGGTTCTGTTGAAGTACATAGATCAAGCAAGTTGATTATTACCATGGATTAATTTTTGTTTCATAAACCCTCTCTTTCATTGCATTCACGCATTTTCAATCGAGTCTTCACGCGCGAACAATTTTAATAAAGACTTCACAACCCGCACTATTTCGCAATCATTTCCGTATTAGTTCTCAGAACGTGTTCGGCATCGAACGAGCTATTTGAACACAAACAAAATAAACATCAAAGAAAGATTATCTTTCAACCGAAACTACGTAAAACTGATATCATCCTACCCCTACTACTTCCTTGTTTTTGAGTGATGTTTCAGCGCGTGTTTTGAGGAGTGCGTGACAAAACAAAATGCAATTTAAGATTTTAGTCACGTAATTAAACAATCCTTCGTGGTTTTTCTTATCATTGAAATGGCATCCTCCTCTTATGTTTTCTTCAAATTGCTCCGGAAAACAGGTAAGCTGATAGGATGTGTATCGATTTTAGTTACGTAAAAATGTATATTTGTTTTCTTATAATTTGAAAGGTACCCTTTATCTCCCCTTTCGTATTTACTAAATTTACTAAAAACCACGACGGCAACGGCAACGGCAACGGCAACGTCACTAAACAAAAAGTTTGATGAGTCAAACAATGGCTGTGCGTGTAAATCTTTTAAAATTTATTCGCGTCCTTTTCCAAACAGCAACATGAAATGACCAAACATTGGTGAACGGCGACGGCTAATTTTGTAGAATCTCTATTTCTAATTTGACGCTGTGTTCCATACTCAGTTTCGAAATAGTTCTGACAGGAAGCAACAAACTAAATTACTTTAGAGTATCGCGAGATTCGTAGGTAAAATCTAAGTTCATTTTTTAAATCGACGATGTCCACGGCGTCGCCGTCGTCGTTTCTTACACCCTAACATTGCCTTCGTCGAACAGGTAAGTTGGCAGGTTACAATTTACCAATTTACAATTTTAGTAACGTAAACAGGCTCCTTGTACTTTTTATTATCAAGAACGCTGCTCTTTATTTCCTTCGTGTCCTTCCATTCTTTATCTGTTTATCAAAGCTGAAAGATAGTGCGTCGCTCAAACTAAAACTTTCCTCACTCATACACGGGAAAATCACGGAAGTCGATCTTCGAAAGGTAAAACTATAGTTAAACCGCAGCAGACATTGTATTAGCCTAAATTCAAGAATTCAAACTCCAAATGAGTATTTTTTTCTACATTTGAGGTATTTTATGAAAACACGCGTTAAAAAAAAAAGACGTTTCGTTCTGGTACAGATGAAAGAGATGGCCCGCTTGCGCAGATTGGGGCCCAGTTTTGTCGTCTTTTCCGGTCCTCGAGCTGAGTCAACGTGGCAACAGCTTCATAATCTCGATTCTGACATGTAATTAGCTTGCGAGCAAACTCTCCAGAGTCATGCCTTAGAACTCTGAATGTCTGCGTCAATGTTTGTTTGGCCCATTTGGCCGGGTGATCTTTCTCCTTCTCTCCTCTTTCCGCGCGCGCAACCTGCACCTAGCAAAGGAGCTTGCCAACAAACTAACTTATAGTGTAAGTCATTTGTGGTAAGATTTCTTGAAAACGTTATATCGTAGACAAACATGAATAGAAAGAAACTGAACACACGTGATTCTTGTATATTAACATCATGCCTTTTGAATTCGCATGCTTCCGATCAAACCATGCGAGCCTTTTTTTTTTTTTTTTTTTGAGACAAAAGAAAACAATAGCTCGAGATACTACGTGACGGGAGAATTTCATTCTCGGCCATCAATACGTGATCATACGAAACATGGAGCCGGTCGAAAATAATATGAAATATAATTTGAATCATTCGTTGACCTTTATTCAGCGGATAATCCACGAAAAGCTGCTGTTTCACACGATTCATTTCCTGTTTTTTTGTGTGCGGTTTTTGTGTTATTGAAAAACATTTAACCGTGTCTCCAAAGGTGTTCGAGACACAATATAATTCAGTTTCCGATTTAAGTCCCAACGTAGAGAAAATTTTCTTGGGAACAGACACGGTCTAAACGTCACGTACTCTCGATAAAGGATCCTTTACATGGCATCAGCCTGACTACGTCTAAAGACTCTTAAAGTTTTGAAAACAAAAACAGGTTTTTGAATCCTCCCTAATTTTCAGGTTTTTTTCGTTTCCGATGCGGTGTCTGTTTAAGGTGGCGACTACTCAAGGGGAACCTTCATTTCAAAATAATGTTTCTTGAATCACCAACAACAATTTGAGTGAATAACAGAAACTTGTTTAAAGCTCCAATGTCTTCCTTCTTTCCTGATTGTCAGGCCGGTGATTTATACACCAACAATGGAAAAGATAATCAGGTTTAGCGCAGCTGATTTTGTTAACTTAAAACCCTTGGATAAATTTGGCGTTTTTTCTGATGAGATGTGGCACTTGTTCAGGGGCGGTGTTTATAACTAATATTATTTCCGTTTGCGGCATCGTTTCTGTTCGGGGGCGGTATCTATTTGTATTTTTGCTTCTATCTGCGGCTTTTACTCGAGAGCCGTGTATATTCAAACGATAAATCTAAAATCCCACCCGTTTTATATCCTGGTCTTAGTGTAACTGTCCGACGTTTAAAAGGTAACTGTGTTTCACTTCTTTAAGTGTTGCGTGACAAGCATAAATCTCATTTGGATCTTAGTCACGCGAGGTTCTTTGCAATGTTATCCTTGCTCCCTGTGCCTCGCTTTGGCACCGAGACTTGGGAAAATAACGGGATACATCACTTTGTGTCAGAGCAATTATCGGATCAGACACTATTTATAATCATTTATTGCTCTTGATGGGTTGAAGAGATTTCTAACCGCAAGCTACGTACCTTGGCGGAGAGCCTATTGAAGGTCAGAGAACCTTCCTTCACCTTCGTCATTGTCGACTTAAGCTGCGAAGCTTAGTTTAAAGGGGCGGAACTCATTACTGAGGATTCCATTGACGCAGATCGTCCAGGACTGGGGCAAAATACCGTTAATGTGTTTCTTGAAGAATTGAAAAAAGTTCCAGTAGTCTACCTTTATTTAAATTAATATCTATATAACTTATTGTATGGAAGGGAGAAGAGTGTTCAGACGTGCAATATATTCAGAAAGTTGCAATATATTTTTCACCCGGGATCTGCCTGGGAAAATACATCGCGTACGGGAGTATCTTTGACGCGTTTCAAGGTATCTTGAAAAACACTGAATCACTGTATCTGCTGGAAGCGAAGAAAAAGAACAATTTTGCATAATTTTCTTATATTATTTATTTCTCGCTGTATTATTACGTAACCAAATGATAGACCAGGCATTCATTTTTTTGACATAACTTCATGAATCATGAATGAGTTTCAAAGCAAAATGAAACACAATAACAAGTTCAAAACACACACACACAGTGGCTGGTCATGAAAAGCATACAAGTCAAAAAACATGATAGTGAGCGTGATACTTCAAGAATAACAGCTGTCATAGTTATTATTCCCTAAATTTGAAAACAGAAACTGGTTCCGCTTTGTTGACAAAAGGGGGATGGTTTTAACGTGATTCTCACGCGATCAGAAGATGTCAGACTTATTTCTCGCTCGATTGTCAGCGATAAATTTAGCAATTTGTTTCTGTCATATAACTTTAAAAAAAAAACAATAGAAAGGCGATTTCCAGATGTGTTTGTGGAAAATATTTTATGAGGTCATAAGGCTTTTGAACTATGTTAGTTTAAGCGGATTCACAGAATAAAGACAATCAAGATTCATACAGAAAGGTTTACCGGCGCCAGTGAATGATTTAGAAGAGATCTTTTTTTTCCTAGTCTCCCTCGCGTACATTCGAACTGAACAGCTTTCACCTTCGCTGTAGAGTTTACAGTCATAATATGAACTAACTGCAGATGTAAGGGAAATCACTTCGAGAGTTTTGCCGAATAGTTCTTCGCATATGAGTTTTATTTCAGGCCTTCCTGCCTTTTCTTAAACAAAGCCATGAGGTTCTTCATCAAACTGAAGACATAGGATCAACAAATGTCGATGCAAATTGATAATTTAAAAAGAAATATTTGATTTGAATCAACGGGTGTGGGAAAGCTGTTCGTAAGTAAAACAGAAAATTAACAAGGAATGTATTGCATATAGTAAATCATTTTCAAACTTGCTTGTGGCTGTCTGGCAAAAACCGTTGTTAAAATAGCCTTTGCATCCTTAAGGAATCTGATAAATTGATAGCGTGCTAACGGGAGAGGAAATTTAATCTACAATTGTGCCGGAATACAGAGTATCTGCCGGTGTAACTCCGTAAAACGATCTCCTTTCTTGGTCTTCGCATGTCAGATCAGACAAGCCGACCACTGGTGGAATTAAAACAGAATCGGATATATTTCTGCTTCCCTGGAAACCCCATGGTTACGTGTGATATATTATATGTCTTAATTCAGGAGGGCAGCACTTCCTGAAACCCTGCTAGACAACAATATTCCCCTCAACACATTACGTATTTTCTAGCAAAGCATATATCTTTTGCGGAAACCACAAGTAAAGAAGTTGAGGGTATCGTTACACGCAAGCAAAGAGGAAATGTTATGGTGCAGTTGCGTTCGCTGATGTCGCTTGCTTGAAGTTTTCTTTTCATATTTTCAGTTGAGCAAACATTTTTTGAGGTATGATAAAACTTTGTCTATTATTTCAGTTATGATTCGAGCAGATGCCATCGTTAACTCATTCCTCAGTCAAGATCAAAGGTTATTAGATATTTGCTGGCACACATCGCAGATAAATGTTGATTTGCTAATCATCCAAAAATAGGTTTCTTATGCGTCCTTTCCGGTCCAAATATCACCACAGCGGATGCAAATGAAACGCGTGCCTCTGTTTACATTACCAAAAGAAAACACGAGACCTCGCAGTGTCGCTAAGGTCGTGAGAATGTGTGCTGGTTCTGTTTGATTAAATTGATTCCTTCATTTCGAACAAGACTCGCTAATAAATCGTGCGAGGGGCGAAACCGCTCACGCTTGGCTTAACGAAGAAGGGGAAAAGTGTTGAAATACAGTGATTTTTTCCGTATCACTTACGTCCTTACTTTTACCAGTGGCAACGTTTCATCAGTTGTCAAGTGATTTTACCTGCATCAAACATAAGGTAAGTTCCCTTATTCAAGCAAGGTGTTGCAATTTTCTGCTCATTAAATTGTGAACTTCAGTTTCTTTAAACCAAGAGTTCGTATTCCGGTTTACAAGGAAATGTTGTGACGTCATTTGAGGTTACTGCGGTTAAAGGCAATCATTCGCGCCCTTTTTTATCACAACCATGATACACAGAAAACAATTGTTCAAAGATCACTTTAGAAGCTATAGAGAAATCTCAACGCTTTTATTTTGTTTATCCTCTCGGCTGTTGTTATCTGTTAGTTTACCTTCTTGTTTTGGAACCGATATAGCGCTTTGTAAAAGGAAAAGTATGTCATTACATTATCAGATATTTTAAGTACCACGTGACCTAAGCGATTTGAAACACGTCGATCAAAAACAAACACGTTGACCCGCCAGGTGCTGGGGTTTAGCACACGTTTTGGCGATTGCGTCAAAATTTCACTATTCTACGTGAAAACTGTTATTCCGCGCTCACCGCTGTGTTCTTCGTCGGTTAAATCGCTTATTCTAGCAGTTAGCACCTCCAAGGATAGATCAGTGTTTCATTCAGCAATCCTGGTGGTCTTTTAGCGAGGTAAGGCGATTTTTTCACAATTGATTACACGTTCCTTCCTACGTGAAATGTGATGTCAAGTTACCGTACCAGCGGTTGTTTCCCTTGATTTCTTCCGCTTGCTTCCCCAAGCGTTTTCAACGAGTTTACTCCTTTCTAAAGAGAATTATCACCGCAGCTAAGACATTCCTTGTATACTGAGTAATTTTTGGTCTTTTCGGGAGTTTGAAAAGTTACTCGGCAACAAGAATGCCTCAACAATACGGTACGTGAATAATTCTTCGTCAAAACGTGAACGATCGACGACCATATTTAGTAATCACATGCCACGTTCCTCGCAAACTCGTTTATTTCGTTTTTCTCGCTGTTAACCAATGTCAGTGAGTCATTTTCTTTTTTTTTTCTGTCATTGAAAAGAGTTTTCGCTTTCCCACGAGTGGTAAATCTTGTGTTAAATGGATAGCATGCAATGGTTCACGTTTAGTGTCTTTCCGCCATTCTTGGCGTTCTTGTGATTTTTCGCCTGTCTGTATCACCAGTGTGGAACAGATATGCCTTACCAGATTACAATATGCGTAATTCCTGGCTTTCGTACGTTAATTTGACTGAAAAAGGAGAAGAGAGCTTTTTACTGCCTAAACTCCTTGTAGCCTTTAAAAGAAATTGCACGTGCCAGAACTGTACATTGAACATTAATTTCGGTCATCGAAGTCGCTTTGTCGATTCGTTGATAGAAGATTCTGACTGATGAAATTACTTCGTGGCTGAGTCATTCTCTTAAGGGTATGGTCGGTGCTAACTTGCGTGTAAATATCATTTTTTAGGACAATAATCATCAAGGTTTGTTTTTTTTTCCTCCGTTAAAGTAAGTTAAACACGTGTTATTTCGCTAGTTGATGTGCACATGCACGCGTAGCAATCTCCTCTGAAAGCTCATTAACATTTTCGGAAAAAGAAAATAACAGCTCTATCTACTTTTCCATCGTAAGTACGCTCGCGAGAATTCAGTTTAAATTGAGGTCCAAGTTTCAGGTGATGATTGTGAAGTTAAATTCCGCTTTCGACTTAACAAGAAAAAAGTGCGAGATTTCAGTCGTTGGCTCGTACTCGTAACTGTTGCTAAGGGAAATTTGGATCGTCCGAAATTTTTGATCGATAGAATTTTAGCAACGGAAACATTTGGAATTTCTGGTCCGATGTGCGTTAATGGTTGACCTTTACGTCCGGTTCTAGAAAACGTTTTATAAACTAAGTATTTTGACGATATCTTCCATATCGAACTCCTATCATACCCGGAAAAAGACGATTGCTGATTTAATCCAAACGCTGTGCTCCACACTTCCCACTAACGGTTAGAAATCAAATTTTTTTTGGTCGTTAAACGCGAAATCTTTGAAAAGTTTCTAGAAAAATTAATTATGCATAGTCTAAGCAAGTATTTGTTCGATCAAATCTTCCTTCTGCTTAATTAATTTTGGGGTAGATTAATACCAATCTTGGCGCACAGTTTTGTGTTATTTAGCCAGGGATCTTGGTTTTAAGTCGGTTTTGTAAAAGCAAGGTGGAGCATAAGGTTATTATAGCAAAGATGTGGTATTTTAATTTAATGACTTGCTTTATCTGACATGTTTCTAAGACTAAGGTCAAACGTTGTACTTCACATGAGGCGAACATCATTCAGCCAATTAACATGTTGCAAAATGTGGTATTAACCCCTTTAAGGAATTTGGATCATTTGAATCAAGTTACATAGCTGGTATAGCCACAGACAAAGCTGAAGACCGGCTCATTATAAAAGCTGATTATTACGTTAGCAAAGACAAATGCGTAGATGGCATAATGTTGGAGTGTGCACAATGTTTTTGTAAATTCTTGGCATTTGGGTGAGTTCATGGAGATTTGATTCAACATTTGACTCAGCAAAACAACCATGTACATTTGGGTTGGCTTTGAGGTATAAATTCAGTGGAATATAATCTTGGATTTAACCAGTGATTCAAGTGAGGTTATCAAGTTTTTCAATCTGGGATAACAAAATAAATCAATGTCTGTACATTTGGATTTAATTAGAACAAGATGCATTTAATAGACACCTTCGAAGTTACATTTCTTGAATGCAATGGTACAGTGATAGATGATTTTGGGTTGTTTGATGTATATTAGTTCTGGAAACAGTTAGTATTTGCCAAAAGCTAAGTATACGCCTGAAATTAAAGATTTGTGTTCTTCCATAATGATAAAGTTTTTTGAAAGTTCTTGTTGTAAATAAATTTTTTTTTTCAGTCCAACTGTGATGTTGTGAATCATTGTTAAAATCAAGAAGGACTTTGCTGCTAAGAAATATCATTCCAGATATGATACAAAGGTATGTTCTGATGAAAACCTTGATAACTATAGAAGTGTGAAGATGTGCTAGGTGTCTAGATATGAATAAATTTTTAATTATTAATGTTGCGCAACATAGCTCTTGTGTAAGGAAAGGTCTCTATAATAATTTATAAAGGTGTTGATAGCCTTCTGGGCTACATGACAATTTCTTCCACCAGCACATTATGTTGCTAGTTGGTCTTCATGCAAGGCAATAAAGTTTATAAAATATTTGCAATTATTTGATTTAAAGATGCACCATCATTGACATTTAGATGATGCCATTGCACCACAGGATGTTCTATTCTGTCTGGTTCACGTAATTTCGCAATAGTTGTGTATACAGATTTCCTAGCGAGGCAATCAACTCTTCCCATTTATCTTTCCATAAAGGAAAACAGCAGGAAAAAAAGCAACTTTAAAATCTAATTCCCAAAGGGCAATCTACATGTCATTTTCTTCTTAGTCTTGTGATACTGATCTCCCTTTGCCCCATTTTCTACAGCTTAGTGGTCATTTTGAACAGTCACGTACACTGCTTATGAATAATTAAGTAAAAAAAAAATTTAGTGTCAGTAATTCTGGAAAGTTTGAACTGTTTAATTAGAAAAATTTAACAGCTGACCACACTCACTAAGTTAGAGACTTCAGCTGAGACAGTCACATTCTGTGGCTTTGTTGTGAGTGCCAAGGGGTTTAGTGGTTTGTCGAAAAAAAGCATGAACATTCACATGTACATTTGTAAATATGTTAAACAGACAACAATGAAGACTGCATCAATCAGCAAGTGCTATGGACATGCAATCAAAGTTGAATGTTTAGTCTGAAGTGTTTCTTTCAATTCTTCCTCGTTTTGTATTTGGACGTGACCTACTGAATAGTTGCCACTTTTGTGGTGGAGGTAATTGTCAACCAGAGTTGCTTTATCAATCAATGTACTGTTTTGTGTTAATCTAGAAAATTAAGTCTTCAAAGAGTCCATGCAGAGATTGAGATTGAAGGGGATCAAATAACAGAGAATGATGATCATGGCATGCCAGTAAAAACAAACAGGCAGATCTCAAAAGGTGGGAATGAAGAGAGTCATGAAGAGGGTAAAGCTGTGAATGAGGATGAAGCTAGAAATGTGGCCAAGGATAATGAAATGGCAGATGGAGATGTTATTGGTGTTGAAGAGGCCCAGAGTCCTCAAGAAATAGCTGAACAAGGTATGATATATACAGGCATGCTTTCACAAGGTGTGTTTATCCCACACACTCTAACATAAGTATCCATATTTTTCATGCTCTTCTCTATTTCTTTTGTTATTGTCACAGTGAAATAATTAAAGGTTACTTCCTGCCTTCATGGGTGTCTTGGGAAAAAATCTGTATGTGCACTAGTTTCACTAAAATCCTAACAAACTATACATAAGAAGAAAGCTTAATAACTGCAGTTTAAGATAACAATATAATTCAAGCAACTTTTTTTTTATGGAAGTGTCAGGAGCTGGTACATGTAAGGCGTCAAATGACCAAAGGTTCTTCTATTGAATTTATTGGGTATCAGATGCCACAGCACAAGCAGAATGGCTGCTCAGTCTTATTCACAAGGCATCAATCAACAAAAGCCTGTTAGGCTTTTTCGTTATTCTGATTGGTTGTCTAGATATCGGCATCTTAAGTTGGAGTAGCTCAGAATATGTGAAGCATGTTGCGTAAATGGACGTCACAGGACACATATTTCAAATATCGAAATTTCTCGACACTTTTCTTTGTCATTTTTCTTGGAATGTTTTGGCGAAATATGACAATAATGGGTAGAATCTATATACTCTATAAATTTACTCAAAGGGGTTGTATTCCTCCCAAAATCAAATGCATGAGTTAAGCTCATAAAGATTTGTAAACAACTCGCACGATGCCAGGAGATTTTCTTGCCTCCAGAAACCACAAACCAATGGGACAACAGGACTTTCTGACGTCAATGATGATGGATCAAGATTTCCCATAAAAAGTAACCCATTGCAACATATTTCTTTTTATCTTGATCACTGAGTAGAGTGTTGAGGAGTACAACACAATAGTAAGCAAAGTTGCCAAAGGCAAAGGAAAAACTGGCAGTAAAAGGAGAAAATGCGCTGAGGAGCAAGACAATGAATTGACAGACAACTTTCAAAATTTACAATTCAAGGCGATCATTAATGTTTTTATGTCAAGGCCTACATTAAGAGAGGGAAACCTTGTTTTTAATATCATGCATGGCAAATCTTGGTTTGACGGTGAGTTCTTTGTTCAAAATCTGGACGCCATCATGGAGCTCCACTAGTACCAGAATGGTACTCATTCTGTCTTATTTGGGCCTGTTTTGTTTTGTTTTTTTTCCTTGTTTTGTTTATTACTAAGGACTTTCTTTTGCTTTTGATTTTTCCAAGAGCATAGATTTTTCCATAGGCAAAGAGCTTCCATGTGTGAGTTTTGTAAAGTGTGCAGTGCAAGAAAATATGGAAATAACATGAAAATCTAACCACAGCATGAGTGGTTGCCGCAAAAATTTCCCTTGAGGATTCACCAAGGTCAGAGATTATGACACCTTCCTGATTAACTTTTATTTGAAAATACGTTTTTCAAAATAACTCGGTTGCCTTTAAAGATTTCAGAAATTTTTTTCTATGGAAATGTTTGGTTGAATGTTTGAATTCATTTTAGTTAAATAAAAGAAAAGTTGATTTTTGGAGGGCTCTGAAGGTTGGAAGTAACCTTAACAATAAAATCTTCTTTGGCTAGCAATCAATCAATCAATTGATCAATAAACTTTATTTACCCTCGAATTTACAGTGTAGCACTCGGGTGCTAATATCTTTGTGCAAACTACATTAATAAATAATTATAATAAAAAGATTAATTCTATAACAAATAGGATAACGAACTACCTAGACAACTAACTAGCAAATCATCTTGATGTAGAAAGGTTTGCAGTTCCTGCCCTTTTAAGTAAATTATTGCACCCAGTAGATAACAGTCGTCGAAAAGAAGTAAAATCAGAAATAGTGCAATGATGGTCAGGAAGAGAATTCCAAGATATTGCTGCCAAGTAACTAAAGGAATTGACACCATAAGAAGTGGTCAATGGTTTAGGCAAACAAAGTATATTATGTCCTCTTATAAAATAGGTGTTAGAGGGCAAGTGAAACATATCTTTTAAATATCTTCGATAATCAGAAAAATGTAGACATTTAAAAATAGTAAGAATCATGTTTTGTAAATGCTTGTCCTTAAGGTTTACAGTTCCTGCCCTTTAAGTTAATTAATTTAAATCAGAGTTAAAATCCTTGAAAATAAATCGAAGAATACGTTTGTTTAAAAGATCCAATTTATCAGAATCTTGTTTACTAGAGAAATGCCACACCATAGAACAATAATAAAAGTGAGGAAGTATAAATGCCTTATAAAGATGTAGCATGGTTTCAGTAGACATCAGCTTGCCGAACCTTGTCATAACGCTAAACTGATTGTTTACCTTTTTACACATAGAGGACACATGTTGCTTAAACATAAGATCTTTGTCAATTGTAACGCCAAAAAGTTCCTCTGAGTCATTTACTGAGAAATTAAACTGATGATCAGTTTTTCCTAGTATCATCCCTTGGTGTTTGCTGGGATTTGCTATCATTCCATTGATCTCATACTAGGCATTTGCTGAGCTTACCTCACGCAAGATACACCTTTCAAAGATACTAGATCCGTATCTGCAGTGTAGAATTTATCATCATCTGCATACATATTTAATTGTACAGCAATCATTTCTTCTATTCTAATGATCTTAATGAATGATTCAACAGTATCATTGTACAGAGAAATTAGATGCTGGTTACTCTTAGGATTTATAGGGATAAGTTGTATCTTACCAATTCTTTACCCATAAGGACTTACTCAGCAAGCAGTGAACTTTAGACTCTATTACAATGGTGGTGAGTCTTATGGTCAGGTGATAAGTTTTCTTCTAAATCTCACAACTAGTTAAAAAAATCTTTGATTTGCTAAAAAATATTCCTATTCTTATGCTAGAGTCACCTTCCAACACAGCTGGTGGTGTAGATGACTCACCTCAAGAGGCCAATGGTGGGTCAAAACGACTTCGCATGTACAAGTGTGAACGGTGCAATTCACAGTACATGGGTCTGGCCATGTTACGGCAGCATTGCCGAGATGTCCATGGTGATCAGAAATACTACAAGTGTCATGTTTGTGGTAAGCTGTTTAGCCATCCAAGCAGCCGTAACATCCATTTAAGGTTGCACTCTGGAGAGAAGCCTTACAAATGTAGCACTTGCGGCAAGCAGTTCAGGGTGTCTTCCCATCTGAAAGACCATGTTAGGGTGCATACGGGTAAGTTAATTGGATAAATAGATGGTTAGTGGGACTTGTGAGTCAAAATGTTCAGGTTTAAGACTTGACTGGGTCATTGTGTTGTGATCTATAGCAAGATGATGGACAAAATACTGACCCCCAGTCCATGGACTACCCTGATAGACTACTAAAGTGGACTATCTTGAAATGGATGAACCCTACAAAATCTTATTTTGAATGAGTTCTATTAAAAGCACGGCTATGTATATACTTACACTGCACATGCCTTTGTTATTTGCATGAAGTACTTTTTAGTCAGAGTCAGAATGGGCAATGGTAATGAATCATATCAGCAGTCTACTGAGTTTCATTACCTTATGTCACCTCTTTAATGATGAGCCATGTTGCTTCTGCTTCAAGCTTCTACTCACACTCGTAAACATGTTAGCTCTTGTTTAGAGCAATAGCAACTCGTTGGGTTCTACAACATGCTATGGTGTTGTGTTTCACTTTCAATTATCTTGCTGCTGTAAATTACATGAATCATTGAATCTAGAGATGGTAGAGTGTGAAGAATGGCTGATGTGCATGGCAAATATCTGCATTTAGTCTTTATACTGAAGTACAAGACAGTGAATATTATTATTGATTTCTCACCTTACTTCATGACTTATACTGCAGGAAGGAACATGACTTCGAGCTACTTTATATATATGTTTTTTATTTTATAGGGGAGCGTCCATATATTTGTGATATTTGCCACAAGGGGTTCAAGCAGTCAAGTGACTTGAAGAAGCATCGGCGTACCCATACCTTGGATAAACCATACAAGTGTCCTATCTGCCCATCAGCCTTTACCCGTTCACACCACTGTCGAGGCCACATCAATTCTGTGCACAAGTTCTTCAAGTGTGTTGTTTGCAGTGCCTTGTTTACCTCTGAGGAAGCATTTGAACGTCATAAAGAACTCCATCCCTCTGTATTATTAGACCAAGGAGAGCCAGAGCAAAAAATTCCATCTAACAGGAAGGCAATGAGTCAAGTAGCTGTCATGTCTGAGAGGTCTGAATCTGGAGATAACATGAACCAACAAGACAGGGAATCAATTGAAAAAAACCTTAAATTGGATGCAGCCAACCAGTTACTTGAACTGCACAAGACAATGCAGCTAAGGCCTTTGCCGAGCAGTACCCCAGGTAGTGGATCAGAGACAATGTCAGATTCAGGGGATGAGGCAAGTCTCAAGCAGTTGTCACCACCAAGCCAAAGCTTACCTGTTGGACCACAACCTCCAGCTGCAGTAAGTCCTAGTTTGATCCGTCAAGAAGTTGCAAACATGTCATTGTCAAGCACAAGTCACATGGAGCAGGCACATGTCGTTCCACCTGAAATGGCTCATGAGGGTGCAAAGTTTGAAGTGCCTCCAAGTTTGCACATGATGTATAACCGTAATGTACAGCCTAAGCTCCAGCAGGAAAAGGATTATCTTCGACTGCCTTTTCAATATTCCAGTTATCAAGGGAATAAAAATTTATCTTTATCTGATGCAGAAATGTATAGACATGCAGCTAGCTTTTCTTCACTGAAAGTGCAAACAAGCCATTTGGTCAATGGCAACCACTTTGTTAATGACAGTGCTTCCCAGCATATTTTGCGTTCCCCTGAAAAGTTTGATTCACAAAGCCAGAGAAGGGATCACAGCAATTTTAGTGAAAACATCTCAAAGAGAGAGGAACTTCCACAGGATGACAGTGCAGTGAGAAAGTCTCCAGAGAGAACAAACAATGTGGCTTGTCATCGGGTGTCCGTCATTCAGTATCACTCTAGTGCACAAACATCCTCAAATGATGGAAGAAATGAAGAAAATTTGATCAAAGATAATTCACAAGAGACATCAAAAGCTTTGAAAAGTAAAATAAATGATCATCTACAGAGTAATGAAGAGCAGCAAAGGAACTACAACTTCATGAACAGTATGAAATATTTTTCCAGGATTCCGAGGGAAGGAATTCCATACATACCACTTACCACTGAAAGTGCTCTGGCACTACAGATGTGGAACAAAGAGATGAATGGCCATGCCATAGATTACTCTTGGGCTTTGAAGGAAGCCACAAGGTTTAAAATGCATAGAGAACAAAGTGGGCAGTTACCCCCTCCAAAGCATATGCCAGAAAATGGCCAACATAATTTCTTCTCCCACAAAGATGTGCAGCCATCAGCAGATATCTACAATTCTACTTCACCAGCAGTGCAAGAGAGATCAGTTGAGAGGTTGAAGTACTTAGCAAGAGAACATATCAAGGTGAAGGACATGGAAGGAGACACAAGAAGGGAGACAAAATCACCTGTTGGTGGAAATGATTCTGAGACATCTGATACGTCAGACTCCGGCGATGTTCTTCAACCTGGGAAAGTGTTGGCAAATTCTGAACAACAGTCTTTATCTTCTGAGCCCTTAGGTGAGCAGAGTTTTGTGTAATTTTTTACCAGAATTAGCCACTTGTGAGAGTTACTGACCCGACAGAGTGTATTTCACATGTATTTAATTTTAATTTAAGCTTTAGGTCCAGGTTTGCATATTTGGGATCAAATCTGGGGTGATTGTGGTTATTTTTTTGTAAGGCAAGACACTGTACCCTTAGGATTTGGTCTCAAGTTTGGGATATCCAGCCTTTTAAGGTTTGAAGAAATGCAACTTTTTAAGTCACTGCTAACAAAGTTAGTTGTGTTAGGCATTCAGGCTCTTTTGGAGCAAACTTTCTTATTCCTTTCTTCTTTTTTGGTCTTCATAGACCAGAGATCCTCTCCAGAGAGCGCTATTCACCACTGTCAAGTCTGCAAGAAGACATTCTCCCGCTCTAGCCTACTTAAGCAGCATTCGGTCATCCACATGGGAAACAAGCGCTTTAAATTCCGCTGTGAAGTTTGTGGCAAGATGTTTCGGACACGCAGTCATCTGCGGGATCATACTAGAATACACACAGGTTTGTCGGTCATCTTTTGTAGTTGTAAAATACTTTTCACTAATTACAAACTTCAGTGTGTTCACTTAATCACCAGTTGCCAAGTAAAATGGTGCCCTTCTTCAGCAAAGCCTAGAATGTTCTAAAAAATATATGCTGTTATTTTATTAAAGGTGAGAGACCTTTCAAGTGTCACATCTGTGAAAAAGCCTTCAAACAGTCCAGTGACTTAAAGAAACACATCAACCTTCACACAGGAGCAAATCAGTTTAAGTGTGAAGAGTGCAACATGGAGTTCCGTAGAGCTGATGCACTTCGCAAACATAAGCTGGGACACAAAGTGGGGAACATGCCTTGTGGACATTGTGGGAAAAACTTCTTGCACATTAATGCCTTAAGAGCACACAGAGCCATGCATAATGGTAAGGTTTCATTTTACTTCTAACCATATGCTGCTGACATAGTGCAGTTTGAACTTTGTTGGTGGCTTTTAACCTTTTGACTCTTAAGGGTGAACAGCATCTAATTTCTCTTAATAAGGTCAGGAGAATAAAGGAAATGATCACAACTAAAGAAGCTCTCGATTGGTAATTAAATTCTTTTTGTTAACACCTTAGGAAATGTGTAGAGAACAGTATGGAGAATATGCATACTGATGTTAATGCATAAAGAGTTAAGTTTGTTTTACTGACAAGAACGTTCTTTTCTTTATATGAACAGTGCAACCTGTAAAAGCAAGCAGATCCTTTCACCGATGTAACTACTGCTTTAAAACATTTACAAAAGCAGAAAGCTACAAGATACACATTGAAGCACACTCTCGTGAGCAGAATGGAACAGTGGTGCCTTTTGATTGCAAGATCTGTTCCACAAAGTTCCTCTCAGAAGCAGCATTTCAAGATCACATGAACATTCACAACGGAAAGCGGCCTTACAAGTGTTTTGTTTGTGATAAGGAATTTTGCATTGCTGAGCATCTGCAAGATCATGTCCGCCTGCACTCTGATGTGTCATCACGTCATAGGTGTGAGGATGATGGTAATAAATTTAAAAGACCAGATGACCTTTTAAGGCATTCAGCAATTCATGCTTAATGGCAAAGGAGGTTGAAAAGTCAGCCATTGAAAGAAAAATATATTTAAAAAAAATATTGACTAAAAAAGTTTCTCAGACTAATTACTCCATACATGTGATATCAGTTATCTGAGTACTGATATTTGACCTTTCTGTACAAAACTTTAAAGTTTGGGTGTACGACAATTCTGCTATCTGGATGTTGGAGGCAGTGTAGTATTATGAAGATTTCATAAGAGCAAAGGACAAAATGAGTTACATCCAAGGATAGCAGTGCGAAAAAGTTATGGTATGAAATATTAGCTATAACAAATAATTATTAATAATAATTATTAATATATTTTGAACTTAAGATTATCATAATTATTATTATTGGCTGGCTCACTGTCAATGATATTTTAGGAAAAAGGTTATTGATGCTGATTAAAGGCAAGACTTCATTTACTTTTTAAACTAAGTTCATCATTTTTACAGTGTAAATATCAGGAGAGCACTTTGACATCAAGGATTGCTGGTATAGAATCTAGGCCCCTTTTGGCATCCCATTTCTGGACACCTTTTTTAAGGGTCCAGAACTAAAAATTGGACACCTGAAAGGAGGGAATTTTGCCCACCTCCAGAAAAAGGACTGTGGTCAAGATGACTCTCTGTGGAAAGAGCAAGGGTGTGCCTTGTGATGAATTACCAATACTTTGATCACAAATTTTATCAATCACTGTTTATTTATAAAGTTATTACACTGAAGGAAGATTATTTAGTCTAGTTTCTTTGACCAAAAACCTGCACATGCCACAAAATTTGGTTGGTTGGGTTTAGTTATTGCCATGTGTCACAAATCAGACATACTCAATCAAACATGCACCTTTGTAATTAAGCTACTGATAAGTAAAACTAAAGTTTTCATGCTTCAATTTTCTTTATGTGGTTGGCACAAAATTACAGGTGACTTGGTTGTTTCTAAATAACATTGATTGATCAACCAGGAACTTGGAGCCAAGCTCAGAGATTTTCACTTCTTTGAAATGATCATTACTAACAACTCTTCAGCGAAAGATAGATGAAAAATGCATACTATTATCTGCCACAGTTTTCTTTAATTGTGTGCTTAACTATCTTTTACATTTTCCAGGAAATATGTAGTCTTTTAAAACTAAATAGCTTTATGAGATGTTCTATTCCTGTCTGCAAAATAATATTTTCTCAGTTTGGTCAATTACTTTGCCAACTGAACAGTTCACATTATTGAAAGTTTATTGTCAACCACATAGATTGTGGTCACAGTTTGCATTAATTTATTGAGTTAAATAGTGTTATTTAGTCGGCAGGCCGACTTTTAGTATTATTAATTGTAACTTCTTACAGTAATTTTAATTTATAATTGTGTCCAGTCATGTGATGCTCAATTTGAAAATGGATAAAACTGTGGAACAGAGATCTGATTGTGCATTCTCCCCTCTAGCTGCTTCACATTTCTTTGTAAATTATTTACGAGAATTTGGTGTTAAATCAAGTTAAAAACTTGAATCAGATAAATTTGTGTATTCTTGATACTGGTTCACTGGATAATGTATTGACATTGCAGGAAGAGGTTACATGTAAAACAGTTATGGAAGTTAAAGGGTTAAATGCAAGTATTGAAAGTAATTTTTTTAAATCAGGTCTAAATTCTTTAACAGGTTTCTTTAGTCTTTCCAATCTGTGTTCTGTTTCACAGCTCAGAAAACCATGATCACCAGATAAATTTGTGAAATTTTTTTTTTAGTTCCAAGAAAAAGCAAATCAGACAACAAAAACCCGAATGACAAACTGCAAGTGTATTTAGGAAAAGTTTTGAGGTCTGCTTGTGTGTCCTGAACTTTATGGTCATGTGATTGTTCAGGATACAATTGACTTATTCAAGTCAAATCAAAGTGTTTGTGGTTTACTTAGTATCACTGTAACTGTGATTATGATACATGATGTTTGGTGTTTATCAAGCTTCCCTGCTGGTGAAATTTCATCTCTCTTTGAGCAGGTAAACCTCAGTCTAAATTTTTAACCAAAAACACCTTGTCTGGTCTTGAAGCACTTTAAGGCATTAATTAGAAACAATCCCATGTGATATTTAATGATCTGGTAAATATATGCAAGACTCTTAATTTTTTTTTATCCTAGCTGGCCGAAACTGGCCGTAATGGAAATTATCTTGGTTTAGTTCACACTAAGAGGTTTTAAATATACTGTAAGACTCTCTAATTGTACTAACTTTGGATGGTAGACTTTGTTGTCTGCATGTTGAGAATGAGTGCAATAAATCAGTGACACTTGATATTTACTGCCTTTTGATATTTTATTGTCTCATCAACCCTCGTGATTTACCTTATTTTTTTCAAGAATCTGTGTGGGCATGAAGTTATCATCAGTTTGTTTTACATTTCAAGAACTCTAGCAGATAGCTTCTTTCTTTCCATCCCCCCCAACTCCATACCTCCCTTCCCAACCCTTCTAAGTACTCTCTGCATTACTTTCTCATACTGTATTTTTTACACTGCTATTCAGTGGTATGGAGTATACAGTCTCCATTTTGGTAGGGGAGGGGAGGGCTTGGTCTTAGTAGTTGAGTACTCTATTGATCATTAGCAAACCTAACATGCGAAATTTATACAATGTCATGAGGGAGCAGAGATGGTACAGAGGAAAGAGTGCCTGACTCCCATTGCTGTGGCTGAGTTATTCTCAAACCTGGTATCATGTGGGTTGAGTTTGCTGTTGGTTCTTGTCCTTGTTCTGAGGGTTTTCCTCTAAGTTCTTCAGTTTTCCTCCCCCCACAGAAACCAACATTCCAAATTCTATTTCAACCTGGAGAAAGTGGACAAGAAGAGCCACCTTATGGAATGTTCACTGCTAAAATTCAGTCCATTCCCCATTAAGCCACACGTGAAATTGCAGATATCAAAGAATCAGACATTGCTCCCTTAGTGTTCTTTTATTGAGGGTGGGTACATGTACACATAAATAACTGCAACGTAAGAAACTTTGAGTAAAACATGACACTCTCTCTACTAGAGAACCACAATCTAAGATAATAATAACTTACACTTGCACTCTGTACCCTGTAAATATCATACCCTAAAAATCACTCTTAACAATGTGGTTTTGAAAAATATCTCCAAACTGCAGTGTTTTATGGAACCATTTCACGTCTATGCAAATGTAGCCCACCTGAGGGGCAAATGAAACTTACCTGAGTAAACATCAAAGAAACAAAAAAATCACTTTCTACTATTTTTTCCAATGGTTCGGCTTCATTTGCATGGACCTGAAATGGGTCTGTTTACTGATAAATATTCTATTGACATATACAGCAATGGTAAAATGTATTAATTATAACTTGTTATTATTTGTACATTTAAAAAAAAATATTTGGGCCAGCTGCATGCCTTACCCTTACACATGAAAGCGTGCTATGAAAGGAGAGGTGCCTTAGGTACCTCTGATTCATTTGTCAATCAACTGTCATGGCATGCAGACCTCTATATTCAAAACAGCTTGAGCTGCAGCCAATCTAAAGGGAGTGAACAGCAGACAGAATTAATTTGTTGAGATTTACATCTCCTTCATCCAATCAATGTTTACTTGTTACAGTGAATTTGATATTCAAATGATCTGCTTTGCCATGGCATAACATCACCACAGCATAATTTGCATTTGAGCTGAAACCAAGGGGCAGAGTCAACCTATTTATAGTGTGCCTTTTTTTTTAACATGTATCTTCTCCCTGTAATATCAATACATTATCTAGCAAATAGGTAGAGAGAACACTACTTGTGGGTGTTAAGGGCTGACCAGTATGGTAGTGAAGGTAAAGAATGTGGAATTTAAAGCATGGAGGAGGCGCTGACTTTTCCCTTGGGTGCTAATACTTCCAGCATAGCTGATGTCATTGCTGGAAGATCATACACATGCTGCCAGTTCCAATCCTTCCTTGCATTACTGTCTTCTAGAACCTGAGGCCAACTATCAGCTGCAAAAAAACAAAGTTCCATTTTAAAAATCTTTCTAGTGATTATTCAGGAGAATTGTTTTTAAAGTCAGTATCTACATTCTCCATACTCTTCTCTACACATTTCCATTGATACTGACATGGAGAATTCGTTTATCGATCAAAGCTCCATGGGTTGGCAATCATTGTCTCTATTCTCATGATCTTACTGAATGATTCAGCAGAATTTCTGTGGGGAGAAATTAGATGCTGGTCACTCCTGGGGTTTAAAGGATTAATTTCTTCTCCACTTACACCCAACCCCCTCCCCTCATGCAAAGTCTTTAAACCTTTAACTCCTGTAAGTGACCAAGACAGAATTTCTCCTTACAATGTTGATACAATATCAACCAGACAAGTGATGACAGTCAATATATCAATCAGACAAGAAAACTATCAATTTGGGGATAATTAGTCAATCTAATACTTAATTCTCTTAACTAACATTATAAGAGTTGTATGGTTGACAGTAAGGAGAACTACAAATTTGGTCTGGGAGTTGGAGGGTTAAACCTACCTATAGCCTGTCTTTCATCAGGTTCATATTCCATTTTCAAAGTTGGAATGAATTTTCGTATTGCACCAGCCAGCTCTTCAGGTGTGAAGCTTATGGCACTGATATTATATGTGCGCAAATTCAACTTATCTGAGGGTGCCTCTAACAACTCAACAGTTGCTCGTAAGCAATCTGGGAGATATATCATTGGCATTCTTGTATCAGGGCGCAGATAACATTTGTATTTGCCAGTTCTTAAGGCCTCATGGAAAATGTGGACAGCATAGTCTGTAGTACCACCCCCTGGGGCAGTCTCAGCTGAGATGACCCCTGGAAATCTGGCTGAGCGGAAATCCAAACCAAACTTGTGATGGTAGTACTGTTAAAGAGAGCACAAAGAAAAAAAATGGTAACTGAATGATGTGAAAAATAACAATGATGACAAGAATTATTACAGGTAACTGATAAAACAAACAAAAAACAAGAACAAAATTTTTGACTGATCAGTAGAAAAGATTTAAAACTTCATGGGTACCTCTCCAAGAAGTTCCATATGAACTTTGGAGACCCCATAGATGGTCTTTGGCCTCTGAACTGTCACATCAGGGGTGGGGTTTGACGGAGTTTCAGGACCAAATGCTCCAATTGTGCTTGGGCAGAACAGCCTCAAGTTATTTCTGCGGCACAGTTCAAAGATATTGTGAACACCTTCAACATTTACTTGTAGCGCTTGCGACACATTCTGTTCACCCACAGCACTAAGAATAGCACTGAAATGAACCAGCCAATCAATGCGTTCATTGACGACAATGGACTGAAGGTTTTTTAAGTCCAGGATGTCAGCATAAATGTATGGACCTGTCAGCATGGCATAAAAAAAATTATCATTTAATGTATATATAAAAGCTACTAAACTGAGGCAGAGCTACTGAACAAAGAGAAAGTGTACTTTAGGCCCAAATTTGTAATTTTCTTGTCACTGCATTTGGTAGAAGATATTCACAGTGCCCTCTTTGATCTTGAATGCAAATTGATGTGTGGGATGATAGGGTTAAGATATTCAAGTTCAACCAAAAACAATTAATGAAAAATTCAGGGAAGACCGTTCAACACAATGTATGTGAATTAATTGACAACAGGAGAAAGAGCAATTGCCAAACTTACCACTCTCCAAAACATCCCATGATGCTTTTGCAATGTCTGACATGATGACATTATCTCTTCCATACTTCTCTCTGAAGCAATAGAGGAAATAATCACAGACAAAATTAGCTAATAAGTTACAACCACTTAGTATATTTAATCAGTGTAAAAATAATTCATTCAAAAATTTCTGTCGGATGAAAAAGTATCCTTGGTAACAGATGAGAAATTATTTTTCTTCTTTGTTATCAAAAGTATCCTTAATCCCGATAAATGAACCGACTTCAATTGTTTATGTCTGCCAGACTAAGAACCTTGCTGTTTTATGTAGACGTCTGAATAAATTACAATTTCTACAGGTACTACTCTGTAAACAATATATATTCTTACCTTTTTCTAAATAAAGTTTTCCATTACTCATTTCAATTGAAAAAAAGGAGGGCCGATAAATGTCAAACTCCTCTTGGAAGAGAAACTCTAATAAAATCATTCACATTGTGTAAAGATATTGAGCAGTGGCTACGGTATTGACTCAGCTGTGCCAAAGGGGATTTAGTACCTTGGTTCAAATCAAACCGATCTCATGCGTTATAAAGCTAGCTCAGTCCAATTGATCTAGCTTGTTGTTGTTCACAACAAGTGACCAACAATTAAAATTTTAACTGAATATTTGTTAACCTCGTCGATATAAATTCCTCGACATTTCTTGCATACTTCAGCGAGTTATTGTTCCGTGTCTAACCACGTTAGTTAAAACGTCACTTTGACGATGCACTTGCTAGTAGAAATAAAGTAAAGTAAGTCAAAGGGAAGATGTATGGAGCGAATGGAATATCGAACCGTAAATAAACTGTATCACGTTGCAACCGCGTGGCATAAAAAATGTAATTATAAGTTGACTTATTACAAATTATAAGTTGGAACCGAAGACAGGCACTTTTTCGGTTTTCCTTACCTTAAGATTTTAGCAAGACCACGTCCAAGTTGTCCCAAACTACCTGCATAAACAAAAATAATTATTTGATTATAAAGAATTTGTTATCAAGAAACAAGGACTGATATAAATTTGTGTCCATCTTTAATTTCAAAGTATTGACCCGTGAGGCGATAGCATCAAAGTACGTCTTCACAAAAATGTGTTCGTCGTAGGACGAATGCATTAATAAAACCCACGTTTCTCGTCATTTCCAGTAGTATCTCTCATGTTTCTTTGCTTTAAACGCTTCAAAACAGTTCTTTAATGCTGGATGAACAAAACTTATGATGAAAATTATCCTAAATACAGGGCAACTACGGGGCAGAAGTTAATATTAACTGAAGACTAACACATCGTGAATGACGTACCAGTGATCAAAATTCGCGGGAAATCTTTCTTCGCCGCTGAGTAAAACGTACGCGTCTTTCCAATAACATTCTCGGTCATACAAACAAAGTGGCCCAATCTCAAGTTCTTCGCAAACATTTCTGTCCAAAATCAAAAGGTCAAAACGATATGATATGGTACACCTTAAACGTTGAACTACGGTGGTTACGTGACTGCTTTCCGTGGACTCATGAATTATGTGCGTTTGTTGTGCCTTGGGGCGTTAAGAGGGAGTGCAGGGGGTGTGTTAATTCAATTGACCAATCACGAGTGAGAAGAGGTTATTGAAATGATAGTGCTCACGTGCTCTTTACTATGAATTCATAATAACATGCGTGATCTGTGCGTGAAAACTATATAAGCCACAAGCTTGATTTAGAAACCATAATTAAAAAGTCAAAGTCATCTTCTTTATAATAAAGTTCGGATATAACGCGCGCCGTCATTGGTTGAAAGAGGGTGCTCTATGAGAGTATAGAACATGGAGCTTAACTAAAGCTGTTATTCCATATGTTAAATTGAACTATGTCCGACCTTTTCTGGGACTTTTCTCTAATTTTTTTTTCTTTCATTGAAAGTGAAATTTCGGAACGGGCGAGTCGGTAAATAGCAACAGAAGAACCAAACAAAGGTGTGTAAACGTGCTAGGCGCCGTAATTGACGTTATTATAACGTGAGCTGAGACGAAGATCCTCAAAGAGAAAACGAAATGGACAGTCCGAGTTTTGAAGGTTTTCACACTTCAGTTAGATTGCAAGCTTACGTACGATAATGATAATCAAACACAGCGAACACTTGTGTAGTATATATAGTTTCGTGTTCAAAAACAAAACAACAGAACAGGAATGATGATAAATATAGACAAACTGGCATAACTGTTAAAATTCATACTAATTATGACGGTGTCAGAGCGACCGTGATCAAGCTGAGTTTCATTCATAAAACACACCCTTGAACAGTTTGTTTTCTAATTGTCATGCGAAAAAACTGGCGTTTTTTCATGAGCCACAATTCGCCCGGATTTCACTGAACATTTCACCTTCAGGTTCTGTATTAGAGACTAAAAAACTTCAGGCAAAAGCGTCAAATTCGACCTGCCGAACTATTACGTTTGTAAACTATTGCAAAATGTGAACATTCATGGTTTGACATTTTTGACAGCTTTATTCTCGTACAGCCAATCAGAATATTTGAACCATTCTAACAGGGTTCTGAGTGGCTTATTGTAGCGTGCTTTATGAGGGTATAAAGCTTGCTAACGACACTGTTGTTCGCTTTGGAAATTAAGTTTGTTTTGAAAATTGAAAGTAATGCATGGGGAATTTAACGGATTCTTCATCATAAAACAAACAGAGAAGCCTTGACTGTGCTCTGTTCTGTTGTGAAGCACTTAGGAACCAGCTAGAGCTCTCAAGAAGTGGGGAGAAACATTCGAATAAGTCTCGTGTTTCTCTCTACACTTCTTTCGTGCTCTAGCCGCTCACAGAGCACATTCAAGGCTTCTTTATTTGTTAAATCAAGGTGTCCATGAGTTTCCTTATTGGTTAAAGTAGCTATGTAAAGATCTTTTTATGCAGGTTTGTGCATATTATGCGTAAATTTGACGACAGGGTTCTTTTTCCTGTAACTCTGCGTGCCTTTTTACACAAATGAATAGAGGTATCGCTTTTGGAGAATGCTAGGCGATCACAGGATTCATTTTTCCAAACTTCTTTGAAAGCTGGTGTCCAGGGTCTGAGGATAGATCGCCTAACAGGGGCATGGAACCAAATCACGCGACTTGTCTCCTACAGTTTTCTACTTCTTCCTTCCCGAAGCAATTTCCCTGCTTAGATAAAGATGGATCGTAGCACTACCTATTTTTCCGTAGTTCTCGCTTCATTTTTGGCTTTCTGCAGTGCTGATGGCAATGGAACAATACCTGCAATAATCTGGCATGGAATGGGTTAGTTTACAAGGCTGAATATAATGAAATGATCCTTAGCGGAAAAATATTTTTAAGTGGCAATTTGCAGGCCTGTGGTGACGTGAATTTCGCTTTCGGCATGATAGCCAGTTGCCTCGACCGACTGTTCGATTGTTTTAATTGAAAGGAAAAGGATAGAAGTTAATTTTTACTTCGTAAAAGGAAGGTGATTATGTTTGTTTTTGCGAAATGCTCATTGTCGTTCCGTGGCAGGGAAGGTCAAAGGAATTTAATTTCGTTCTTCTTGCTCGTTGCGTTGTTGAAAATATTCAGTCGTCACCCGTGAATAGCTAAAGATTTGGTTTATTCAATGTGCTCAACACACTCTAAGAGCCAGTGTTTTGCATTTAGTGACATGTGTAGCAGTGACATAACACTTCAAACAAATTATTTCTGGGGAATATTTGTCTTTGTTCTTATTTGCTATCTCGAGCATGCGCATGGAAATCAATTTTTGGCCAAAAGTGTGCAATATAATGCAACACTCAAATAGAGGGAATTTACCTTCATGTAACAAATCTGAATCTGAGACTGAATCTTTCACTACAGGTCAATATTTTAAACCTCCTAACCCCCTCCTCTTTCAAAGTCATTGGCAGAAATTTAAGTGAAAGGAAGCACTGCTTACAGCATTTCAAAACCATTGATGGAGTCCTCTTGTTTATCAAAAGGGGTGAATTCTGTCATAGATTCATATAGTTTTGTATGATCTCATTGAAGATGCAATGCAATATACAATAGGCAGTAATTTCGAAAATCCAGACTTGACACTTCACTGTACAATACAAGTAAATTTGCCAACTTATGCTGATTTTTTTGCACGTAGGTGATTCATGCTGTAACCCCCTGAGCATGGGATCAATCAAGACAATGCTGGAAAATAAAATTCCTGGTATTTATGTACGGTCGTTGATGATTGGAGATTCAGTCATACAGGTAAGGTCATGTTAAAAAAAAAATCAGTTTTCTTTCACCATCTTCCTTGGCATGCAAACCTTAAATGGAAACTAGATAAAGTTAACAGGACCACAGTACAGTGTTGAACAAATGAACACAGCAGAGAGAAACTCAAGGCAATCAACAGTCATTCAATACAGCTTAACTAAATGTTTTTATCACTGAAAATACAATACTCATTGAAGTAAGCAATGGCCATGGCACAGTAGAAGAAACAATCAGCTTGCTGATACATACTATACACACAAACAGGTTCAAGAATAGGCGCGTGTGCTCTCTTGTCAACACCAGCATGCATGTGATTTTATATGTGTACTTAATGCATTTTACAGGCATATTTAGTCTCTTTATCATTGACCTGCACAGTATTTCTCAAAGAAATCTTTTTTATCAATAACTTGGCTGTGACAACAACTGCACTTAAAAGTGATGTTTCTCTTATTTCAGGACACTGAGAATGGCTTCTTCATGAATGTTAATGACCAGGTACTTTATAATTTTTACAGTTCATTTTTAGTTCCAGCTCATTCAGTTGCAACATTTATTGAATGATGCATAAATTGCCAAAATTTCTTGAACAAACTTTTTATACAATGTTTTACTCAGAAACTGGTTCTACTTAGCTTCTATTTAAAATGACTGTTTGCCTCATTTTGTATTTATGGTGCAATCAGGATTTGCATTTTGTTAAAATATTGTAGTAGGATTGACTGTTTTCTTAGCTAGAGTTTTTTCACTGTTTATAGTTGTGTTTCCCCTCACTTCCTTTTTTTCTGTGTGAATGTAATCGCCAATCATAGATTTGGTGCAAAATATTTTCTCAAGGAGAAGAGACTAGGGGCACTAGTCAACAGAGGGAGAGAGAAACAATGATGATAATGAGCAATAATATTATTCCTTTACATCCTAGCATCAGTATCCATATTCTCCCCACTCTTCTCTATACACTTTCTTTGGTACTGACAAGGAGAATTTGTTTAACAATCAATGCTTCTTAGGTTGGCAATTGTTTTGTTAATTGTCATGATTTTAATGAACAATTAATGTAAGAAGAATGGAGATGCTGATAACTTTTAGAGCCAGTTTATAATGGTAATTGAACTGAGTGGAGTGCAATTTGGGCTGAAATCATACGTGTGATTCCAAAATTGAACGAGCGCGCAGCGCGAGTTCGATTTGAAATCAAAAGTATGATTTCAGACCAAAATTGCACAACACGAGGTTCAATTGCCACTTTATTACATCCATTTTGAAATCGCCCAAATACAGGACTTGGTCAGTTCAAATATTTTATTAATACAATACTGAGCTGGTTTGAAATTAAATTCATCCATTTTTTGGGAGGAAAAAATAAGAGTTTTGGAAACAAAAGTTGCAAAATTTGCCATATGATACTCCATGTCTTTCATCTTCCTGCAATATGATCGGTTACTTTAAACAAGCCTTGAAGTCTGATTGGTTGTTTTGTTTTTAGTGTAGCCTCCTCACTGGCTGGGGAAAAGATGCGATTTAAAGCAAAAAATGGTGCAATTTGTGAATAAATCGCACCAATTAGAGCCAATCAGATTACAGGGACCATCAGTGATTTCAAAATGGGTGTAATAAAAAGGGTTACTGGAAAGAAGGCAGTAAGGAACCAAAAGGATTGGTAGACCTAATTTTTGGTTTATTATTTAACCACAACACTGCCTGAAATTGAAGTTTTCCTAACAGGTCAAACAGGTTTGCGACAAAGTTGCTAATGATCCAAAGCTGAAAAATGGATACAATGCACTGGGGTTTTCACAAGGAGGACAGTTCTTGTAAGTACAAGTGCTCATAAACTGTTTTCTTTTATTGCACCCTACAGTGGATATTTAATTAATGTCATATCTTTGCTGCCTAGAGTCTATGGTTGTAATTTTGTCCAAGTGATTCCTTAAACAAAATTATTTTCTATTGTAAAGGTTGCAGAAGGTGGAGTTGTAAATTTACATCAGTCACATGAATCAAAGATTTTGTCAGCATCAAACATGCATGTCTGTTCTTAAAAATTGTCAGATTAATGTTAACATTATTAAATCAAAATTTGTACCATAATGCCCATAATTTCTTTAGTTTCATCACTTTTCTGCTTGTTTTTGTTTCTTTTTGTTTTGTTTTTCTAAGGCGTGCTGTTGCTCAGAGATGCCCTAACCCTCCCATGCTGAATTTGATAAGCTTTGGTGGACAGCACCAAGGTGAGAAACTCACGTTTAACAAATGTTGTTTAACTCTTCATTAATTTTAGAAACAAGTGAAATTCATTTCTTGACCTTTCACTCTTTGTGTGTAGGTGTTTTTGGATTTCCTCATTGCCCTGGGGAAAATTCCACCATTTGCTCTGTGCTCAGAAAGTTACTTAACTATGGGGCATATAATTCGTGAGTTAACCTTTATACTTGATTGTTCTAGTGCTCATTTTGTTCTGTCAGTTTTATTTAGCATCACTTGGGAACACTGACTCCAGAGAAAGAACTTGCAAGAAATGTTCATGTATTCAAGTAGAAGGTTTAAATTTGTCTTTTTCAAACTGTTTCTCTGAATTGTCACTGAATGATTATCCCTTTCACTGTCAACATCAAAACTTCGGATCAATATCAGTATCTGGGCAACTGCCCACCTACCCCTCCCCTAACTCAGCAACAGTCAATTGACAACAAGTTAAGGTTGATGTTGGGTTAGGGGAGGGGTAGGTGGGCAGTTGCTCAGATGCTAATATTGATCCAAAAATTCAATTCTCCCCACTTCCTTCTTCCTTAAATTTCATAACATTTCAGCTCTGAGAAAATGATATTCAATCAAATGATATCCCTAGGTTGTTGTTTTTGTTTCTTTTATCACCTATCTGCCTGAAAATGAAGTTATGTTTTATAAGAAAAATTACTTTCTATTGCCACCTGGATGTGGAAGGGGTTTGAACCATACCATAGAAAATGCAACTGGCTAGAATACATGAAAGCCTCTATATTTTGTGCTGAAGAAGGTGATTATGTATATTTGATAAGTTACAGATCTTATTTGTATTATTTATTGTCCATTTCCTTATTTTTTCCCTTTTCCCCATTCCTTTACAGATGGATTCAAAAGAAGTAAGTATCTTCTCTAAGTCATTAATATTATTATCAAGATTTCAGTGAGAGTTCACAGCTGAAAGAACACTAAGAACTTCAAGATTTTTTATTTGTGTCTGATTTGCTGGGAAGAAGTGCATTTTGACAAAGGACTGATGCTCAAAACATCAGCTTTGAAACTCTTTATGGTGGCCAATTTATGTGATCAACTCAGTTGAAAATACATAATTATCCTGTTATACTCTCTCACTAACTAAAGGCAGCACTACAGTTTTTTCAGAAACGTACCCCCTTTATTTATTTGTGTCATTTTTTAGCCTTGTTCAAGCAGAGTACTGGCATGACCCTCTGAATGAGGAAGAGTACAGAGAGAAAAGTGTGTTCCTGGCTGATATAAACCAAGAAAAGGTGAATAGATTCAATCATGGTTTTTAAAATCAAAACTACAGCCTCTACCTGATAAGTTTGAGTACTGTCTTTACCTCATTGCTGGGCAATACATGGATATTATAGAGAAAGGTTAATACATGTTAATTACTTCTGAGAGTTAAACCCTTTAACTACAAAGATCTCATCAGTAATTCTCCTTTCTGTCTCCCATACATTTCTTGTGATGTTAGTTTGGAGAATTTGGTATTGGATCAACTTATAATCCCCTAACTGATATTCTTCTTTATTCTCATCACTTGTCTGCTTGATATTGTATTGATATTGTAAGGAGAAATTCTGTCTTGGTCACCCATGGGAGTTAAAGGTTTAAGAGTTATATCATCCATTTCTACTGCAAAAGTAAAGAGGATTTCAGTGGAATATTGTATGTTTGGTATGGTATGCTGTTTCAGAGGAAATTACCTTTTATTGATTTCATCTTAGAAATGGGCCTTATTATTAAAATTAACAGGAGAAGATTCCTCAGTATAAAGAGAACCTGATGAAATTAAAGAACTTTGTGATGGTCATGTTTGGCAAAGACACCATGGTGGATCCCAAGGAATCTGAGGTATGAGCTACTTCCATGAAGATAGGGATTCTAAGGGGGATGAAGTGATCTGTCTTGAAACCCACAGGCTAACTGATTTTAATTTTTACATACCTTTCTTCTGTAATTGGAATGTGATGGTGTTTCATATTTTTCAAAGTTTTATATCAACCTTAGAAAAGATCAGTAAAACTAGTAAAGACAACATTTCAAAATAACAGTTCTTTGAGTCAAATTACTCTCATCAGTCATGTTTACAATCAATTGCAGAACAGGTTCTTAAGAGCTATTTTTATCTTCTTTTCCCTTTTTGTCCTGACAATGTTGCTTTTTTTTAACTCTCTAGTGGTTTGGTTTCTATAAGCCTGGTCAGGGTGTGGAGAAATATACTCTGCAAGAGAGTCCATTGTACCAAGAGGTGGGCAACTCTGCTCTTTTTTAAAATAATCATATTTAGGGTCTACAGGTAGATACGAGTCATGTTAGCATCTTCCAAGTTTGGAAAAGTACCTACTTCAAAGATGGGTCTAGAGTGAAGAAAGCAACTTAAATTTGCAAAATTTTTCTTATTCACAATTAACTGTCAAATTGTATTGAGAAAAATAGAGACAAGTCTGTTTGAATGGAAGTTTTCACCAATTAAAACTGTCTCATCAAGGTTGCAAAAATGGAACAAGACAACTTTTTCATCCTGACTACTTTTTGAATGTCAAATACAACAGAAACTACATTTGACCATTTCCAATTCTACTCAGACTGTGACTGTGATTGTGAAATATTTTCTATAAATTGTTTCCTTTCTTATTGTAGGATTGGCTTGGACTAAAGCAAATGGACAAAGACAACAAACTCCATTTCCTAACTGCAGATGGGGATCACCTGCAATTTACTGAAGAGTTTTTTAATAAACAGATCATACCATTTTTGAAGTAAATTCACAAGATGGTTAAAGAAGCTCTACACTCTGTTGTTTGAACAGTTAATGATTTTTCATCAGACAATCATATGACTGTTGACTGTTTAGCCCTTATTGTTTAAAAAAGTACTGATTAATGATGGTTAGATGATAGAGTGTTTGTAAATGCGTGACTGAGTATTTTACATTTTTGTAGAATGATTTTTTGATACTTTGATAGCACTGGAGATCACATACAGACTAGTGTTAGTTACTTGTGAAATTTAAAGTAGAAAGGAACAATAGTGTCAAAAATCAAAACTAAGATACATCAAAATTTTATTTCTATATTAACTAAATACTTTAACTTTAAATAATACCATAGCAAATTAAGGAACAATTTTGCCAAATCTTGTTCAAAATAAATACCTTTGCTTTGGTTTGTTTTAATGTAATTTATTCAATGCAGTTTTATCTTATAATATTACTATTTCTAGAGCCTTATTGCCTGTAATTAAAACCTGTTTTTAAAGTGTTTTACAATGTTAAAACTTAAGTATTTCACAAATTTTGTTTCCACTTTTAATTGACAATTTCTTAGCTTGAGTGCAAATAACCTAAACAACCTCCCTCTCTCTTGGGCTCTTTGATCCCCCCTTTCTCTACCCCCCTTACATTTTAATTTTCTAGCAACAATCTTATCAGACTTGCATATTGGACTCCTCTACATACATAATATGGTTTCTGAAGCATAATTCTTTATTTGCTATCCCTTCCAAGGCTCTTGTATTTTAGGTCTTCCAGTCCTAAATCCTTCCTCTAACCCATCTAAAACATTCATGTCCTCAGTAGACAGTTGAAAGTCAAATATACTGACATTTTCTACAATGCGAGATGATTGACTAGACTTTGGAATACAGATATAGTTTTTCTGTACACACCATCTCAATAATATCTGTGCTGGAGTTTTTACATGCTTATCAGCAACAGCTTTAATTGTTGGGTGGTCAAGTTTCTCGCCTCTTGTCAATGGTGAGTAAGCCTGGATGGCAATGCCTTCCTCTTTACAATAGTTGACCACATCACTTTCTTGTAAAAAGGGATGAACTTCAATCTGGTTGACAGAGGGCATAACAGTTGAGTGCTTCTTTAGTTCTTCAAGGTGGTGAATACCAAAGTTAGACACACCTATTGACCTGTGGAGAAAAATTTCAAAATATTTATTACCAATAATTAGCATGACTTAGACACTTCTTGATCTCTTTTTCTTTTACAGTGGCAATAGACTCATTCTAAGCCAAGTCTGAACTCTTCATAGTAAACACTTCCATTGTGCTGAAGTGGGAAAATCCTTCAAAATTTTTGACAAGCAATCTGGTCCCTTCTTATTATGGGAGTTCCCCAAGCATACCACTACAGCATTTTTCAGAAGTGCAAATAACATTCCTGAGATAGTATTTTTTAACGTCACTATTTGAATGATGGCATGTTATGTGTGCCTGAGGCAATGCACGAAAGTGTACCTTAAGACAGGCAGAGGGGGAGGAGGAGGTGATGTGGGCATGCTTGAAGTCAAAGCCTTCTCAGTTCTCTACTAAACAAGACTTACCCTGCTTGTATGAACAGTGAAACTTCAAATAAATTCTGACAAATTGAGACAAAAAAAAAACCCATTATCATTCATCGCACACCGGTTACATGAAGATTTCTACAAACCTAACTAGTCCTTGCTGTCGTAGCTTGACCATAGCACTCCATGAGGATATTACATTATCAGGAACCGGGGAATGCATCAAATACAAGTCCACGTATTCCATTCCTAATTTTCCTAAGCTCTTATTGAACGCTGCTAGCGTTTTGTCGAAGCCGTGATCATCGTCATATAACTTTGTGACCACAAATATATCTTCTCGTGGAATTTTGCTTTCCTTGATGGCTTCACCAACACTGTCCTCGTTTTTGTATCTAGCAGCAGTGTCGATTTGTCTGTACCCATTTTCCAAAGCGCATCGTACGGCATTTTTAGTTTCCACGCCAGATCCTGCTTGGTAGACACCCAATCCAAAGATGGGGATTTTTACGCCGTCGTTAAGAGTCAAAGCTGAAGAAATATTGACATCAGGCTCACTTCTAGAAGGAGCTATGGAGTACAACTTCGCGTGTTTTACTTTGAAAGCTTTGTCTTCACACTTATCAGCGTCCCTGTTACACGTTTCATCGGCCAAAGAGAGGGGCACAATCAATAAAATAACAATTAGGTTAGTCATCTCTCGTTAGACGCTAACAAACTTAAGGAGTAAGAGGAATTCCAAATAATTCTTTTTCGACATGGCTGCTAGCGTGTACAATGGAAATTTCTCGGACTCACCTTCGCTTCCAAGCCTGCTGGATTGCAAACCGCGTTCTTTTGACAGATACCATACAAAATGTTCGAGTGGTTACCATCGGAGAGGAAAATGGTTTTCTCCACCGAATCATTTCTTGATAATATTTTACGTGACCTCTTGTATGTCTTCCGATATCGCCGCCGCTGAGAAAATCAGTGTTTTGAAGTTATTTTCATTTGGCTTAGTTACCAGTCTTCTGAGGAATCTTGCCCAAAAATCAAAAGGTAGGAAGCCGGAAGTAGCATGTTTCAATAATTTTGTGCTGGTTGTTTTTCTTTTTCTTTTTCCAGAAAAAGTTTGGAGGAGAACCGAATTATCAGTTCTACATAGTTTAAATTCAAAGGATTTGTGGAATATCCACTTCCCACCATGTGCAGGGAATTGGCAGGGAATCCCCACCATCATATAACTCAATTCACTATTTGGCTCAAACTCAAGAAAAGATCCTACTCTATAGTCATCCACCATTAAACCCTTTACCTCCCAAGATCTGATTGTTAATTCTCCCCTCTGGCTGCTACACATATCCTTATAAATTAGTTATGAGAATTTGGTGTTAGATGAAGATAACAACTTCTAGCTGATAAGTTTGAATATTCTCATTAGAAGTCTACTGGATAATTTAAGGATATCATTGGCAGAAGTTTCATGTTTCAAAGAAGACGTGAAAATATAGCCAAAACAATTTAGGGGCACCCCAAATGGCATGAGACCTCCATTTGCCATAGTTTTACCACATTTGATGTCATCTGCATACTGTCCCAGACCAGACACATGTCAACATCTTATTTATTTATCTCTAGGGCTTTGCAGATCTTATTAGTTTGTAAAACAGTAACATGACATCTTCCACTTTCATGCGAAGTACCATTTATTTTTTAATTCAACTTGTATGCATATTTACATTTCATATGGTTTTACAACATTCAATCAAAATTGGCTCTAAACTACAAGCCAATCTCAATAAAGCTAAAAATGAATTATTACATCACTGCACAGCTCCTTTTAGTTAATAACTCACATAATCAGCTTCAAAATCCTTCCTTTTCACTTCTACACCTGTTATCCTACATTATTAACTTAGAGAATTTGGTGTTTAATCAAGCCTGTAAGAAGCTAAAAACACCAATGCTCTGAAGGGTGGAGGTAGTTAAAACCAGAAGATTCCCTTAGTGAGGCAAAATTTCCTACCGAAAAAAAGTTGTCTAAAGGACTGTCCTTCAATTAATCTGGCTGGCATCTCTATAGACCACTTTAATAAATAAGTTTATGACAACTCTTTTCCACAAAGGCTTTTATATTAATCAAGATCTGAATGTGACTATTTCACATGGCGTCTGCAAAGTCAGGCTCATTTGAAGGATCATCTGGGGGTTCCTACACCAAATAGGAATCAAAGAAGTCCATAGTAAGGTACTATAGTTATGGTAAAAAAAATGTAATCTGTAGCACAGGCTTCTACCATTAGATTGTTCCCAGAATTTGTCACAGAAGGGATCAAGCTTTTTAAGTCCACTTAGACAGCCAAGTACTCCATTCTGTACCTGTTTTAGTCCATATGGTGACTAGGAAAACTTTTAGTGACTGACTTTAAAGAAAAATTTGCCTTATTGTTCCCAACTGCTAATCATATGACAAATGAAAAAACAGCAGTCCCACTTATTTCAAAGACAAGTAGAGTGGTCAGTGATATGATAGCTCACGCAATTTTCCTTCCCTATCTTTTTCCTCTAACAACCTTTAATTTATTTCTGGTGATCACACAATGATTTTGCCTCCTTAAATGGTGGCCTTAGATAAAAAAAAAAAAGTTAAGCTTAGATTCCTGTAGCTATGTGAAGTGTAAATTCAAGCAATGAAAGTCAAATACTGACCTGATTCAATTTTTTAAACTCCACAACTTGATGGAAAATGTAATCCAGTATATGTCTAGCATCTCTGGAGGAAGCCGGCAGCTTGCTGGAAACTCCCAGGATATCACCACACTCACGGACATAATACTCAAGATCATCTTCAGTACCTAAAAAAAGGACAAATTAACTCTAAAATATTTTTTCTACCCTTTGAGAGGACAGACACAACCTGGCAGTCCTTGCAACTCCACCAAATATGGGAGTAGATTTTCTCTCAAATAACCACCAATAATATTTTTGCATATTGGTGCACTCACATTTGTTGGTTATCTGAGCCAGTCTTGTCTTCTCTGATGAGAAACACTCATCCAAATCAAACAAATCCAATGCTGGAGCAGGTAGCTCACGAAATGTTGGTGGAAACACCTGCAAGAAAAAAAATTTAATTATCAAGTGAGTCACTTTAGATTCTCTCATTAATTTTCATGTATCTCTCAAGAGAAAGTAATAACTCTCCTAATTAAAACAAGAATGAACACTTCAAGAAATTTTCACAGAGTTCAATCAGAGTGAAGGAAATACCAAATGGAGCTGATGAGAACTCAGTGGAAAAACTGCGAATATCTGAGGGTGTAAAAATAAAACATTTTACATTAAGTTGGTTGAGAGAATGACTTGAGTTTTCTTGAAGAATCAAGGAGCAAAACAAGGGGAAAAAGATCCAACATAACTCTCTATACAGTCACTCATTTTAAAACTATTTTTACAAATTACAGGAAAACTAATCCTGAGCACATAGCCAGGAAGAGCATGGTTCTTGTAGTACTGATCAGAAGATTTCAATACCCCTAACTTTGTAAGAGATGTGATATGAAATCATTTAGATTTCACAAAGTGCTGATCCTTGAATGGCTTGTGGCATGGTATGCCCATTATGCCATGCACATGTCTGTAGTTTTTTTTAAATTAATTTTTTATAAAAATCTTACTCTTTTAATGAAGACAATGTCTTAACTGACTAAAACTTATTAAGATTTGCAGACCAGCGCTTATTTTTCATGCTATAGAGCTTTTATTTTCAGAATAACTAAATTCAATTTGAAGGAGACTGATTAATTTACCGCAGGCTGAAGTGGTGGAAGAGGAGTCTCAAACTGTGGAGTTATTAGTAAAAGTGGTTCATGCTTCACTCTAAGGTCTTCATATGCTCTGTGATATAGGAAAAACATTCAGAAATGTCAGCCTTTATCAAATAACTTAACAGTATGCAATTTTATTCAAAAGTGATCAATGACTGTTATTCAATACTGTGATTGTGCTGTTTGAGGAAAGTGTTCCTGAAGTTTTAGTTTACACAACATTTTTCTCAAACCCTTACCACCCTTTGTTTTGTATCATCATTCTTTGTTTATCTTGTTATAAGTTTAATCAATATCAAGTTACTAAAGGTGCCAAGGAAACCCATGGTTCCTGCTAGCAAATATCGTGATCGCATTGTACTGTTACATTGGCTTTCCTCTGTTCTTGCTCCTTGGGTGTTACTTTCTAATTAAAATCCACCACACAAAGTCCAAACCTTGAAAGGAAGGCTTTGAGGTGAGAGCAATTGTTATGATTGAAATATACATAAGGGTTGTTGGTGAGCTGATCATGATCTCCCTTTCTCTTAGATCTTCACTTCCAGAGTAAACACAAACTTGCAAAATATAATCAGTAAAAAAGGCAGCAGAGACAACTTTTAGGGATTTTTTTAATGTCTTTACCTTATGGCAGCTGGAACTACACTTGTGTCAAGTTTGAACAGATTTTCGTCAAACATTTTTGTGATATCTGATCCAACACTCTGTAAAGAACAAGTGTCACACTGTAAGATTACCAATTTAAAAACTTTCAAACATAAAATCTACCCTAGTTGCACACCCCATAGAGAACACCCACTCTGAGGTCAGATCCACATGTGACGTCTCTGACAAAAACTTCCTCTTCGCTTATAAAATCACTCATCCCTATCACCAACAACAGTTCTCTTTAGCTCTACCCTTACATGGACAATCAGACTTCCCAATCAACTGTAGCTCATGGGTTTTTAGTATTAGGCTTCAGTGACACATTGTTGTCAGTAGAAAATGTAATAGATGTATAATCTGAACTGAGTTGGTGGCTTAATTGAATTATGCTTGCATAGCAAACATGATGTGTTGCTTTGCATTATGCCCTTCTAGAGGGGCCTAGGGCATGCTCTCCCCAAAAAAAATAAATTTGAAACACTCTGAGATTTGATTCTTAGTATTTTGGGACAATGAGTAACTTTCTTTAGCCAGACATTTGTGGTAGAGTCAGTTCATTAATACTTAATTTCTGTCTTTGATCACAATTCAGAAAATAGCCAGTGCAAAACAGTCTGACAGCCAGTGGGTTTCTACCACCTACCAACTTCTAATGACAACTGTATTGTCTTAGATATGATTACAGCTACCTAACACAAATAAATGATTATTAACAAGTAGCCATTGTCTCCAGGACTTAAAGCAGACAATGATATGTTCCTCTGCCTGTTATAATGTAAGACAACACTGTGATGACAATCATCCACCATTATCACACATTGACATATACTGTACCTCATCTCCTTCTTGAAGACAAACTCTCAGCCTCTCTGACATTCTGGGAATGTCAGGGATGTAATGGTAGTCTGAAATCTAAAATAGACAAATCATTAATTTCCCCTCTGGCCACTACACTTTTCCTTGTGAATTAGTTATGAGAATTTGGTGTTAAATCAAGATTACAACTGCTATCTGATAAGTGCGAGTGTTCTAATTACCATTTTACTAGATAGCATATGGAGATTATCAGGAGAATTTACTTGTTGATCAACTCTAAGAGTTTAAGGGGTAAACTTCTCTCTCTGGCTACAAACTATGGGAAACTGATAAAATATAATATAACCTTTAATGCATGTCAAATAACCAATGACAAAAATCAAAATACCTCAGGGTCCTCTGCATCAATATTATCGAGTTGTATGTCATTTGATGTGAGCCACTGGAATACCACATCCTGGAAAGAGAAATGTGTCCTCATATAGTAAATTTACCAGACAGTACTACAATAACTATATTTAAAAGTATCATGAAAATCAATTGTTAGTAAGTAATATGCAAACCCTCTCACTCTAACTTACAATCTAATACTCTGTATTATTTCCATACATTTCTAACAAATTTAACTCCCCCTCCTCTCCACCCCCCACCCCCCCCTCCAAAAAAAGAAAAAATTGAAAAAAAAATTAACAATTATTCACCAAATTGGAGGTGAATAGGGGTGGATATTTACCAAGCTACCAAGCAGTGAGGTATTATCCACCATTTTCACCGACACTGAGGTGAATAATTGTTTTAGTATATACCAACACAAAGGTGAATAGTACTCACTATTCACTTCCAAACTAGCCAATCAGTGCACAAAAAGCACCATTCACTTATGTGGTATATAGTTCTACGATAAACTAGAATAAATTTAAAATAAACACAGTTTTCAAGGATGATAACAAAATTGTTGTCCTGAAATATTATTTATTTACCAACCTGAACCTTTGCATTTTCTTCTTTGTCCAGATATTGATCACTGAACATGTGCACAGAGCCCAGGATGACCAATTTACCTTTTGAATACTAAGGAAAATATTTTATGTTAAAATCAAATTAAGGAGGGGGAGGGTGAGCAATGAAATAGGCAAAGTAATTCAAAGAGATCCTAAAAAGTGACTGATGGCTCAACTATATACACTCAATTTGATTCTGCAGTTAAAAAAAAATGCCCTTGAGAGATCATCATTTACAGCTCATAATAGCGGGCAATAGTAAAGGGGGGGGGGAGGGGGAGGGGGAGAGAAACAATACTAGTAACTAATTTCAGGTTAAGCCTAAACCCTATTAAGATTTAGATATGCAAGACAACATAACAGCTAATTTATTGGCCAACTTGTCCATAATAAAGAGAGCAAGACAATAAAATTTTCCTTGGGAAAAAAAGTGTCTGAAGTACTCTAAAAGCAAAGGTTGTTTCCTAAAAATAATTCTTTGCAGTTTTGGCCCAAGATTAAGAGTGTGTGTAGTCATAAAGTGTCCACAGGGTAACAGTTGACTGTCTCTAAATTTGAAAGATGATCAGAGATTTACACACCATAGACATTGCAGCTGTGCAGAAGTTAGGAAATCTTTAAAGAGCAAAATTGGCACATCAAACTTACTCTTGATGAGTGGAAGGCACAAACTGGTCTGTTAAGTGGGAAGGACACACTACCAGTTGATAAAACAGAAATGGCTGGTTTCACTACATTCAGTGTTGCACCAAAAGGATAAACAAATGTCAGAGATCTGTCAAAAGAAAGGAAAAATTGACCAAAATATGTTAAGAAAATCATGATTGCTCTGACCTTTATATACAGTATATCTGTGTGATTATTGCCTCTAAAGGACAGGAAATTATAGCATAGCTAATAAATTTGTAATTATAATTCAATTGTAAAGGCCTGCTTTGTACTCCTCTTGCACACGGTAATAACTGATACATGTACATGTATCAATACATTGATCAGAAGCACAGCAGAGATGATTTCCTTTTAGGCAACATTTTAATTACCCAGTTAAAATTGACATCAACCAACACTTCATGCTTCAGTGTGGCTTCACTGAGATATGAAGCATTTGAAAAGTTTGGAGAGCACTCAACATGCTATGTATTCAGCAACTGTATATCCCTTTTACTTTCCATTTGCTTTGTATCTTACTGGAGACACACTTTCATACCGACCAACTTTTACATGAAACTTACTGTCCAAGATCTGTCTTGTCAAGATCTGATGATCCTGGAACATACTTCCCAGCTGCTCGATTGATCTCTCTATTAACAAGTTAGAACAGAAAAAGACAGTGTCAACATCTGTCATTCTTTAGGTATAGAAAATTTCACATATGAAAGCAATCAAAATATTTTTAATGGTCTGTTTGCATTTTAAGTTGTATAATATATTAAGTATTCAGAGCGCACATACTGTTTGAATTATTTTATAATTTAAGTTGTATAATATATTAAGTATTTACGATTATCATGTGGCAAGACAGTCCTGAGGTAAATCCCAACATTCTGATTTGGTCTTACTAGGCTAGTATTTTGCCATACAGAACATTTCCACAGAAACTGTCATAAGCTATGTATTTATGTTCACAAAAGCCCACAAATTCAAAATAAACAAGTTGCTGTGAGTGCTATATAATAGAATATTTCTGAACCTTGATTGCTCAAGCCGCACTGAGTAATATTGGCCAGTCCTAGTTGCACTCAGTTCATACTGCCACAACCTTGGGCCAATATTCTTCAATACAGCCCTCATCCTTGGTTAGTAAGAAGTTATCTTAGTCATGACTTACCTGTTGAGGACTCCATTCGAAATCAAAACTTCCTTGGGATGGAAATACTTGTAATACACAGTTCTCACAACTGAGTCTGTGGATCAAGATAATTTTGTAATTGAAAAACAATGACAACAACAAGCAACACCTATGCTGTGGCAAATTTTGTGTTTACACATTAGGTGTCACAGGGATCATTGTGTAGTTATCATGGGCTATATACTTTACTCTCACAGTGATTCCTTCACCTTAGGAATGTAAAAGGATACTACAGATCAACTTTTAGGGACACCTGACAAATTGGCAAAGGGTTACATAAGAGGGACTAGGTAAAATTTTAAAAAACATCTGTAAGAAGTGTTTGAAATGGTGTACAGCTGTTACATACTGACCATTGTTCACCATGATTCCATAATCTTCTATCAGGAAGTTGATGTTAGTGTCAAAACGACTCTCTCCTCCTTCTCCCAGTAGGATCAGAAGGCTTCCTCCTTTTTCGATGTACTGCTTTAGTGCTTCAAACTGAAACAAAAAAAAAAACAGCATCATTTCATCATTTCTTCTTTCACTGCTGAGCTGCGTAAACAGGACTTTCAAGTAAGGGGGAAGGGGGAGAAATACATCACTAGCTTCTCACTCACACTTGGCAAGCTAGGTTGCTTTATTATATAATTATATATACTCACCATTGACTTAATATTCTCTTCAAAGCCAAAATAATCAAATGGAACAGGAGGTGCAATTATTAGAGGAGTAAGGTGAGAGGGCTTAAATTAAATCCTCAGGGGGAGAGGATGGGACACATTTTGAGAAAAATAAACTGACTATTCGTAAAGAAATTTCTATAAGTCATGTACTCGGTGATAGCTCATATATTACCTCAGAAGCAGTAAACTTTCTTCTTGGTCCTCCAAATATGATTACTTTGGCTGTTAAAATTCTCTCCAAGGTAATTTCATCTTTGTTACTATTGAAGTTGTATGTAAAAATAATGAGCAAAAGTGTTATAAAGACAAGCCTTATTAGAAACCACTTATAACATTCACACAACACAATATTGTGAAAGTTAGAAACATATAATTATTATAAATCCTTACTATAGGGGATACATATTTAACTGTTTCCATTCCACTGATTTTAAAATTTCCTGTCAACTTGTATTTGATAAAAAAAATACATGATAGCTGTAGGGGCCTTCTGTTCACTTCAACCTTTGAATCCTCAGGGTGACTATCATGTAATTTCTCCTTACATAAATGTCACTGAATCAAATATTAATGATTGCCAGCATAGGAAGTTCTTGATTGTTAAACATATTCTCCACTTCATTATCAGAGAAGATGTACAGAGAACAGTGTGGAGAATATGTACTCTGATGTTAGAGTGTTAGGGGTTAAGTATCTTCTTGAATGTTAGTTAATAACAGGAATGTAGTATATATGTACATACGTAATAACTTTCCAATTGGATCTCAGTTTTCTGACCAGTGATTTAAAACCATTATTTGGCGTGAACAGTTCTCCCTTGGATGCATTAAAGATAATTGTATTGCTCTGCTGCCCTTCAGTATTCTCATTGTTGGAATCCTAGAGTAGAATTATGAAAAAAGCAAAATGTATGTTACAAGTCCCTTGAATGAAACACTTTTTATTGAAGATAAGACTTACAACTTACAATAATTTAAATTTGAGAGTTGTTTGCAGTTTGGCTTTTTTATTGTATGAGAATTTTCAAAACTGATCTCTAAATATCTCAGACAACTAAGACAGAAAGACTTAACCCTGAGACCAAATGAGTGACTTGCATCTAATTTCTCCTAACGATCCCTCATTAGGGTCATGAGAATAAGGGAAGTGATCACCACCTAAAGAAGCTCTTGATTGCTGAACAAATTCTTAAGAAATGTATAAGGAACCTCATCTAGAAAATGCATACTGATGGTTGATTGAAAAGCGTATTTGCAGTTGGTCAGTCGATGGTTTTACAAGTGAGGAATGTCCGAGTTGGGCTGCAAATTAAATATAAAACTTAAGAAATTCAGCACTGTTTCTTATTTCCCCTAAACTAAAACAGTTTTGTTTTCCTCGAAATATTATTAATTTTACAGATCATTTCTGTTTGAAATGCAAGACCAACAAAAGAAATGAATTTTCCCATTACTTTCCAGACGGTAATATTATATTTGTTCTTCAGCTGCGGTTGAACCAGCTGAAATGAACTCAATTCACATTCCTTAAGCACTGAAGAAGGTTAAATTATCGAGGGAAAAACAAATCACTGCGTTTTAGTAATTATTTGAAGCTCAAGGTGGGCTTCTCGAATTCCTTAGCAACATAATCCGCTTCAAAATAAATAGACGCTCGATTTTCCAAATGATTTTTCAAGCGAGAAAATCAGCGTATAAAGAAGCGAAACATACTTTCCGACAGGATTGCAATAAAATACGATTATTTTATGCAAATTCTAGAAGATTATCTCTGACTGATTTAAGTATTTAGGAACCTTTTTCGGGTAAACTTTGCCAACTTCCTACCTGTGTTGTTGTTCCAGGCGCCATTTTGATCTTGGCGATCATAGGGAGCAAAAATTTGGACTAGTTCCCAGGGAGGCCGTTAGGTAGGCCGGGCCTTGTACTCCCGCTAGATATGTTGAAAGGGATGACCCTGGATGTTTTTTTTGTTTTGATCGCTTTTGCTTTATATTACTTCAAGTGACATGTGCACAGCTCTCGAATCTTCTACTTGGCTTAAAGGAAGTGATAGAGATTACAACGTGGGGTTAAATATTAAGGTTTAGCAACAGACGACTAACTCTTTAAAGCTCTCAGCAGACAGGATTGCGTTCAAGATTGTAATGACGCACTCTAATCATTACAGAGGATGGACAGAAAATCTCCCCTGGCTGCTAAACTGAGAAGGCAGCGTTTGGCGGAAAGACGTTTCCGACAACTTTTAAAGGAGGTTTTGCCTCTTGTGGCCGCGGCCTTTTTAAATGTAGTTGGGCTCGGTGTAACCGAGCTAAGCGCATTAACCTCTGCTCACATTTCCAACACTTCCTTTCCGTGGATCTTTGGAAAAAGCAAACCTTCTTGCTCCCCCAACAGAGTCTAATTTGTTAATGATCGACTTGCGACAAAACATAATTAAGCGGTTGTCCGAAAATATCGCCAAGAGCTTTACTGATGAAAACATTTGTGAAAAAAAAAAAAAAAACCTCGAGACCAAATATTATGCAAGGCCAGTTTCATAATATGCTTGGATGAATTCGCTAACGAGATTTAAGCGGGGGGGAGGAAAGAGGCTGTTTCCTATCACGCCTACCACTTACCTTTACTGATTACATAGTTCTACGTAACCAAATCTCTGCTTTCTAACGTTTATAGTGACATCTAAAAGGGTGAAGTAGTGTTGATGCTATCTTAATTTTCAAGTAAACAAATAAGTAAATTATTTAACACTGAGATTTGACTCCTTAATCAATTTATTCCGATAAAAATATTTACCATATTCAATTGATGGTGAAACGTAGAAAAATGTAAGGTATTCCTTTCATGCAGTAAAATGCATCTTATGGATTATGTACGCAACAAGCCTCAGGTTATGTTTTTATAAGTACCATGCTGTCGGAGTTGGAGAAACTGAAAGGGTGAATAGATTTATCTTCTTTGGTTACAGTTTTACGAAATGATGACCTTGACTCGGTTTAATTATAGCAGAGGTAATGTCTTTAACGGATGTGTACAGTATTTATAGAGCCATTCTATGACCCTTTCTTCCGACGATAATTGGCGATACCGAACAAAAATTCTCGGTCTTGGATTTCTGCCTTGAAAAACTCCCGGAACAAGCGAGATGCTGCCACTTTCCGTAGTTTGACTTCGTAGTGTTGACATACTTGACCCGGCGTCTAGAGCTCTCTTTGTATTTCTCATAGAACTTGTATCTGGGGTCAGTCTCGAAGGAGTTTGAGAAGTTGTATACAAGGAAGTCCTGGACAGCGATCTTGACGGGGAAATAGTCGTCCTTATATTTGACACAGTAAGCTTTTCTTGCGACATCCTCGTGAAAATGTAGCCTCTCTTATCTTGCGTGTACTCTAGGGCCTTGGAAACTCGAGCTGGAGTTGTATAAACATCGGTCTTCAACGGATGCATCGGTAATATGCACACGGATTTAGGGCGCTGCAAGTTTGATACTCTGGTCTTGAGGGGCCAGTTAGAATGATCAATACGTGTTACCATGTCGTTTCAAGGACTTGGAACTGCGGTTAAGTCAATTGTTGTATATATCCTGAGTGTCCTTCCCGGCAGTTGAATTCGATTAGATGCGCTTTACAATCGTGCAATGCCTTCATTATCACATTATCGTATTGCCCGCATCAAATCGATCGCAATTCGCTACATGCCTCAGTTCGAAATAAGCCAGAGAATTGAAGTTTCGACAACGTCAAGCAACAGAGATATTCTGTTTCTGTTTACATAAGCAAATTGTCGTTGAATGGAATGATAACCCGACCGAATTTATGACACGGTCTATTGTTACAGGAATTGTTTTGCAATTTTTCACATGACTGGTTGCCAAGGGAGACAACAATGGAATATCATTGAACGGCAAACTCGATATGAAATGCGTTTGAGAACAAACTGACAAGTTATTTTTATATTGGAAGCCAAGGACCATCGCAAAATATTCATGACATATAACTAAAGGACGGCAGGTATTACTTTTTGACCCTCTTAGCTTTAATCTTTTTTTTTTTGACAGAAAGTTAGTTACCGATAACTTTCAAGCCTGCACAAGAAGTTTTCACTGTCAAAGCAATAATAGCTCACTAATCCTCTTAACCGTTGCGCCTGCACAAAACCTCACTCCCTAATTAGCCCACGTATATATAATTTGCCAAAGAAAGGCTCGTCTGCGTTATCGGCTAATTGATTTCTAATTGCCACGGTGCAATCCCGTTTGCGCAACAGGTGATCAAAGGAAGAATCACAACGTAGAAAGAAGATGCTTGCGTGTAGATGCACGCGTTAAGCTCGGAAGAGGGAGCGCGCCTCGCCTCGTGCACACTTTCTAAACTTCTGAGGACCTTCCTGACCGCTCTAGAGCAAGTGGCGGTCCGCAACTGTCTAGCATTCTCAACGGCAACGCTTTTTTTTTTAATTTTTACCTAAGAAAGTTTTAAGCTAGTTTTGCTTCTTTTCTTCATGATCAGCATTTAAAAGAACTCTATTTCAGAAAGCGTATTGTCAGCCGACCAAAATTTGGACACATTCAAGGAGACAAGTTACTACATGAATAAAAACAGATTTTCGTCCAAAACGAAAAGTTTCTGCATTTTTTTGGACAGCATTGCACGCCTTTTGAATGAGCGCTTATACCTAACAACACTGAAATACACCCCAACTTCAGCATTCACATTCTCCACACTGGTCTCTGTACATATCTTAAGGTAATAACAAAGAGAATTTAATTAAAATCAAGAACTTTGTTTTTCAAAACAAGTTTGCGATCATTTCGTTAATCCTCATGAGACTAACGTTTGAATCAACGGCTCTCAGGGAGAGACTAGTAGCTAGTCACCCTGAGGGGTTGAAAGGTTACGCATGTCATGATACTTAAAAGAGGTTCTGAATAAGTCATGGAGAGGAAGGAAATGATGTTACAATGATTCCCTTAATTTTGAAACTTTTTTTCAAAAAGAAAGTGAATTTTTGACACTTTCCAGTGTCGGCACTCAACGCCTTTGGGAGATGGGTTAGTGTACAGTCTGACATCGTCGTTTTCTGACGACCTCTGCAACGCAATCAACATCTACTTCCCGGCGAAGAGTGTCAAACTACATCCGACTGACAAACCCTGGATGTCTGCCGAAATTAAATCATTAATCCTGGAGCGGCAGCGCGCATATCATTCTGGGTCTAACGATAGATGGCGACTCCTCAGGAATAAAGTGCGCATAGCAATCTCTAAGTGCAAGAAGGAGTTCTTCGCCCGCAAGGTGGTGAGTCTCAAAACCTCAGACCCTAGAAGCTGGTGGAGCCTGGTGAGCAAGCTTGCTGGCAAATCTTTTACCGATTCCGAGTTATGCTATCCTGACGGACATGGCAACATTATCTCAGGTAAAACCCTTGCCACTCGTCTGAACAGCTATTTCATATCTGTTACATCTAACATCCAACCACTTGACACCGCCGCCCTTCCTGCTTTCTTGCCATCGCCGAACCAACCACCAACTATTACCACCTCAGCTGTATGTCATAAGCTACTTGGTCTTAGTGCCTACAAAGCCTCAGGGCCGGATGGCATTCCTGCGCGCCTCCTCAAAAAATTTGCACCTGAGCTTGCTGAACCAGTAACTGTGATCTTCAATCGCTCAGTGTCATCTGGCGTTTTTCCAGAACGGTGGAAAGACTCTCACCTAACACCCATCCCAAAGGTCAAACCAGTTACGGGTGACGGGGACTTGCGACCTATCGCCTTGACGCCAGTGCTCTCTAAGGTGCTTGAAGATTTCTTTGTCGAGTGGCTAATAGATGACGTTAAACATCATATTGATCCTCAACAGTTTGGCAGCCTTAAAGGTACTTCTACAACCTACTGCCTATTGGACATGCTGCACAATTGGCTTTCGTCCCTTGACTGCCCTGGCAAGTTCCTCCGTGTGTGCTTTCTGGACTTTAGCAAAGCATTTGATCACATTGACCATACCATCTTGGTGACCAAGCTAATCCATCTAGGTGTTAGAGGCTGGTTGATTAGTTGGATTTGTAGCTTCCTCAGTGGCCGCCGCCAGGCTGTTAAGCTCTTGGACTCCATCTCAGAGTGGATGCCCGTACATGCCGGTGTCCCCCAGGGCACCAAATTGGGTCCAATCCTTTTTCTGATAATGATCAACAACCTGGCTACTCACTCCCCCCTCCGCTCAAGCCACTGGAAGTACGTCGATGACGTAACAATATCCGAGGTCTCCAGTTTGGGGGAGGTGTCATCTCTGCAGAACGACATCGACTGCATTTCGCAATGGGCCCTGCAGAACAACATGAATCTCAACCCTAAAAAATGTAAGATCATGACCATCTGTCCACTCAAAATCAAACCCGTTTCCCCAATGCTCTCTATCAATAATTTACCTCTAGAGGCAGTTTCATCTTACAAAGTTCTTGGTCTGACCCTGTGTGACACCCTGAAGTGGAACGATAATACCAACGACATCGTCTCCAAAGCGTCCAAGCGACTGCACATTCTTAGGGTCTTAAAGCGCGCTGGGGTCCCTCCGGCGGACTTTGTCACCATCTATAGCGCCTTGGTTCGCTCTGTCCTAGAATACTCTTCCGTTGTCTGGGCTACCTGCCTTCCACGCCTCCTCATTGACCAGCTAGAAGCTATCCAGAAGAGGGCTCTGCGAATCGTATATCCTGACCTCCACTATCAACAGGCTCTCGCGCAAGCCAACATTACCAGTTTAGAGGATAGACGCGCCCACCTGTGTCTCAAAGTGTGGCACAATATCAAAAATAACCCGGCCTGCCAGCTGCACCGTCTCCTCCCTTCCGTGCGATCCGAATGCCACTCTCACCATATTAGGAACAGTAGCAGTTCTAGCCGTTTTCAGTATATAGCAAAATGCTTTGGTTCTAGTTTTTTCCCCGGCAATGGCGAAAATCAACTAATCAATAGGAGTCTGGTTATTTTTATTATAGTATTTTATCCATATCAGAATTGTAAATAACTTATAAATAGCCTGTAATCCCAGTCCCTTCGAAACAAATGTAACTTTATTTCTTGTATCATGTAGGCACACTGTAATTCATAGTTTTTATGCCACCGTGTGTATTTTAATAAACCATCATCATTATTATTATTATAACCTGAAAGTGCTCGGGGCCCCTTCATCGAAAGTACTGATGTATTCCCCCCCCCTCCCCAATTCTTGTGACAGTTCTGTTTCGGACTAAAATCCTCACTTGGTTTACAGTGTGTAAAGAAAGAAATGGAACACTTCCGAAACTGCGTCGCAGGATTAGAATAGGGCATCAGTAGAGTACAGTCGGTGACAGTAGCGAGGATGTGGTCCGGGGAGCACGTGACCACCCCCCTTTGTATGATAATTTTGTTTTTTCATACTTAATACGAGAGGTTTGTGAAAAGACGCGAATCCAAAGGACTCACCTTGTATGAATCTTTTCCAGTGTGTCAAACGTACATAATCTATTTTCTTGAACGAGCGTCTGTGGACGTTACCCCACCCCTAGGCTACCTTTTGGGCGAGAAAACAATTTTCCAAAAGAAAGTTTTATTCAACCAGACAGGAGCTCATAGAATTTATTATTATCAAAAAATTGGCAATTTTGAGATTATCGAGAAAACCTGCTGGAGCTCAAACCGTCAATCTGTTTCGCGAACTGGAAAAGATTGAGAGCTCTTGTTCCCTAAGAGAGGACATCTGAGTTTGTACCAGTTTTTCCTGTACACTTCAGAGTATGAAAGGCGAGAAGAGAAACTTATTTTGTTTCTAGATCTCTCTCTGACTTCTGTGGTCAAAATGATTGTTACATCATTGTGGTTCGCAGATCGCCCCATATGGAAGATTTCGCATAAAAGGTGGCTTTGATGTGCTATTTCTAAACCGGAAAGAACACAAAAAACAATTGACGGATATTTTGCCTATTTCATGTCCCCCTTTGACTTGCGTCTTTTATCATCAGGAATTAAAAACTCTCAATTTGCGTGTGGGGGAGAACAGCACTTGGTTTGTAAAGCTACCCTCCCGAGGCGCAATTTTGCTTTAAAAAAGTATCAAATTTGAACTGCGAAGGGCCATCAAATACCCAAATACTCTTTCCCAATCGATGGTTATATTTTCTTCTGTCGATGTCCAGCCTCTGTTTTGAGTGCTGCCTCAAAGTGGCGATTTAGTTGCGATCCGACGAGTTTTTCTTTTCAAAGTGGTTTACAGATATGGATCAGCGGGGTATATGGACGAACTCATTGCTGAAAATTTAAACTTTGGCTTTCTTTCCCGTGTGGTTGATGGTGATACAATCAGAGTTATAAGACTGCGTAGATGAACAATGATTAATTTTATCATAAAATTAGAATTAGCTTTTAATGGCTCTGTGTGATACTGCAGGAAAAAAGAAATACCCTGAGTGTTTGTAAACACAAAATTTTTCTTTCCCTTTTCATCATGCCCCCCTTTTTTTTTTAAAGCTATCCTTCCTCGATTGGCGCTGAGGGTGTCTGTGGTTCGAATGGAATTGTCTTAGAGATAATTCGGAGGTTGGTCGGTTAGTTCTATAAAGGATAAATCAAAACTGAATTCAAATCCCTCTCGCCCATTCCGCGCTGATATTTTGTACGTCATGGGATTAAAAATAGCATTTCGAATGTTTCATCTTACCACCTGTCCCAAACCATTTCTTGTTCTTCAAGCAAATCACTTTTCTATTTCGTTTGACGCAAATTCTCACTATGGTTACAGATCAGGGTAAGCCAGTGAAATCACGGACTTTATTATCTTCATCGAATAAACACCTCTTTCGGGTTGTCGAAACCATCCAAAGAAAATTGACAATGTACGCATTAAAATTTAAATAACAAATTCTGCCCCCACATCCTATGTAAATGTTCAGTGTTCTTGCGTTGTCAGGAATTCACACAGGCAAAAAGAAAATCTTCAGCCGCTTTATTGTGATTCAATTATCTTCGTCCTGATTCTCTCGTGTTTCGATTCACACATATACACTTTCTCTGTATATTGTGAGAAATCTCTTTGAAGAGATTATTCTTTAACTAGGCGAGAATTTTTTTTTTTGAAGAAATATTTGTATGGTTGATTTTTCTTTTGGGATTTTTTTTTCGAGAAGAAATATGAATTATTCAAAATCAGACGAATGCGCAAATTGAAGATCAATTATTCTTTGCTAAACCAACTGCTCCTAAAGCTGCTTCCTGATTGGTCTGTTCTCATCACTAACAGAAGAGTTCTCCCTCGCATTTTCCATCGCCATGTTGCGGAGTTGACAGACTTACGAAAATGTCTCTTCTTCTACTTCTAAAAACTTGCTCCAATCTTCGAGGGAAATCTGACCGAATAGCGAGAGTCACTTTTAGAGGTATGTTTTTTAAAATTCTTCAAGAATTAACAGCTGTCAGCAGCTTGAAGTTTCTAAGGAAGCCTTTCTGGCAATCGCAAACGATTCGCGGTAAATTTTGTTAGTGGGCTTCGAAAGTCGCTCTCAGTCGTTCTTTTACCGTAATTTTTATATATTTTATCTGGTTTAATTTGGAATTTTTTTATTTTAAGTTTTATAATCATTTTCAAAGGCACGATCCATTCTCTAGACTGGTTTCTGTTGTAGCTGGTGAATTTTTCTTAATTATTCAAGTTGTGTAGTTCGGCTTAATTGCGCGCTAAGCGTTTTACATGGTTTTCTTCGTTGGGAATTCTCATCGTTTTATTGCTTTTTTGATCCCCAAACTTCGTCAAGCTCATAAAACACCGCTTCAGTTGCATAGCTTTTATTCAAGAGTCCATTTCACCGAGAATATATATCTGTTTGTTAGTTGGCAGTGATATTTCGAGTTGTCTTGGTTTTCAGTGTGGCAAATTTTCGAAAATTAATTATTGTAAAGTTCTTTTAAGGTGAATGAGAAATCCTTCGATTGTCTATCGCTCAAAAATTGTCAAAACACCGTTTTCTTCGAAAATTCTACCGAATAATTTTATATTGCGTTAGAAGTTACAAGCGTTTGATGTTAACCTTCCTTCCGTAAACCGATCGCGGTGGTCGAGAAAATCATTCAACCATGCAAACTTCAGCATAGTTTGAATTTCTTTTAAATGTTGAAGTTGTCATTTCTTCGTTAAAAAAAACTCTGTCTCAGTAGGATGGCTAAATAAATTAGAACCTGTGTCATTTATTTTGGGTTTAGAAGGCAATATTTTATCGTTTCTGCGTGGAAGATTTACAATGTTGGTCCGCCAACTTAAATGTCTTCGAATGCTTCCGGCAGAAACATGGCGGCGGGCTATGTAGATTTCATATTTATCTGTGTCGCAATTTTTTCGTAGGACTGTAAATTTGATTTTTGCAGTATTCTTTATAATTTTACTCTGTGTAAGGGTGAATGTTACTTAAAAATGTTACTTAAAAATATCTGTCAATATAGATCAATCACAAGAATTACTTTCAATGTGTGTCATAATTTTTATTGTGTAAACAAACGAGAAATTTAATGACAATGTTTTCATGCCAAACTTTTCAGCGAGAGAAATAAATATGTGTACGACTTTGAAAGCGACTTGATATTTGTTATTTTTTTAAAATTTCATTGCATTTGAATGTGTGGTAAATGGTTATTATTATTTAGAATATGTTTTCTTCCTGTAAAAAGGAAAGAAAATCCCTCTGATAGTTGAATTATATTTACAGTACAGAGTTAAATTTATTCCTTTGTAATGATAAATCGAATGTCAGATTACCAGACTGTACTAGGAAGACAAAGAATGCCCCTGAACTGTGATATTTGTCTTTTATCATTGATCAGCAAGCTTAAACTGGTCTTATCTGTTGATCTTGGTTGTGTCAGTCAAAAAACATGGAAATCTGGAAAACAGAATTCAATTTTTTGAGTACAAAAAATATGTGATGTAATTTTCTTTGATAGTGCTAACAGGTGATGAGGTTACAATTTCCAATGAAGGGTTTACAGCACTGACAGATTTGTGTAATTTTTTTTTTGTGTTATTAACATTTCCTTCTAAATAGCCCCTTTTGTATGGCTGTTTTGTCTTTATAATCCGTCTTGACAAAAATTTATTAAGGAGTTAAAACTCTACTTCAAGCATTGAGTTGTTGAGCAATTGGCCACATAGAACAGTATGATTTTCTAAACATGAATAATTTTGGATAAATTCATTATTTAGTCTTGGGTACTGTATATGTTTTGACCATTTCTACGATTTAAGGAGGGAAAAAAAAAAAGCATTACCTTGATTTTGAGTACCTGAAAGATGCCCATTGCGGAATAAAGGCATACTTGTGTTGACAGAAGTGATTGTTTCCCAAGCAAACTAATAAATGAGTGAACCAAAGTCGGAAGCATGTTTTAGTTTCAGTTTAGATTGTTTCTGGAAGTGTAATTTAATCACATAGTTCAAATTAATTACAAGATTTTTCAAATTGTTAGTGTTTTCCTCCCATTTTCTGTTATTTTAGATCAAAGTGATTTATTCAAATAGTCAAAGCAAAATAGAATTAGAACTTGTTGGAAAACTCAATAAACAAAGGAGAAAGTCTAACAAGTTGAGATCCAAAGTTTTTCTATGGAATTTATATGTTGGTCATGTACGGTGTTGATCCATGTCCTAAATATGAGTGTGATGTGAAGGAAAGTCAACAGAGATTTATTTATCGACAATACATGTAAACTTAGCCATGTAGTCAAACCATTCCTGGCGACACAGGTGTTACATGAACATGAGACTGACAAGTGTGACAGGGTGACTTCTTACCTCATACACCATTATTTCAGATAAATTCATGTTTTTTCGTTTGTCCTTAGGTGTAACATATCAGACAAGTGTTATTGAAAACTGTTCTGAAGCTGATTGGGATGAGGTATGTATTAGCTCCCTTAACCTTTGAATTGGTTAATCCTTCACACCCTAACATCAAAATGGATATTCTCAATACTGTTCTCTATATATTTCATATGCTATTAATTAGGAGAATTTGTTTAAGAATCAAGTCAAGCTTCTGTAGTTGGTCACCATTTCCTTTATTCTTGTGTTTCAGAAATGATACTGTACGGAGAAATTAGATGTTTAAGGGTTAAAATTTGTTTTATTCTTTACATCCTCATTTCAGTATGTCTATTCTCTTTTCTGTTCTCTATAAATCTCCTATGCTACTATCAAAGAGAATTTGTTTTGCAATCAAGAGCTTATTACGTCAGCATCAGTCTCTTGTGTGTGTGACTGTGTGATAAGCATAGGGCAATTCTAAAACTGACTCCTGTGTTTTGAAGCTTGGATAATGCTATCCACTAGATAAATCTCTATCTGGTGGATAGTGTAGTTTGTTTTGGAATCACTTATCAGCTGGATAGCGATTTATCCGATGGATAGCTTCCAAAACTGGGCTGAGTGGTTTTATTAACCCTTTAATCTCAAGATTTCATGAGTAATTCTCCTTACTGTCTGCAATATAATTTATGTGATGTTAGTTTGGAGAATTTGGAATTGGATCAACTAATAATACCCTAATTGAAATTTTTCTTTATTCTCATCACTTGTCTGCTTGATATTGTACTGATAATGTAAGGAGAAATTCTGTCTTGGTCACTAGTGGGACTTAAAGGGTTTAGGGATATTTAAGCAAATCACACTGAGATGTTTTACCCATTTATTTGATAAATAATATTTCATTTCAGGACTTTGAGTGGCCTTTGGAGAGTCCACTGGACCCCAGTGAATTCATTGAAATTGAAGTTTACAACTTCAACAAAATCTTCAACAACAGGTTTGGTTAACTAGTATTTTGAATTTTGAAATAATTTTTCTGTGGTCAAGTTGCAATTAGGTTGTAAGGGTGAAACAGCTTTAGAATAATTATTGATCAATTTTGATCAATTTATTGATTACTATTGATTTTGATTATTAATTTCAGACTGGTTGGAGTGTTTCGCATGGTACTCCAAAAGCTCATTCAAGATGGGCATTTGGAAGTTAGAGAAAGTCTTATTGACATGAACAACACAGTACTCAAGGTGAGATTCTGGCTCAAAATGTTCATTAGTGTACAGGCATAACAACTGCCTTGGTACAATTGCATAAAGCTAAATCTAGTTACATTAATTTTATGGTTTTTGGGTTGTGTTTTATAAGCTTTCTGGCATCCTTATCACATCATGTTCAATGACATATTATTATCCCATTAAAATGATGGAAAGTATGGTTCTATATCCTATACTGTCACTTGTGCAATGTACACATGTTGTCAAACTGTTTCCAAATTTAGGTGCTAATGATTTTCTTCTGCATCTCTTTTTAGCTCTTTTATTTAACCGTGAATTTGTCTTGACTTAATGTAACAGGGGGAGGTAAACATTTGAAATGGTTTCAATCAGAAACTATTTGAAATTTCAGACAGTACTAGAAGTCTAGAGTACTAAATAAATGTACGACCAACATGTTTCAATCTTGATAGCTTTACGATTTTTTTTGTTTCCGTTTTAGGCCAATGTTGAACTTGAGTTGCAGTACAACCCTCCTGAAGGAAATGTATCCCAGTGGGTGAATAATATCAATGACTCCCTTGATGCCCCACCCCATGTTGGTTACATGCCTGATGGGCATTACCAGATGGACCCATACAACCCTGACCCATACGGGAGAAAAGAGGAAAGGAGGGCATCATTCATGGGAAGTACATTTGGCAGCAAGGCATCAAAGAGCCAGTCTATGACGAGCCTCACCTCTGGAGGCCAGCGGCATCATAGCCGAAAGGAGTCAATGCCTGCTTCCTTTGGAGGAGGTGGACGCCTGATCACACCTGGCGAGGGTGGAATGGGTGGATCACCTTTTGATGCAATGTTGAAAGGAGGTGAAGGACTTGGAAGCCGAAGAGGATCACAGATCAGTATGCAAAGTGATAGAAGCATGAGCATGAAGTGGTAAGTTAACTGTTTCATACCACACCTAGGAGTGACCAAAAAGGAATTTCTCCCTTCCACATCAAAACTTTTTCAAGGAGGAAGGTAATGAGAAGTGAGAAAAATGTCGGCTAGAGAGAATTCCTTAACCCTTTCACTCCCAAGATCTGATTAGTGATTCTCCTTACTATCTGCTGTATAATTCTTATGATGCTAGTTCAGAGAATTTGGTATTGGATCAACTAATCGGAAGCTTGTTTATAAAACTTTGATTAGGTGGACATTATTATGCAATCATAGTGTTGGACAGGTACAAAACATCCTTTTCTTCTTTATTCTAAATGCAGCAGTCACGCCCATCCAAGAGTAAGAGCGGAGAAGAAAATGTCAGTTAGAGAACAGGATTATCAGGTAGGGTGAATTTGATTTTTGTCATACTGCAGTTTATCTTCAGATTGTTAATTATTGTAACTGTTTCTTTTTCCTGGATTGGTTACTTGAACCTTTAACATCCTAGCATCAGTATACATATTCTCTATACTCACCCTTAGATGTTACCCATTGATGCTGACAAGGAGAGTTGGTTTAACAATCAAAGCTCCTTATGTTGGTGATTATTTCCTGTATTCATGCGACCCTAATGTTTCATTTAGGAGCAACTTTTAAAGGAGCGATTAGATGCTAGTCACTTTTAGGGGTCACAAGGTTAAAATTGTTCTTTTGTTGTTTTCCTAGATACAAATTCGAATTCTTGAGGGAAGGCAACTCGCAGGTACCCAGATTGATCCTGTCTGTACTGTAAATGTTGGCAATCAAAAGAAGAGTACAACTGTAAAAGAACAGACCAACTGCCCCTTCTGGGACGAGGTGAGATGAATTCTTTGTGTGAGGTAACTATTTATTTGTAACTGTAAGTTTCAATTGGTTTCTTGCAAAGTCTAACTTTTTCTACTTGTTATTTCTTCCCTCAGTTTTTCGTCTTTGATTTCAAGATGCCTCCTATGGTTTTGTTTGACAAGATCATCAACTTCCAGGTAAAGAATGATTCTCTGCCTGTCATGGTGACCATTACATTATGACACAATTATAGTAAAAAAGAGATTTACAAATCATGATTATTGTTATTATTAATAGCAGGTGTGCCTGATCAGTCAACTCTTTTAAATCAAACAGACAGCCCAGATTCTCTAATTGGCACAGACAGTATAACTATTACCTAGTATTAAGACATATCTGAAGAGGAAATAATTTGCAGTTTTGTCAGTATAATGGAAGATGACCATATAGAAATGTCTTAATGCTTCTGTTAGCTCTGTTGAGAGAAAAGATACAAGTTCACAGCTGCAAATCCTAATAATAGTGTAACAACTTACCAAACCTGAACTAATTAACCAAACCACTTTTGTTCCGACAAAGGTATAACGCTTGAAATGCCAGCTTTTAACAAACTCATTGTGGTGACCAATTCATGTTATTGACTTGTTGAATTACCCATTTTGTTCTAAGTAATGTCCGCTTGATTTTATTAAAAAAAAACCCATTAAGCTTTTTTTTTTAGTCCGAAGTATTTTTACAAGATAAAAACCTGCTAGCAGGGGAAGGGTTGGTCCTAGTCCCAGACCTCAACACTTCCCATAGTAATCAAGATGCTTAAGAAAAGTCCTTCATGATTGTATCTGATATATCTAATGTTTTTGTTAAATTAAATGAAGTTTTCACAGGTCTTTTAAGATAAATTTTCTAAATTATTTGTTTGTTTATGTTGGAAGGTTTTCACTGGAAGGCATTTAGTCAGTCAGGGTAACCTGATTGGGGCGTTCAAGGTAAAATTGCAATTAAATTTATTCAGCAATTTTTTTTGTCTGTGTAAAGATAGAATATATTAATTAGTGTGAAAAAAAGACTTGTTAAAAAATTTCCATGTGAAAGGTGAAAACAAAAAGCCTTGTTTTATTCTATGTCTATTTTTGTAACCACAGTAAACTGTGGTTTTGTTCCAAGTGTTGGAAATAACAGCAAGTGTTGTAATATCTCTGTACCATAAAGAATAGTTCAAATGATTAAATATGTGATCTTTATTTTTTATTGATCATCTTGATGTGAAGATTGAGCTGAAAATTTTACCAAACTTGAATTAAGAAAAAATCTGAATTCAGTGTACACTTTTTGTCGAGTTTATCATATTCTAATTTAGAACATGTTAGATTTGTTGTAACTTTTGACAAATTTGCATATCTTTTTCCTTTGATTAGCTGGATATAGGAACTGTTTATGCTCAACCAGATCACAGATTCTGCCGCAGATGGGCAGTGATGACAGATCCTGAAGAAACACTGGGGGCTTCTGGTGCAGGTATCAAGGTAAGAGGATGGACTGTTGGTGATTAAGTTGGGTTGTTTACGTTAGTCATCTTTGGCACTTCTTAAAGAAAACACAAGTTATTCTTGACACATTCTTTCATTAATCATTACACTTTCCTTTTTCAGGGTTATCTGAAAGTGGACATCACTGTGCTTGGGAAAGGTGATCCTGCAAAGGTATGCTGTGTCATCAGAGAGGCTAATTGTAAATATTTGTGGATCTAAGTCTTCATTCTTTAGCCTTCCATTATACCTCTCCCCTCATGCAGTCATTTTAAAGAAATTGTGATGCACTTTAAAACTGAATCCAAAGAAACTTTCCATTTTTTGCAGGAACCTCCAGGCATTAAGGACAGTGATGATGATATTGAAGGGTATGGCACTATTTTGATTATTTTGAATATTTATTTAACATTTTCCTGAACATGAAATGGCTGTTACACCTCCATTAGATAAATTTAATTAAAGACTTCTTTCTCTATAAGAGTTGAAGGGTGCAAATTTTTAGTTAAATGGAAAATGTTTGTGTCCTTAGGAATCTTCTACTGCCTGAAGGAGTTCCTGCTGAAAGACCAAAAGCCAGGATTATAGTCAAAATTTACAGAGCTGAAGGATTGCCAAAGAGTAAGGGACTTAAAAATTATGATGATCCTCTCACATCTAGGATGTTGAAACAATGGTTTCCTGATTATTCTGAGAATTTTTTGTTACAACAATTACACTCCTGTGTTGAGAACTTTCTACTGCAGACTAAGAAAATTGTTAGGAGAATAATGTGTGGGTATTAAAAGTTTTTTTTTCATTCTTTTTTTTTTCAGTGAATAGTGGTCTCATGGCCAATGTCAAGAAAGCATTCACAGGAGAGGTAAGAATGTAACTTTATAAATGATTGTAGCTTGACTAAAGTGTGGTTTTACTTAAGAAACAAATTTAAACCTGCATGATTCTTTTGTTCAGCTTATCTGAGATATAAAACCTAGATAGTCATTCTTATTAGTAATTTAAGAGGTGCCCTTGAAATTAAGTACTGCCTCAAGGGCTCAGGGTAAGAAAAATTGAATATCTGGTAAGATTATTTTGGTCCTAGCTCATAGCCTGGCAGTTAGCCAGAGCCAGTTTAGAGTGTCTTCAAATTGATAGTCAAGATTATCCTGCAACTCAATGCAACTTGTTAAAAAAGTTTTCAATAGTTACAAACTAGTTTACTTGCTTATATTTTGGTATCTTTTGTACCAACTGCTAACCAGAAGTGTGGGACAAAAAAAAAATTCTGACTCCCCCAAGAGGAATCAAACCTCAGACCTTCAGGTTCTGTGCCCTGATGCTAAGTAATCACTGACAGATATGTGCGTTGTGATGTAATGTTAGTGGGATTATTGTAGGCTAGCATCCATCTGACAAGGACATGTTTGATTTCCTGATAGGTGCGAGACCTTGTGGACCCATATGTGGAAGTTTGTTTTGCAGGACACAAAGTGAGTTTTGTTTCATATAATTTCCAAACATGATTTGACACTTGGCTAATTTTGATGGAAACAAATTCATGCAAATACGTTTTTACTACTTATTTTGCAGGCCAGAACAACTGTTAAGAAGAACACATATGAACCAAAATGGAATGAACAGATCGTTTTCTCAGAGTTGGTATGTTTTTTACTGGGTTTTGTGATAGGCACTTTTCACGTATCTTGTTTACGTGTGGCTTTAATTTGTTTGTTATTGAAAATAAATTGATTGAACTAATTTTTTTGTCTTTACAGTTTCCTCCACTTTGCAGAAGAATGAAGGTTCAACTAAAGGACAGGTAATTGAATAAATTTTGTGTTTCTCCATTTGACAGTGTTTGTCTGTCTATCTTTCGGACTGTTCTTTTCAGTCTGCCATCTGTTTGTTGGTCTGTCTGTCTCCTGGTATGGTCCTTGATTAGTCTGTCTGTTGGTCTGTCTGTCAGTCTGTAGGTTGGTCAATTGGTCTCTCCTTTGGTTGGTCTGTTGTGCAGGTGGTTGATCTGTTGTTTGGTTGGTCTGTTATTCAGCATGTAGACCCATCTGTTGGTCTGTCCTTTGGCAGGTATATTATGATGATTTGTTTAGTCGATCTGTCAGCCAGTCTGTTGGTTGGTCTGTCCTAAGGTTAGCCTGTTGTTTGATCTGTCCATTGGTCAGTTAGATGGTTGGTCTGTCTGTCTGTCAGTCAGTTGGTCTGTTTGTCATTCTTTTGATTAACTAATGGGTCTGTCAGTCATTTGGGTAATTGATTGGTTGGTTGGTCTTAAGCAATTGTCAATAGGCTGGCTGCTTGCTTTTGTCTTCATGCACACTTTAAAAAAAAAGCAACTTAAAGTGGCTTATATGCTGGTAGAATATCAATAGAAATCCTGTTCATGAAGTTTGACATCACTCTGTTCTCTTTTATCCAGTGACTCTGTTTCTGATGAAGTGATTGGCACACATTTCATTGACCTCTCCAGGATATCTAATGATGGTGCTAATGGTATGAATGAATTGCTTGTAGCAATTTTATTTTATGTATCTTGTTGTGTTGTGTTGATTTACATTTGTGTTTGTGTAACTGGACAAAGGCATCAGAAAAGTTTTTTTTTTTTGTATCTGACCCAGTGGTATTTGTGTAACATTTGAAATATTCTCTGGTTTAAAACCTGGGTGGATTTTAACCTATCTAACTTCACTTCTAATCTAAATAATTAATAAATTGAAGTGATTTTGTTTAATTTAGGAAATTATTTTGATGTCTTTGTCATTTTTGACCCATCCTTATCCAGACTGTAGAAATGTCTTCAAAAATGTTCAATTTCAGCATGATTTCTCTGTAATCAAAACATATTTTTCTTTAATTAGAGGTGGTATTCAGAGTTTTCTTCATCTTTTTTGATCATTGAATTATCATTTTCACTGTTTGCCTGACAAGAAGGCCTGAAATGATCAAATTATCATCAACAATTACAATTGATTAAACAGAAACTTAGACAAGAATTGATCAGTTGTCAATTTGGAGGTACTAAAATTTCTGCACAGTGCTGGGCCAGAATGGGTTAAATGTCCTATTTTAAAGGGAGAAGTATGTTACAGAAACTCTTGGGAAATTTTAATTTTATCTCAACCATTTGAATGTGTGTAATGATGATTTGATAACTATTTGCAATCTCAAAACATGGCAAGTATTGAATTTTTTATTGTGCTTTTGCATGGTGAAGGGAACAATTGTGTCTTTTCTGGAACATACTTCCCTCTTAAACCAGTTTGTACTCAGTTTGATGTTTTTAGTGCATATTACACTTTACATTTGGACCTCTGTGCATGGTTATTGTAATACATCTAACGCTTTCTGATGCTCATACCTAACTTAACACTCTGCTCATTTATGCTTCGCATTTATAATGTAAGGTTTATTATACTGACAGAATATCCATACATCCCGTTCAGTAACTGAAAATGAGAATTAAAAACTCTTCTTATAGATACTTATTATTTTATTTCTCTTTGTCTGAATGACCGGTTTACTTTTCTTTGCTTGTTTCTTATTGGTTGCTGATTTTTGGGTTTTTTTTTTCCATGACATTTTTACTGCTGAAAACTCTGGTATTTTTTATGCAGCTTTGTGCTCTTGTTGCTTACTGTTTGACTAATCTTTGATGCAATTTATCACAAGTTATAACACTGTGGTCTTGCATCTCTGAACTCTTTGTTTGCCATCTCTCTTTCTTTAATGCCATTGAAACAGAGCCAAGGAACTTTGTCTTTGAATGCTTAATTTGATTTAGCCTAAACTCTTCAGAAAAGTCAGCCAGTTCTAGTACTCTTATTTGTGTAATGGTTTTCTGCTTGTTTTATTTGCACAATCAGTGCTTATTTTCCTTCTGTATTTTGTCGTATGTTTTTAAAACTTTTAATTAGAAGTCTACATGTTCTGTTGAAATCAACTTTAGTTAAGACTAACTAACCAAAAGTGAAATTAAAAAATAATAATAAATTAAAGTAAAAGAGAGCCATTATGGATATATTATTTTTAAAATCAAACTGCATGTTTGTCTCGTACATTGCATGGAGAAAGTTTGCAAAAGAACATTTCTCTGCTTTTTGTCGTGTTTATTCAAGTTAGCATGGCTATTGATTCACAGTCAACAAGAATGCTTCACTGTTAAATTGTTGCCTGCTTTTCAGTGGGTGTATAGATGTGCATTCAAGCTGGTAATTCACAATGCAAATGGTGTAATCTATACTTGTAACTCAAGATATATCATTTGTCTTATTCCAATTGTTATCTATTAATGTATGGCAAAGGTGGCTCTTGCAATTTCAAATCACATTTAGTGCTCCATTTACATGCACTGTAACATGAGATATCTTGGCATTGCTTTTACTGGCTGAAATTTATCACTGCATTGTAAATCAAGAAGAAAAAAGGACTGGATCAAATTTTCTGAAGCACAAATATGACAATTGAACAAATATGACAATTAAGGTAGTGAAATATTGACATGAAGTGAAGACTAACTAAATGCACAGTTTGCATTAATTCTGACCGAGAAGGATGTTTTCCAGACAAAATAATAATTTTTTTTGCCAACATTCTTTTTTTTTCCAAAACATTTGAGTTTTATTTTTTTCCAGAAAAGGCTGCGATGAATCAATAATTGTTGTCTTTGAGTGGTTTTCTTGTTTCTGTTGGAACTGTTTTTTGTTTTAAATGTGAAGTATGAGAGCAACCTGTCCATAACTGTCAATTAACCAGCCACAATTTATACTAATATAAACAAAGAAATGTAAGTCATCTATTGCAACAAAATTTTAGAAAAGTGCACATGTCCAAAGTTCTCGTGTCATGAAATCCCAGCCATAAAAATGCATGCTGTAATGGTTGTTAGATTGATTCCTCACACAGTTTTGCACAGTGTAGCTTTTCCAACTATCTCCTTCATGGCTGTTAGTGAGGTGATGGGGCGTGTCTGTGTATGCATGTGCCTGCCTTTCTGCATGTCTAACTTAAGCTGGCTGACTATACAGGGTGGCTATCAGAGGTCTATATTCCAGGCTCGGGCATAAAAGTTCCTGGCTCAATTCAGGCTCCTGGTGTGTATATATGCTGCTGCCTGCCTTCTCTAGTTCTTAAATCTATCCTTAGTTATTCCTACGTACGTGTGTGTAACTGCACTTAAAAGTAGTACAACTTTTATATCCTTAATTATCCCTAAATCCATGTGTGTAACTGCACTTTAAAATCGTACAACGTGGCAGAAATCTACCCTAAACTTCTGCATGTGTATTATGTAAATTGTAGATTTTATGCCAAAAGATAATGAATCTATGGCTGCAGCTATAACTTGCACCAACTGAGTCGACGTTTGAATATTCTCCTTAATACTTACTAAATACTGGAATTAAAATGTAGTTTTACTATTAATTTTTCTTAAAAATTTTCACCTCTTTTCCTTAAATGCACTAATGATAAAACTTGGGCACCAGATTTAAATATCGTCATAAACACAGGAAAATGAATTTACTTTGAATTCTTGTAAATTATCTTTTACAGACTGAGTTTATAAACACGATATTGCTTTAAGAATCAAATCATTGAAACCGTGAAAGATTTAATTATGCACCCTGGGATAATTCCCTTCTAAAGATGCTTGCACACTTTCCTCCAAACTGGTCTCCCAGCTGTCCTTCTATTTCAATCTAACCTCTTCCTTCTAAATCTGGGACTTGTGCTTTTCCTTCAAATTCTTCTCAGCTTCTGTGAAGAGTCAAAACATTCTGAGGAGTCAATCTTAATGGTACCCTTTTTTCCCTCATACATCTCTTGTAACAAGTTATACTGACTGGTCTAACAAAAACGTATCACCTAACCTGACTGAAAAAAAAGACTGTGTGATTAAGCGTTAAAGGCTGAGACAGAAGGCGACAAGTCTTTTTGAGGGAGTAAGTTGATGCAATGCAACAATTTGCTTCGTGTGACATGAAGAACTCTTTAGGAAAAAAATTGTTCTTGGGGCTAAATTTTGCAGCTGTGATCTATTGCACAAAATCAAACCTGTCAGATTTCACATGAACGATCACAAGAAAAAAAATTATGTTGCAAAGAAAAAACAATCTCACCAAAGTTCACCATGTCACCCAAAGTGAACTGTTGCAGTGACTTGCTATTTATCTTAGCAGCTTGTTCTTATTAGCTGTGCCTTAATTAGACTTGTCGTCAAGTATGTCCAGACCTTTACCAAAAGTGATTTAGTTTCTCTGTTTATGAACTCCAGTCCCAGGTGAGAATGAAGGGGTGGCTCTGTTTTATTCAGTTGAAAGTGTGCCTGCAGCTTTACCGCAAGGAAGTGAACCAATGGAATGGATCCATTGTATGTTAGTTGCATGGGCATGTGCAGCGTCTTTGCAATCATTACATTCCCAGGAAGTTTGGTCTTAAAGAAAGCCTCCGCAGGTGGAACAGGGTGTTAAATTCATGAGAATGTCTTAAAATGTGAAGTATTGGTGGAACAAATGGGTATCAAAACCAAAATGTTTTAAAAAATGGAAACAAACACAAGCAATACTTGTGTTGAATTTCCCTGTAGATGATGGCATTTTAGACCGGATAAGATCGTATTACAGGCTGGTGGTGCCAATGGCATCCTCAAACAAAAGCTTTTGTTCAAAGGATTCAAAAGGGGATCATGCAGATGATAGGGGCAACCAAAAAGTGTCAGAAAATCCGATGCACATAGAATTCTGGGGTTTCAAAATAGCCAAGATCTATATGAATTATTTCTTGCTGCAAATACATCTTACCAATGTACGCAAACAGGGTTTATCTAAAGAGACCGGTTTTCATAATTTAACAACAATTTGTTCCACTAGGGGAGGTTCCCTTTAACGTCATTGGAACACACCTGGGAACCAAACTGGGATCCTTTTTTTAATTGTTTACTCATTGCAGTTTTGAGGAGTGACAAAAAAATATGTAGTTTTTGATTCTAATTGAAAATGATTGTAAGAAGTTTTTGCCTTAAAAAAATTTTGATGGAGAAACTTATGGTTGTGGTGGTGTTACTACTCCCATTTCTGGCTGTTAACATTGGAATAAAGGTCTCTCACTCAAAACTGTAATGTAGGAGACAGTAACTTAGTTTAATGTAGTCACTAGACATAAATGTTTAATATGATTCATGTCAATGTTGTTTAAAGTTTATATTCAAGCTTGAACTGGATCGTTTCAACGCCTTTTGGTGCAATAGAATCGTAATGTAGAGATTTGGAGTAGAAGGGCTTTGATTTGGCAAGAGTTTGCTTTGAAGACGCTCTTACATTGGGTGATAACATGAGACATTTAACAATTTTCTGGTTCAAGCTTGACTTGTTCACTTGAATGATTTTGCTAAATGTATCTTGTCCATTTTTATTTTTTTGTGGCATTTTTGTTTATTTGCTGGTGGTCACTTATCAACATGTCGGGGTGACATCGGCCTGTGAAGTTCATAAATATCCAGCTGATATTGGTAAATATTTTACTTATATTCAATGCATTGAATGCCTGTCGGTGCCTGCCATACACCAAATCAAAATATGGCATCCAATTTTAATTGCCATCGTTCTGGACTGACTAGTCTCATCTTCACGTGGAAACACAAAAGGATTATCACGCGTGAGAGGCTAGTCAGTCCAGAACTATGGAATTCAAATTGGATGCCATATTTCGATTCAGTGTATTATGTTCCTATAGCAGTCTTAGAAAATTCACTTTTGCCTATAACATTTTTTGTGGTCAAAACGAACCAGTAAAGGCTTGTTATCAAGATGCCCCCTACACAAGTCCTTGGCCACCATCCATAGTTTTTGTTATTGGTATGTAAACAATAGAAAAGATAAGAGAAATGGTTTTTGAAGCTGTTATGAGAAGGAACACAGGAGCAGGTAGAACACAGAGATAGTTGTCTTCAGTAGTGTGAACCTGAAACATAGAACTTCTTGTAACTATTATTTAATGCACCATCATGTCAACACTGTAATTGTTAGGAGTTCCAACCTCACTGTCATTTTTTACAATACATTGGAAAAGGATTAACGTGTGTAACCCCGGGAGTGACTGGAAAGGAATCTCTCGTTACCAAATCGATACATTTTCAAGTGAAAGGGAAATAGGATAAAAAGAACAAGATAGACCAGGGGATGTTGTTTAATCAAACTCCAAATTCTCAGAGCTATGAATGTTTGGGAGTTGATCTTTATATCTCGGAAAAGAAAGGGTCGATGTGAAAGAATCAGGCAATCGACCATCGAGTTACTATTATTGATAATTAATAATGACAGCTAATCCAAAACACGTAAGGTAATTTGGAATCCTGATATTTTTGAGGATCACATCATTTTCAGAACAATGCTCGGGAAATTTTACAAGCTGTTACATCACAACACTCATCAAAAGATCTTTCTCATTCCATGTTTGCAAATCACTTGGCAAACCAAGAACATTCTTCATATTCATAAACTCACATTTAGAAAAGTTTTGTAATTCTGTTAGTATTGTTGTTGTTAACAGACTAATGCATGTTGGGGTTCTGCCAGGAGAAGAGTTCACTGCTCTAAGACACATTTAGTGCTACATGCTACACAATATTTGTTCATAAATTATGGACTTAAAGCAGCATTTCTTTTTGCATGAATCTAATTGATGAGGTCGTTAGAACTGGCTGGCGGAATGAAATTGCTGTTCCCTTTTTGACTGCTCTGAAGTGCTATAACTAATATAGCCGATGGACTTGGCTTTTGGAAAGAAATTCAGCATGCATGACCGTAAATAACCAGAGCATCATGTGTGTGTATGAGTTGTGTGGTGGTTTTTTCATTACCATGAATATTTTCGTAAACCATGGTCGTGTACATGTATGCATTGTTGTGGTATTTTCAAGTCAGCTTAAGCAGAGTTTTTTAGTCAAGTATTTAAATTATTTTTTGAGGTCAGATGAAATAAGTGGTCTTTTTCATAATTTACTCCATAATACTAGAATTGTGAAATTTGAGACTCTGAAGAGGAGGATCATTCCGACAGTCTGATTTATAAGGTTTTTATTTAAGAAGAGGGAATCTGCGTATTTTCCCCCATTCACTGCATGGACCACGACACAAATAGCTGTAAATCTGACTTGTATGAGATTTCTCCTCTTCAGAAATCAATTGGTCTAATTTCACGTGGCTATTGATATGTTAATTTTTAAAAATTCACTTATTTGATTCCATTGTTGAGGTATTCTGTCTAACAAATGCTCGCAGGTTTTATGCCCACATTTGGTCCATGCTGGGTGAACCTTTATGGATCTACAAGGGATTACTCACTGTTTGATGAACACAACGATCTAAACAATGGACTGGTAGGTCATCCAAACATACACCGTAAGACTGAAAAAAAAAAAAAAGGTTTAATGTTTAGTAGTAAGTCGTGGCGTTAAAAGTGTACCCTTAGAAAAAATTTCAGAAATGAACTGATATCCTGGTATGAACTGTCATGTCCTCAAAGGATTTCTTCTGTGGCTGTTTACTTTCCGTCTCCTTCGGAAACAAATGCTACAGGTGTATGGACTTTTTTATTCTGAATAAACTGCAAAGAGCGTAATCGACAGCTACGTCCAGTGGCTTACTATGATGCACTTGCCTCAAGTCAAAAACACAAAGTATCACAAATTGCACTTTTTTTTAGTGATTAAAAGCACAACGTGTTAATTTTTGTGTAATAGCACTTGCAGTAGTCTTTGCTCGTAAGACCCTATAATCCCTAAAATATTGTTTTTAGTGTTGGTACATATATGCAAATTGTTTTGTAGAAAGCTAGTCATGAGCAATTATGTGTTGCAAGAGAAGAGTGAGATCATTTTCGATAATGATAGGCTCAAAAAATCAATTTGTTTTTAGTGGAAAACTCCAGTAATAATAGTCTGGTTTGATTACCTGTTGACCTAATTTTGAATTTAGGGAGAAGGTGTGGCTTACAGAGGGAGACTGTTGATGGCTGTACAAGCAGAGTTTGGAGAATCTGCATCAGAGGCTGGAATCCGTCAGGTGGAGGTGGAACCAACAGCTCCTATCTCTGATGTAAGTTAAAGTTTTCCAGACAAACTACAGCTCGAGCATCAATCTCAGAAACATCATGTATCTCTGTGTTAAATCTAAGTCTGAATATGATTTTGAAGACAAATTGTTTCCCTTTTGTGATAAGTGCTGTTTGAGGGCAAAAGTAAGAACAGTTTCGAATTTTCCTTTTGGGAAAGGAGTGTTTGAGCACGAATTCCTAAAGTAAAACTCCTGTGTCCCTAAATAAAAGGGCCTAATGCAGTTTCTTATGCGACAAAATCTACTTACCGATGCACACGGTCATGAAGAGATGTGTGATTGATCCTGACGTCACACCAAACTTTCGTAGCTCTATACGTTACTAAACTTTCTTGAGTATGGGGCTCCGCTAATCTCCAGGATTTTTTCCAGCCTACTTTAAAGTCACAAGTTCACTATTTTCACATGGACGGTGCTTTAAATTATGTTTTTTCTTTTTTCAGACTGCAGCTGGAAAAGAGGATCAATTTCAATTATATGCCTGTTTTTACGAGGCCAGCATGATTGAGAGAAAAGTTGGCGACAAGATGATACAATTTGAGATGAGCATTGGTATGGACATATGTTTTCCTTGTCATTGATTCACATTGTAGTTTCCGTGGAATACATCAGCCTGTAGAACTATAACTTTGAATCTTAACAACAAATGCTTTTCTTCAGGTAACTATGGGAACACAATTGATGGACAGTCTCTAGCGGGTGAGGTAGTGGACGAGGTACGCAAAAATGGCGAGAACCCATTTATCCACCCACTTACACCACCTGTCAGACCAGTGACCAATGACAGACAGTATTACCATATACCGTGGGAGGACTCGAAGCCCTGTGCACACGTGAAGTTTACTTGGCAGGATCATCGTAGACGACTCTACAACTCTAACGTGCTGCTAAAGATCTGTGAAAGACTGGTAAGTTTCCTCATGGTTTCTCTAGTGTATTAGTGATTAGCAGAAAGCTGTAGTTTTTGTGTTTACACTACAGACTGAGATATTGATAGGTTTGACTGTGTTGTGTTGTTACACTGGCTCTCTTTAACCGAAATCCACTGGTGAAATCCATCACTAAGTGAAAACAAGCAAACCGTCTAAAGCGTGCGAAAACGCGTATGACCAAGTCGCGATTGCTGTTAGTTTAACATCCGATTGGTTGAGAGGGTAGCGCAAGTTTTTGACCAATCAAAGAGCGGGGCTAAGCAATACCTCTGCAAACTTTCGACACGCGCTTTAAATTACTCAAAAAGAATTTTAAGTGTAGAAAAACCTGACATATCAGTATACTTGACAGGAGGATGGTTTGACTGACTGTCTGGAGAGAGTGAAGATGGACTTACCCAACACCTACCGATGGCTCAGTCGAGTTCTTGCAGAACTCATCAACGGATGCAAGTAAGAAAATCGTTCTTCAGCATGGTTGTCTAGAGTCCCAAATCCAAAATCGGCCACTAGGATCCAAGATACAAAATCGGCCGCTTGAGTCCAAAATACAAAATCGGCCACTAGGGTCCAAAATACAAAAATCGGCCACTAGTGTCCAAATACAAAATCGGCCACTAGGGTCCAAAATAGAAAATCGGTCACTAGGGTCCAAATGGAAAATCGGCCACTAGGGTGCAAAATGGAAAATCGGCCACTAGGGTCCAAAATGGAAAATCGGCCACTAGGGTCCAAAATGGAAAATCGGTCACTAGGGTCCAAAATGGAAAATCGGCCACTAGGGTCCAAATACAACATTGCCTACTAGGGTCCAAAATAAAAAATCGGACACTGGAGTCCAAAATCCACAAACTAGGGTCTTGCAAAACTCATCAACAGATGCAAGTAAGAAAGTCATACTTCAGCATGGTTGTCGACTGATATTTCATGTAAAGATTGCGTACTTTTTCTTAGGGGTCAATGTAGTCGGACATAGGATTTAGGAGAATTTCAGTGCTGACCTTTGGTTTTGATATTGTGATATCTTTTGCGGACAAAGCAATTAGTCAAGAGGATCATTAAAGCAAAACGAAGTATAGATGAGCGAAATTGGGAAAACTTGATCAGATTTCACGAGGAGAAATTCTGGAGCAATGTTTTATTTCAGTTTAGAGTTAACAGTTCACAATTGACAAAAACTATAGTTGTTTTGATTGTGTACTGGAATTAAATAAAAATTTCCACCACTTCAGCCCTTTTTGTGAGGAGCTGTGTCATTAAATTTAACGTTCCTGTTCCATTACAGTCAATATCTCAATCTGGTGAAGTCTATGCCATCCTCCTCTCATGTTGGACGCACCAAGCTGGACAAGGAGCGACTGAAGCTGTGTCAATACGAGGTAGAGTCTGTGTGTCAGTCAGCGCAGGAGCTGAAGGGGAGCACAAGGGATGATGGTCACATCAAAGACAATCTCAAGGCTGCCAACGCACTTCTTCAAAGACTTCTTAACATTGCTATTGAGGTATGCTGTTTTGTTCTTCATTAGAAATCTTTTGCAGTTGTGGATGTAAGGAAAGGGTCCTGGGGTTTATACCACCCCCCTCCCTCCCCTCATCAGACACTTTTATGCGATGACATCCTGTAACTTACTACAATGGCTTAATATGTTAGCTGGGCGCTTCTGACAGGTTCTTTCATCATGACTAAAATTATTTTATAAGAGCTAACCCTTCCACATTGAGTTAGAGGCTTTAATTAAGCTGTACTTAGGAGCTTGGCTCTCTCTTTGTAGCCACAAGAAACAACGCCTGATGTGTTCATCTGGATGCTGTGTGGAGGCAAACGAGTGGCTTACACCCGCATTCCCAGTCAGCACATAATCTACTCTTTAGTGGAAGAAGAGAGAGGAAAAGATGCAGGCAGAATGCAAACTGTGTTTTTGAGGGTAAGTCAACTCTCTGTTTAGAGCACTATTTTGAACGGCTTATAATCCATGCCGAAGTCATGAAAACGGCCAATTAGAGGAAAGGAAAATACCACAGAGAGCCCAACGACAAGTCGTTTGCCGCTTGAGGTGCGACGAAACGGGTGAGACGAAGGCGTGGTTGGTTCTGGCTTTGCCCCTGATTTGTTAAGAGGGTGGTGCGAATTTTACGAACCGATTACAGAGCGAGGGAAAGCACAGTGAAGTAGGACCCACGAAAAAAGCATTGGTTCTTTGGTGGGCGTTCTCGCTCAGACATTCAAACCCCCAGTGGCAAAAACGTTGGACCAATGTTAGTATCCGAGGAACTGCGCACCTACCCCTCCCCTAACCAAGCAACAGTCATCTGATAACAAATCAGGGTTAATGTTGGGTTAGGGAAGGGGTAGTTGGGCAGTTGCTCAGATACTGTTATTGATCCGGAAAGTCGAACGTTCCGTCATCACTTAGGGGAAGCATAGGGAATCCTCGCACGTATTAAACGAAGCCTCCATTTCTGATCATCTACAATGAGTATGTGGTATAAAGACTGAGCTAACAAACACATTTCCATGTGGAGAAACTTTCACTGCGACACATTTTCGAAATGCAGGCATCAGGCAGATGGGAAATAGACTTTGACTGTTGTTGTTTTTTCTACCTTTCCAGCTTCCTGGCAAGCGTGGTGACGGACCTAAAGGATGGGCTATTCAGGCCAAACTGAATATCATGATCTGGCTCGGTCTGCACAAACACAAAAAGGATTATCTGAAAGATGCCCCGAAAGGATACCAGACGGTATGATAGTCTTAGCGCTCTCGCTATTAGGAAGTGACACAATAATAATTTTAACCCCTTAGAAACCAGTCATTATTTATCACCTGGGAGGGGGGAGAGTGAGGGTCGGAGGATTTTGATGTGTGATGTAAATCTGATTGATTTCCTTCTAAGGCTCTAATCCCCCCTCATTGGCAGTCAATTTTCTATACTCTGTTGGCAACAACTGATTCCCCCTTCCGTTCCCCCTGAAAACCATGTGACCCCCCCAAAATCCTTCAAGCTCCCTCTCTGAGTACACCACCCCCCACCCCCCAGCCTTTTAGTTTTAGTGTTCAAAGTTGTGAACTAGTCGTCGCCGACAGTAGAGAGAATGTGTGAGCTTTTGACTCATGCCTTCTGAACTGGATCAATGGTGACATCTTTTGTGTTTTACTCTTGCAGCCAAAGAACGCTCACAAATTGATGGCCCCTCCGCCAAATCACCTTATCTACACAGGTAATGGAGCAAGGAAAAAAAACTTATCTTGTCGTGACATGAACAGCATTGAGTATCTCATGGAGAAAAAGTGAGATTTTAAGACCATGTGTTTATTATCAATTCTTTCAGAAAAACAGAAGTTCCTTTTGCGGGCACACACATACCAGGCGAGAAGTTTGATTGGCAGTGATGCATCTGGACTTTCAGGTAACATTCGGATGACTTCCGCTCAGGTTGTCAGTCACTCCTACCGACCAAAGTCCTTCTCCCCTCGGTAAGACCATACAATTACATGTTACCCCCGGGTTCAATCCATATACTGAATTACGTTCACCTGCTAGTTTTTGCCCATGGTGGTTTCTTAGGGAAAGCAAATAAACCCTTTGTCAACGACGGCGGCACTAGATGAAGGGTTTTTTTTTAATTACGAGACGCTCAACTTAGTGCACTTTCAATTTGTGCAAAACAGAAACTTTAAGACTTACGTGTGCGGTTTCCTTTAATTTGGTCCTGACTTCACCTTTTCATGGCAGATGCCTTTGCCCGAGTGATCTTCACACACCTTGTGGCTGACACCCGAGTGATCTGGGAGACAAGGAGTCCAACATGGGACCAGATGCTGGTGTTTAGAGACTTGATTCTGTGGGGAGATGTTAACGAAATTGCCGTCAACCCTCCAACCATTGTAGTTGAAGTATTTGACAAAGATATTGGAGTAAGTTTTTTAATCTATCTTTTTGTGCCTCTTGGTCCTGCTGGTCTATCTACCTGTCTGTCTGTATTTCAGTAAGCTTTCTATCAGTCTCTCTGTCTGACAGTCAGTCTGTCTGTCTGATTGTGTATCTTTCTGTCTGTCGGCCAGTCTGTCTCTCTGTGTGCATTTTCTGTCTCTGTCGGCCTGTCCGGCTGTCAACCTGTCAGTCAGTTATCCGTTTGTCGGTTAATCAGTCATTTACCCAGCCTTGCAACTTCCTATCTCGTTAGGGTGATTCTGAGTTCATTGGTCGTGCGTTGGCCAGACCAATTGTAAAGATGGCCTGTGAACCTTACGAAAAGCCGTTCTTTCCGCCAGCATTGGAGTGGTTCCAGATTTTCAGAGGAGAGGAGAAAGCTGGAGAACTACTAGCTGCATTTGAACTCCTGCAGGTAAATTAGTTCACCTTCTCATCTTCGAATCACATCCTGTTTAAGAATCAGGCTGGGTGCATGGGCTGCAATATGCGGATTCAAAATTGGCAATACAGTTCCCCGTTTCTTGATATCGCCCTAGTCTACCTTGCATGTTTCAAATAACTTTTTTCCCAAAACTCTGAAGAGCCGAAGTGGCCAACATCTAAACAATGGGAGTTAACATTGCACGGTAACGTCTTTTCGTTGGGAGTTGGGGTAGGATAATTCATATGAAAGGGACACTTCATTTTGGAACACATTACACGAAGAAGCATGCAGCTGAAAGGGGCAGTAAACAGAGCAATTTTCCATTAGGTGTCGAAAGTAATACAGGAGTGCATTCCTTTTGTTTTTCTCCGCTCTGTGACTGGTCGGGAGAATTCGAACCGCCCTCTAAACCAATCAAATGCAAAAGTTTAAACAAACGCGTTTTTGTGACTCCCGTTTTCCCGCGCTTCAGATAGTGTGCTCTTTTCACTCTGAGTTTTCATCGGCTCCTTGTGATATTTCACTTACTTGTGATTGGCTGTTGTGGTTATCGTGGCTTTGGTATTACGACACTCAATCGAAAAGCGCGTTATTTGCTTGCTATGGTTCATGGAGTCGGGGGGTGACTTTGAGAAAGGTTCAAATCCATCCTTTCCTTGTTTTATCCCTTCAGCTATCTGAGGGCACATGCTTCTTACCTACTGAAGTCGAACCTGTCAACACTCCTGATGGACCAATCACACCCGTTCCTGACGGCATCAGGCCTGTTATGAGGAAGCACAGAATTGAGGTACTGTTACTTTACATTTACACTTCTGAAAGTAAAAAAGTTGTTGTAGTTGATTTTGTGACATAAAATAGATGCCTAGAAATTAACCTATGTAGGTGGAAAGGATGGTACAAATTATTGAGTGTGTGAAGGTTGGAAGTAGTATCAGAGGAAAGGAAAGATGAAACCAATGATCAAATTCGCGCACTCAATGATGGAATGACCTATGACGGAATGACCAACCGACTGTCTGACTATCGACCGATTAACTATACGACGCAGTAGCCAACTGACTGACACACTAACCTGACCAAGCTTTTGACTGTCTGAGCGACAAAACCACTGACTGACCGACCAACCAATCCCGTACCGTTTGACCGACGGATTGACTACCAATCTAATGAAGCAAGGAACAGACAAACAAACAAAGGAATTCGGAAAGAACGGACGACTTAATTGCCGACCCACCTGTTAACTTACAGGACCGAATAACTAACTTCATGACCGATCAAACGAACACATGTGTCATCTCAGCGTCTCAGTTGCATCTTTCCTTATTTCGTAGGCTTTGTTCTGGGGCGTCCGTGAAATGAAAAGGATAAATCTGACCACAGTGGATAGACCTCAAGTGGACATCGATCTTGCTGGTCATGTTATACAATCCACTGTCATCACAAATGCCAAGAAAAATCCCAACTTCCAGAACCCAGTCATCTTTTTTGATGTGGTAAGAGAGCTGTGTTCTTACTGTTAGAGTGATTTTATTAACCACTTGCCTCTCCTTTAATAATAGCGGAGCTCGCAGCGCGCGAAGCGCGTGCAGCTTAGCCCCATACTTATAGGAACTAGTAGTAACCCATTAAGCTAAAAAATTTGGACTTACATTCCAATTCAATCGTACGGTATCAACAGTTTCTTGTTACATGGAAACATACTTTGGAAACAAACTACTCAAGACAACCTACTCCAACTTATTAACAACCTTTTTCATACCTGAATCGGAGTTTATAATTTTCGCTCTGTAAGGAAGTAATAAAAAAGTGTTTTCAAGTTTTTCCATAACATTCACATTATCTGTGGTCACCATTATGAGACATTTTGATTTCTTTATTGAGTTCGGGAGATATTCTCCCAAACTGATTTATGAAACAATATCACTGTTGTTGTGTTGCAGGCTGTGTAGGCTTGTCGACATTCAAAAATACTTTCAAAATGATGACGCTTTCTCTAAAGAGAGACTAACTTTGCTGCCTTAAGTCGACCGTGTCGTGTGTTTTCACTCTGACAATCTTTGCTATCACAACATTAATTGTAAGCATTTTCCAACCTCTACAGGAACTACCTGAGAATGAGCGTTACTGCCCACCGCTGACCATCCGTGTCAGAGACTGTCGTACATTCGGTCGCTTTACACTGGTTGGGACTCATGTCCTGAATTCACTACACCGCTACTTACAGACTGGAGAGAAAGAGAAGGAGAAACTGGAGAAAGCAGGTCAGACAATCTCATGTATTCGTAAGTATTTTTTCCCTGGAAGTGCTAAGGCCAGGGCGGGGGTTTTTCCATACGGGAACAGGGTGGGAGGGGGAGGGGGGTTAAACCAGCGGCATATTGCAAGTTAGGAACGTACCAGGATGTTAATATGTTATAAGAATGGACATTCCTTTAATTTTCGGGGGAAAAAACACAAAAGAGCTAGTTACAAACACAAGAATAAACCACAATGGCTAAGGATGGAAAAGATTTAAACAGATGGTGTAAATGAGGAACTTCAAAACGTTAGGCCTGATTTTTCTAGATGCAGAAGGTCTACCGTAGTATCTCTAACAAAAGCCCATGACGGATCTTAACTGGTGACTTTCAATCTCATTCCACAACAGAAGCCGTCGTAGGAGTAGGGAACACTACTTCTCGTCCAACCTCGCCAGTTCCCAATGCACCGGCTGATGTGGCAATAGAGATTGACGAGGATCCTCCTGATGCAGCGGATTCTGAGCCTCTGGTATGCTGCTAGACCATTTCATCTCATACTTTAGTTCTGATATGCCTAACTTGTTATGGCTTTTACTCGGTGTAGAAGGCTCAGTTGACGTAAAACAATGGGGAACAAAACGGTAAAAGAACGAGTAATACAATGACAGCAATAAGTTTATGAGGCGCTGTTCTATTGTGACGTGTCCTGTGTCTTCTGCACCAAGAAGGAGCCAATTTTCTACATGGCCTAGAAAGTTAGTTTTGAGTTCTTTTAAAGGAAAATTTTGAATGCACCGTGGAGTTACCTATAATTTTGTCTTGGTGACTTTAACCATTTAACTCCCAGAAGAGATTAGCATATAGCGTCTCCCTGTAACATCCATACATCATCCAGGTAACACGTGATGAGAATATTCAAACTTATCGGGTAGAAGTTAGTATCGTGATCTAACACCAAATTCTGGTCACTGACTTACAATGAGATGTTTAACAGCCAGAGGGGAGAGTTGACAATCACATCTTGAGAGTTAAAGGGTTGATTATTCACGTTCCATTTGTCTTTATTGTCACCTCTCTTTAAATGCTATGTCATTCCTTTTCGTGATGCGTCATTCAAAAACTCTCACTGAAGGTTTCTTCGTTGATTCTCTGGTTTCACGGCTTTTCTCTTTTTCTCTTGTCTCCTCACGTAGTGAGGCAGGCTTGTACGCTTGCTCTCCAGTTTTTTTTCTAGTCCCAAAGAAAACCTCAACAATCTTTCTCTCTGTATGTCAATGGCATCCTTGGGACGTGTCCAGTCATGTCTGTTAAACTGAGCACTGATCCCTTAATTTGAGGAGTAAAGAACATAGTTCTGTTGACCCATTCCTCTTTTGAGCGATTCTGCAACGGCTGTGATATCTGAGAGTTCCCCTAGTTCTTAAGAAACCCTTTATGTACATGTTTGTGTTTCATCATTCTTCTTGTCATTCATCTTATTCACGCGCTGTTTCTCTTTCTCTATCATCGCCTTCATCACAGCTCTATGCCTATACACTCAAGGTGAGCGTATTGTTCCTTTTGTTAACTCCTTATGTCAAACTTGTTTTCATAAGTCACTGCTGCTGTGTACAAAAAAATTTCATTTCAATTCAATTATAGCTGTGTTGGCGTTATTGTGACATTGAAAATTTTCGCAGTCTTGCGTGAATCTTAGTCCACTAACCTTGTCTTTATCGCGGTATTCGTCGTTATATTCGTCTGTTCGCTCATCAATACCTGTAAACTTTTTACGCATTCTTGTAGGGATCCTTTGCCATACGACTGTAATTTGAGTCTTTTCAGAGCGAGTATTTTGCGTCTTTCCCTTTATCATACTCTTTACTCTCTTGGATTCATGCATGGGTGCTGTCTGTAAATTGTTGTCTTCTTCATCCTTGCCATTCTTATTTCTCTATGATTCATCATTTCCTTTTTCGTGTTTTTCTTCAGCAACAAATTCTCATTCTCAAACCGTTCCTTTTAAACCCTGTATTTCTTTAAGTCGGTTCTGAAGGTCGATGTTATGAGGCATACGAGTGGGCAGCAAGATCAGAAAGATCTGCAGGAAATTTTCCCATTTGCTTGTTTTCAATAATATATCTCACCATAATGCGATTGATCAATTCACTGGTGCACCATACCCATAAAATTTGGTAGTAACTTATCATGCCGAGAAAAATTTGGTCTATCATGTGACCGTCCGTACGTACAAGTTGCTACCCGCCATGGCAAAAAATCTTAACGAAAGGAAACCAAAGGGAAAACCGGTTGCTGGTCTCTCTTTCATCTTGACCACTCGTAGGTCTCGTTACATCAACCTTTAACGGCGAACTTTGATCTTAAAGGCGAGTATCTGTGTCTAATGAAAGGACTTTAAATCATGATCTTGTGATACCTCCTTTTTGAAAAGAATCTTGTTATGCAACCTAACACTTAGAATTGTCTTATTTATTATCTGAGCTGCAGGAGAAAAAGAAGAAGGCCGAGGGAGGGGGAGGTGAGGGGAAAGGCGAGAAAGGAAAAGGTAAAGAGGATGATGACGGCGAGGATGCATTGGACTGGTGGTCACGGTACTATGAGACACTGAAGGACCGTGAACGGAATGAGAGGAATGAGGAACAGAAATCATCGAGGCCTTCTAAGAAGAAGGACAAGAGAGAGGAAGAGTCAGAGGAAGAGAAGTTGAAGAAGAAGATTCCCAGGCTAACGGTGAGAAAATCGTGTGGGGCGATTTTTTGAGCGTCGCAGCGAGCCGATAAAAGGTCAACGAAAAAAAAAGGACAAACTGCAATAAAGCGCGGGAAAATGCGAATGACTCAGCTGCGGTTGGTTCAGTTTTGAATCTGATTTGTTTAGAAAGTGGGTGAGTTCAGGGTCACGCGCGAGTTCAGAGTCACGCGCGAGTTCAGAGTCATGCGCGAGTTCAGGGTCACGCGTGAGTCCAGGTCACGCTGCTTCAGTATTGGTTACTAACCTTACTATAGTGTTGCTATACATTAATGTAGTTGTTTTCAACTATCAAGTTACACAAAATGAAAAATATTCGTTGTGTGATTTTTTCCTATGACAGATTTTTGACTCAGAATTAGAAAATTTGCTAGAGTACAACGGCTTCAACGACTGGCTTCATTCTTTCCCACTCTACCGCGGCAAGAAGACAAGTGAAGATGACGACGATGACCACAGGATTGTGGGGAAATTCAAGGTATTGTTATCCTTTAGAATGCTTAACTTGTACGCATGGTGTTTAGGAAATAAATGGCTCGACTAGGGTCCTTACTCGTTTGGTCCGTTTTTACAGGGCTCCCTGAAAGTGTGGAAGTACCCCCTGCCTGAGCACGTGGAAATGGACCCAATAGTTGGCACATTCCTGAAGTTGCCCAGCAATGAGCCCGTCAATGTGCTTGTACGGGTTTACGTCATCAAGGTACGTCACCATAGACAAACCTTCTTTTGCGTGGTAAATTTTTTGCCTACCTGAAAAATTTCTTAATTGTCAGGTGGGTTGTCATTTGTATTACCCCATTTTTTCTAAATTTGACCCTCATGTTGCTCTTTTTAAACCTCTACAGGCCGTCAATCTGCATCCCTCAGATGTGAATGGAAAGGTGAGCGAGAGTTTGTGCATGGTAATTTTTTTGCTGTACAGCTCAACTGAACAATCAATAAGGCTGTACAACCATCACGTAAAGAAACGAAAAAAAGTGATCTAATAATGTGATTATGTTGTTAATTTTCAGGCTGATCCCTATCTAGTGGTTACGCTCGGAAAACACAAAGTGAGGGACCGAGATAATTATGTGTCAAAGCAGCTCAATCCTGTGTTTGGAAGGTAACGATACATTTATGAGAGCGCTTTTCGATTGAGTGTCCTAATACCAAAATCAGAGCAATTACAACGGTCCATTGAAATGAAAGAAAATATCACTAGGAGATGATAGTGGCACAAAGCTCAAAAGCAAACTGCTTGAAAAGCGGGAAAACCGCAATGGACAAGTCGCATGTGATTTCATTTCGGCATCTGATTGGTTTAGAGGGTTGTGTTAGATCTCCACCCCAGTTACAGAGCATATGATTGGTTGAGAGAGTGGTACGAGTCTTCTGGTCCTCGTACAGATCGATGTAAAGCCAAACCGATACAATACGGGTTTATTTTTGACGTTTAATTAAAAGTTGCCAACTTCAATCAGCTTTCATGAATGGTAGCGATGGTTTTGGTTGTCGTATGGGACAAGAGGATTTTATTCATCTTGTAAATTTTATGAGTCATAGATGTGTTTCTGATGTGGCGTGACGTACTGTTTCATGATGTGACGTGATGTGTCATGACGTGTGATCACATGATAGGATGTGTGTGCTGTGATGTGTCATGGCATCAACTGTGAAATGCTGAAATGTTTTTACGCTTACAGATGCTTTGAATTCGAGGCGATCATCCCCATGGATTCAGTATTGACTGTTGGCGTGTATGACTGGGATCTAGTTGGAAGTGATGACCTCATTGGGGAGAGCAAAGTCGACTTGGAGAACAGATTCTACAGCAAACATCGACCCACGTGTGGTTTGCAGGAAAGTTATGCAACGTGAGTGTTAAGTTTTTTTTTTTTTTTCATTTTACTGGATCCCTTTCACAATGAGGATTTCCATCGGCAGAAAAAAATACTTTTTGCTACAAAAAATATAACGAGACGCGATCAAGCCAATAATTATGGAGGTGCCGGACAGATGTCAGTATCCTAGCAACTGCACACCTACCCAACCCCTAACCCAACATTAACCTTAAATTGTCAGTCGACTGTTTTTGGGGAACGGATAGGTGCGAGTTGCTCAGATACTGACACTGCTGCGAATATTGCTACTCCCGCAGAGTGAGGTCCCAGTCCACCATAGGTATTCCCCTTTCCCCCTCTCCCTCAGTATTTGATCAGGCGTCCTTTTCTTCTGTCCGATATTCAACTCTCCCTGTGGTCTTGAGTGGGGACAAAAGTTTGTCTCAGTGACATAGAAGTTAGGGAAAACCGACGTTATGTCGTCAATTACAGAAACACAATGTAATACCAGACGGTATTGTTTTCTTCTACCCAAAGATTTGGATTCAACAAATGGCGCGACCCAATGCGCCCGACCCAGGTCCTTGCTAAGATCTGCAAAGATGAGGGTCTGGACGGACCTCATTACTCCACGGGAAGAGTTCGAATTGACAACAAAGTGTTTGGCGCCACTTCACAAGTTCTTGAGGAAAGTGGTATGTGTGTCTTTTTCTTTTCCCTATCTTCTCTCCTGCAAGTTTTCCATAACTGTTTGACACTCGACCTTAAAGATTAGGTGTTGTCTCTGTAAAATATTCCGCGAAATGTCTCAAATGGGCGCAGACTGTAAAGGTTGCACTTAACAGTTTACGTGTATGCTTACTTTCATGGAGTATAAATTTTTTGCCGTATCATTTGATGATAAAATAGCGGTATCGAGTAAATGCCCAAACACCGTTCAACGTGTTTGATCCTAATCTTAACAGAACAGTTTATCAAAACAAAAGTGCATCACTTGCGTGAAAGAAGAGAAAACTCTTTGTTTGTCTCGTGTTGATAACACAAAAATAGACTCGATTGTTTTCTTTTTATTATTACTGAATATCTTGCAATTTTTTTGCTAGAAAAGAAAAACATTATACGTAGAGGCCAGAGCAACGTTAAATTTGTGAACGAGTTTTAAATGGTGAACGCCTTTGTTCCAGTTTGCGCGGCGTTGCACTCATTTTGATGGTTCTGCCTTTTAAAATAGCTCGTATGCTTTATTGTGGTTCATTGGGTAGGTTTGTGTTCGTTTTGTAGGTCATTTCAAACAGTCAGATGAACCTGTTGCTCTGAAAGCCTTGCGTGGTTTCCATACGCTGAAGAGAGGCTTCAATCTGGTGCCAGAACATGTGGAGACCCGGTCTCTGTACAACCCAGAGAAACCTGGAGTGGAGCAGGTTAGTGCTCTGTTACTGCTATTTTCATTCATTCTTCTCTACAATGAAATCGTGATGTACGAGGAAAAATCTTACTTTAAGATGGTGACCAAGCGAAGTATAGAACATCTTCATCAAGCGAACCTTGATTGAGAAGACATTACACTTCCAAAGATTAGGAATGAGAAAAAAGAGGACAAGAGAAAACGGTCTTTTTAGAACCCACCATTTCAGATATGTCTACAAAACAAAACTGCGATTTTAACGAGGTCGCTTTTTTGGACCGGATATCTCCAATACATCTTCTCTTTAGTAGATAAAAACCGCGTTTGAGGTCACCACTGTTAATTATCGGCAGAGTTTTCTCAAACTTGCACTACGTACTGAGGAAACGAGGCTAGTTAGATAATATTATGAGAGTTTAAATAAAGCAATAGATTTTATAATCAAGTGCTGATATTTCACGTCTGTCTTTAGGGTAAAATTGAGATGTGGGTGGACATGTTCCCAATGGACATGCCTTCTCCTGGTGCCCCTGTGGACATTACTCCAAGGAAACCAACAACGTAAGGACAGCACTCAATCGTTTCACCTCAAATATCCCTTCTAGAATTTATGTAATTCACTGGTTGCTGGATAACGTCTCGACGTTGTGAGGAGAATTCAAATCGCGCTCCAATTACTTTTGGAGGTTAAGAGTGAAAACGTGCGCTCCAGTTTGTGTTCTTCTGGCAATTAAACAACGCTCGGAGGGAATTTTGAAAGTTATAATGTAAAATTAATTATCAAAGAGTAACAACAATTGATTCCAGTAGGGTAGACTAGTTTTTGTTGAGAATTTTTTACTTGAGACCAAACCGTCATCCAAAGAAGGAAAACTGTATTTCTAACTTCAAATAACGGGACAACATTTGTGTTGTTATTAGTTATGAGCTGCGAGTGGTTATCTGGAACACGGAGGATGTCCTTCTTGAGGAATCCAACATCCTGACAGGAGAGAAATGCAGTGACATCTTTGTCAAAGGTTGGCTTGAGGGAATGAAAGAGGACAAGCAACAAACAGATGTGCATTACAGGTCCCTCACTGGGGAAGGCAATTTCAACTGGCGCTTCATCTTTCCATTCCAGTACCAGAAGGCAGAAGAAAGAATTGTTATTACTCGAAAGGTAAACGTTTTTCAAGCATAAACGTTTTGTTCTGCTTATGTGCCACCCCTCACAGCGTGAAACTAAGCAAATACATCAAAAAAATAAGTAAGGGAAATCTTGCTCCAAGATAGCTTCTTTTCACATTGAATCTTTAAGAAAATTCCCTGTATTGCAGCATTTGAATGAGTGTTACGCTGCCCAAATTCAAATTTGATCATTGTGTATTGTATGGAATGAATTATCTTTTGAACCTCCGCAGGTCAAAAGTACAGCTTATGTCGTTCACTGAGACTCGTCTCGCTCCCAACATGAAGCGTCGTGGCTCAGTTGGTAGTAGCGGCCAATATTATCTGGGAGGCCTGGGTTCGAATCCCTTCGGATCCTGGCTTTTTGCTGGCTTTTTCTGCAGTTTCTTTTATTGAAGCTTACTTGAGGGGATTGTGTCTTCATTTTTTTATTGTGTATTGTCTTACAGGCCAGTTTCTTCTCTTGGGACGAATCAGAGGAGAAAGTTCCTGCCAGACTGCATCTGCAAGTATGGGATGCAGACGCCTTCTCGGCTGACGATTTCATTGGTAAGTAAATTTCTAAAAAAAGTGAGCCATTCTTAGTTCGTGAACGTATAAAGAACTTTCTTGTTATACCGATCATTCGAGACGTAATCATGCCAGGAACCAATCAGAAATCGCTTCAGGAGCGTGTGACCGGTTTAAAGCGCGGGAAAATGCTCCCGTCTTAGTCGCAATTGGCTTGGTCTTGCATCTAAGATCTTATTGGTTAAAAAATGGCGTGAGATTTCCAATCAATTACTTCACAGTCGAGGAACCTTACAAACTGTCATATTGTGTTGAACAGGTGACCTGACGCTTGACCTCACGCGCATGCCACGTGGGGCGAAGTCCGCTAAGACTTGCACGTTAGACTTACTCAAACAAGACGGCAGTGTGCCCCAGATCTCTTTCTTCAAAATCAAGCACATAAAAGGATTCTGGCCGTTTACTGTCAACACTGATGAGGAAGTGCCTGAACTGGCCGTAAGTTCAAAGTCTGTAATCTTGGTTGTTTAGTGTAAAACAAGGCTGAAGTATGGCTGTTATTTTTTCTCGATTCTGGTTTCATGCTTGATAAAGTGAAGCAGCACAGTTCGGGCAAAAATTGTCAGAGGTGCAGCTGTTTCAAAAATAGTTGTCGGAAAAAAAGCGTAAAAGCACACTCGACAACCCCGAAAGGTAATGTGGGTAGTTTTCAGGTCACGGTCCTTGACCTCAGGATTTCAGGGAAATGTGAGAAAAGGTCACTGTAAGGCTGAGGCATAGCGGGTTGGATGAATTTCTTTAGTTACTTGACCTATGAAAATTCATTAATACCCAGATTATCTTTCGAGATTTTCGCGTGCTCTCTTGTTCTTTTTCCGACAACTTTTCTCCAAACAGCCTTATGAAGTAGGTGTGCGTGAGACAAAAGAAAAAAACGTGCTTTTGGATGCTTGGCGACCCCACAATCTCCCGTTTATCGGTCGAATTCTTCATGACGTATCTAAACTTAGCTTGTTTCGAGGTAGATCATGCACCTAGTGCGATTTACTCCGCTCTTCTTACCATACGATCTTAAGGCTGTATGATTTAAATCCAAATTCTCACAATTCTTAGAGCTAATATTGTAAGAAATTTATGGCAGGCGATGCTGAGAACTGACTACTAGATAGGGTGTTGCCGAGTAGGAACTCGACAAGTCTTTGTGTTATTACAACAATTAGAACTCTTACTAAGATATTCATAACTTTCTAACTAGTTTGGTTTCTCATTTCAATGGTAGGGCAAAGTTGAAGCTGAACTGGAATTACTGACTCAGGAAGAGGCTGAGAAGAAACCCGCTGGACGGGCGCGTGAGGACCCGCAGGCTCTTGAGAAACCAAAGTAAGATAATGCTCCATTGAACTTTGATTAATTTTTTTGGACCTACTCCGCGTCTGCGCAGTATTTATGTACTTATTTGATTTGTCTTGTTCTTTGTAGCCGGCCTGATTCAACCTTCACTTGGTTTATGAACCCGTTCAAGTCCCTGAAGTATCTTCTGTGGAACAACTACAAGATGTGCCTCATCAAGTTCTTGGTCATTGGACTGCTAGTGGCCCTCATGGGCTTGTTCTTCTACTCCATGCCTGTAAGAGCCCCTTTTGAATATGATCCATTCACGATAGGGTCCTTTTTTGTGGTAATCAAACTGATGCGATCGTTTAGGTTAGAACAGCCCAAGAGAAAAAGAATGTTGTTGGTGCGGAAATAGTGATCGAAGTCACAATGAAAATTTGTTTTACGTTGGACAAAAACAAGTCTAAATCAACGAGATTTTTTTGGTCAGTTTTTCCGCGATGCTATGGGCTTTAAAGCTAACCTTAAGTCCGTTAATCGTGAATGGTCAATTCCTTGTTTCAAATCTGAACCGCTGTCAGCAGATGTCAGTAACTAACGGTGCTTTCCAAACGACTTTTACTCGGAATTTCTTGAATCGTGCTCTGATTACTTATAAAGTTAAGGAACGCCATGCAAACGCACGTGTCAAAGATTTGATCGTGTAAATTTGCCTCGGTAAAGAATTTCTATAGCTGACCTTTGTTAGCGCTATCACTTCGTTCGGCCGTTAGCCCTTTCGTCCTTCCCCTCCCCTCCCTCCGCACAATTTTTTACCCAAATCATACTCATCTCCCCGTGATAAAAAATAGCTCATCTACGGTAGTAATAAAAGTTCCCTAAAAAGGTTTCCTGCGTTTTTATCTATCTTCAGGGCTATACTGTGAAGAAGATATTCGGAGCATAAGCTGCGCACAAGGCAAAGACAACCGTTGAATTATTCTGTGGGCTGCTATCGAGTTATTTATCTATTTATAAGTTAAGAGAAAACCTAGTTGAATGAGGTTTATTTAAAAAGGTGCAATGTAGGCGCCGTTTAAATATTAGCTGTTATTGTTATAGAAACGTTTATTTTGTTAAAAAAAATATTGTATACTTACAAGATTCAATTATTGGAATTTATTTTTATTACCTTTTTTTCAGTTTTGTATCAGTTTTTCTGCTAGATTTCCGTTTTTTGCAGGTATTCCTTTCCAAAAGGATTGTTTTAGTAAAATTTCGCCGACAACCACTTTTTTGGTTTGATCTAGTGCGTGGTAAGCCGACACGTTTGAGACGGGTCGCAATACCAAAATTCGTGCCAAAATCTCTCATTTGAAGTATTTATCCATCATTTCTATTTATAAGTATTTAATTTTCGCTTTTGAAATACTAATCATGAAACATGGAATTATTTTCGTTGCATGGAATTCAATGAGAAATCTCATGTGGAACAAAAAAGAGAAAGAAAATATTCCTAAAATATAGTACCTTCCTTCCTTCTTTTAGCGTTGATTGTATATGAACTTGAAGTTAGGTTACGTTGCTTAGGGTAAGACAGGAGTAAAGCCAAACAGGGGGTCACACAGTGTCAAACTAAGGGTCCTCTCCAGTTTTCGCCACTTGAATATTATAAGTTTTTCGCTTAAAAAAGGCGTACAAAGGAGGGGGTTGGGGAAAACAGGCACCCCAGGATCCTCGCTTCCCCTAGCTAGGTGTGGCTTCGGGCTTCGGTCTTTATGGAGAATGTCAGACAAATTATGGCTAAATGGCTTCTAAATAGTTTGTATTTTTACATTTTTTAGCGCAGGTCCTTCTTTTGAATTGTAGTTTAGAACTCTGGTTTGACCCGAGAATTAGATAATAGAGTTGAGCATGGAATTGAAATGTACGTGCATTGCGTTTAGATAGTGGATCTGCTGCTCGATTCTTAGAGAAGGAAGGATTTATGTAGATTTCTTTTTCTATAATTTCCCCTGTGGATTCCTTTTTTTTTTTTTCTAGGTGCTAAATGTACCTGAAATTTATTCAAGGTGCTCTGCAGACCTTTTGGTGGTCATGCTATCGGAGCTTTTAATCGCGGAGATTGCGTGACAATCTCAAAGATTACGTTATCTACCAATTGGTTCTGTTTTGCAGATCGAAGTATCGATATTTAAGTGGCTTTAGGCCATGGAATGAGTTGAAATTGTACAGAATGAGATGGCACAGCCGTGTACCTCTGCAGGTTGTAAATAATGTTGAGGCAAAATTAACCAGACGTTGCTGGAGCATAACATATCGTAGCATAATATAAGTAGTATGTTTAACCGTGATATCAGTGTTAAGTAAAAATTACAAGTGGGTCGTAGTTATCAGTAATCAGTGTGGAGGTGTCGTACATGGGGGTAACGTGATTATCAAAAACAATAAAGATAATTGTGGTGACTTGTTGTCATTTGCTGAACCTTCCTCAGTAGTCTTTGATCACACAAAGAATTGTTCATATTGCCGGTGTGGGGCATTTGAACGCAATTTTGGCACGGGGGAGGGTGGGAGAGGGCAGGAATATGAAAAACTAATCTTCACCGGTTCAAATGTCCAGAGGGTTGCCTGGTTTTGAGGGGGGGGGGGAGGATGTTAAAGCTTGTTGATCTTTAAAGGACCCCCTTAAAAAATAGATGAAATGAAAACATGTAACTAACATGTGATTAACAAGTAACTTCTCTCTATAATATCCATACAATATCCAGCAAGCAGGTGATAAGAATACCCAAACTAATAAGGTACAAGTTTTTAATCTTGATCTAGAACCAAACACTTGTCACTAATTTATAAGGAAATGTGTAGAGAGTATAGGAAGAGTTATGAATTACATCTTGGAAGTTTAAGGATTAAGACCTCTTTAACGCAAGCATTGTCAATCAGTTCATTGTTCTTCCTTGTGACAATTTACACTTTCAACACAACATTTCACAACCATCTATTCTATGGGTGAAGCCATATTAAAATAGTTTACATTTCAATATTTTTTTTAATGGACATGACAGTAATACAACCGAACAACAGCCTTTTGAATTGCTTTGAAATACATCTTCACCTGGTCAGTACTAAGATGTTAATGATCCTAGTAAAAAGTTACACCAAAACTACATCAAAATGAAAGAATTGGTCATCAAAAGTCTTAGGCATTATTGCTTACTTTGTTTGAAAAGACAAAAGATCATTCCTTAAAGCTTACTAAACCAGAAAAAGTGATACTTCGCAGTTAAAATATTGCTATCAGGACAGACCTAATTTATTAAAAAGGACTGACACGTGCTACTTTAATTAAAACATAAATAAAAAGTATTCTTCATAGTACCAAAAATACTAGCTCCTTTGTAAAATAATGATCACTCTGAGCAATTAAGATACAATTTTACAAAATAAGTCAAGAGGTTACTTGAATTTAATTGGTTCATTATGTTAAACTTTTACCAAAATCTTAACAGAAGGTTGGTACCCTATATAGGGGACAAGCTTCTTTCCTTGTTCCACAAAAGACACATGCAACAGAAAAAGAGCAGAATGTGCTCCATGAAGGTTGGGTCAATATGTGAATAAAAATCTCAATATCACATAGAGATTTTTAATTGATTCAGTCCTGTTTCTGCAGTAGAGAGGGTGTAAAGCAGTGTAAAAACTCTCTACAACCATGCTGAATTTTGCCATGAAACAAAATTTCAGGTGGCCTGTATGAGGCTTTCAGTTAGTAAAATGGAGTGTAGTGGTAAAGTTAAAAGTACAATAGCAGTGGCAGAGCAAAGAAGCAGGAGGTTTGGTTCAGCTCGGAAAAGGAAGGAGGTTTTGTCTATCACCTAAAGAACCCAAACCTCAATCCTTTTATGGACCCAAATTGAACCTTCGACTTTTTTCTCGCAGCCATTACCATAGTATATTTAATTTTATTATCATGCTCCATATTAACAACCAAATGCCTGAAATAGGCAAAATTTTTGGCGAAATTGGGAGATCACACGAGGGAAACTGTTCCTGCGATATGATCTACATAGTGTGCCAACCTTTCAGAAGGATAAAAAAAATTGCAGTTTAATGCAACCAGAATTCAATCCTACACAACTTCCATTATATTTCACCCTGATACACCACTTCAGATGCCTCTGTCACAATAAAACTTGTTTGTACCTGACGTGACTTAATTGAAAGGCACTCACAATCTACTTTTGTCTCATTAGCATCTACTTTTACAGTTCCTTAACCCTTTAACTCCCAGATCAAATTTTTCATTCTCCTTACTGTCAACCATACAATTCTCATAATGTTAGTTCAGAGAATTTAATATTGGATCAACTAATTATCCCCAAATTGATATTTTTCTTTATTCTCATCACTTATCTGGTTGATATTGTATTGAAATTGTAAGGATAAAGTCTCTTCTGGTCACTTATGGGAGGTAAAGGGTTAGAATGTTCGTCATAAATAGCTCCTTAGATAACTGAATGAATATTGTCAACTTCAGCAGTTCATAAAATTTGGGTATTACACATAATCTGTAAAAATCATGTTCTTTGTTTCACTCTGTCTGTCTCATGTAAAACCAAACTTCAGAAGTTAGGTTCTGGGACCCAGAGCCACCATCTTGGATTACATATCAGTGTTATCATCCTGAAGAGAGCAAATGTTGATGCCAAAACTACTATTGACAAGTTGACTGCATTCCAGGTGGACATACTGTGTACAAAAGCTGCTTGGATGGCGACAAGCAGAATGTCTCCTGTTAACATTCCCCAGTAGATGATTTTCCTGGTTACTGCATTGCCCCAGCCAATCCCACCAATGAGAAGGACAATCTGAAACAAACACCAGAAGCAACATCATGTGGATTTTACTTCTAAGGCAAGAGCAAGATTTTTTATTTTTGCACAATTCGTCTTTTTTGCGAATATTCTGACTAGAAATTTTCTGCTAGCTGTTATTAATGCAACTCTGTGAAACTATCAAAATTCAATGTAAGTAAGATCTCACTGGTAATTCTCTTTACCGCCTGCAGGCTATACAATTCTCAAAATGTTAGATTGGAGAATTTGGTATTGGATCAACCAATAATCCCCAAATCGATATTTTTCTCTATTGTAATTACTTGTCTGCTTGATATTATGTTGATATTGCATGTAAGGAGAAATTCCTTCTTGGTCACTCATGAGAGTTAAAGGGTTTAACTTTGTATGCTCCACAGTAAGGTGTTTTCAAAATTCATCAATTATATTACCATTTAAGTCAAGGTAACTCTAAAATTCCCTGATGGAGCCAATAAATCCCCAAACAAGCCTTTTTTTTAAGACAAATCCCTAGCTAACAGAGTTGTACATGAGCACTTGAGTGCTCTGCCCCTCTCCTTCTGTGCTCCCCCTCCCCTCCCTTGAGAAATCATCTCTGGAAAAAGAAGACCTCTGTAGGTAACTCTACCAGATAAAATGCAGATATACCACACATAGATTCAGTGATGCATCAAACAGTCATGTGAAACAATTATGTACTCTTCTGAAACATGATATGTTATGGGGCATATCCCGTGTGATTGGCCATAGAGGGTTTGTAGTTTTGGGTTTTAGAGGGAGGGAGGCGTTCCTTAGCTAATCATCAATTAATTTAAAAGCTGTCAGTCGAAACTTTGAGAAATATTTCCAAAGAATCTTGGGCTGAAATGTTAACTAAAACAATTAGTGTCAAAAAGTCTCATTTTTCATCGATTTATGTAAGAACCCATGGTATCTGGAGCGAGGTTCGCTTCTAAATTTTTTAGTTTCGAACTATATCACGAACGAAATACGGAAGCATTAATAAACCTTATGAAATTTTTATGAGCTAAATTTTGCAAAATTTCAATTAATACAGTGACTGGCACAGCGCATGAAAGTCCTTTTAATTTCTTAATCAAGAACAACTCTTGATTCATAAAAGAACAGCAATGGTATTGTATATATTTCTGACCTGCACGCTAACCATACTTCCGACCGTTCGCATCATCCACTCTGACACTTCGGTTACTTGTGTTCCAGGCGGTAACATTCTTTCAAGAAAATTTTTGGGAAGGAAATAATATGCTACAACAGTGGCAATCATCAGAGCGATCTCCACCACGCTGACAGCTGTCCAAGATAGTCTCAAGCGGCAGCAGAAGCATCGAGACCTCGAGCTTGTTTCGGATATCGACCGGGTAGATGGTAAAGTCGGCCAAGCATCATACGAAGAAGTAGGATCGACAGCATCAACAGATCTTGGAGTTCCGTAGCTGCGATCCATTCAGAAAACAGTTCGGTGTTTTGATAATAATCACGTTTGTCAGATCTGAGAGGTAGCTCGATCTTTTTTTATGTGCAGTAGTACCACGCACTATGAACTAGTATTCGCCCGCCCACTGCGGAAAGGAAAGAGCGTGTATCACGTGACCATTAAATAACCTGATGAGAAAAGAAATTCTCCCACTATCGTCAAAATCAAAATGGCGGAAAGCCGAGCTCACTTGGCAGGGTTAAGAATTTGAAACTCATGCACTTCTGCGCTCTCTTTTCACTCTCTCTTACCATAAAATAGACGTGTTTATACATACTTTATTTCGGTGCGGAATGTTTGGGGTATTGGTTGGCCAAAGTATTAAAGCTGAGGTGATCACAAAGTAACAGCTCTAAAGAAATATCCGTCGAAGGAGTGAGGAAGTAACTAGGATGTCTGGCCACTATGTTCAGCTTTGTCCAAATCCTCTCCGGTTTGAGCCTGTCACCAAAGAAAACAGTGTATTTTTTGACGAAGCAAACCGGCAGGTAAGGCAAAAAGAGTTTTTTTTGGATATAAATGAGGAGTCGTAGTTTGGATTCGATATCTCTTTTAAGGAGACCTCTACTCAGTTGGTAATTTTTGGTTTATTTTTTTGGGAATTCTTGAAGGCTTAATGCAACAGAACCACATGATGGTAGAAATTTTACATTTATTTTGAATCTTTCCATGATTAATTAAGTACATGGAGGACAAATACATGGTTTGACAGACTCTGGATTGATCAGGGCTCAAAAAGTGAAAAGTCTGCTCTTCTACTTACTGACCCTCAGTACTGCAACTTATCCTGATAAGTATAACATGAAGTTACTAGAGGTAATCATACCCATGACTCCTGGATAGGATGTTAGTCCATCAAAGATTACTGCATCTCCCCACCCTCTCCTCCCTACCAGCATTTTGTCAGGTTTTCTTGACATCTCTGGGGTACCAATTCATACTTGTGGGTAGTGGGGCATTGTGGTGGTAAAGGATCTTGTGCAACACAATGATCCAGCCAGGTCTTGGATCCAGACCTCTTGACCTGGAGTTCAGTGTACTAATGTTTTAGCCATACCACCCCTGCTCCCTTACCTTCTCTCGCTCTTTGGGATTACATTGTAAGAAAGTAAAAGCCTTTATATGGGTCCAAGTGGCTCATGGGGCTGGTGCTTAACTCCAGTTTTCTTAGCATGAAGCAGGTAGGAGTATTGCTACTCCCCCCCTGGATGGGATGCTAGTCCATCGCAGGGTTACCCCCAGCACATTTGGTGGTACCCATTTGTACACCTGGGTGAAGAGAAGCACTGTGAGAGTAAAGTGTCTTGCCTAAGAACACAACACAATGACCCTGGCCAGGGCTCAAATCTGGACCACCTGATCCAGAGTTGGGCGCGCTTACCATGAGGCCACTGCGCCTCCACACTTACATTGTACTGTAGGGAATTTGCCAATTCATGGGCAAACTTGTGACCAAGAGAGGTCATATGTATGGCTGTGGAATCTAGTTCTCTTTTAAATAATTTCTATTGCCATTGAATATGTAAACATTTTCTTCCAGGTCTTCTCTGTTACCTCTGTGGATGGAAAAACCCGTGTTGTAGTCAGAGGTCCTGATCTGAAGTCTTTTGTCATCTTCGAGTATGTTGTTGGCTTGTGTTGTGCAATATTAGAAAATAAATGCACTAAAGATGCATAAGGGACAAATCCAAGAATTTTTGCAAATGATCAAGGGAGGTGTTAGACCTTAAGAAAAGAAATGATTTAAGTTTCAAAATAAAACCAAAATTTGTGGAATTAAAGTGAGAGATGGTTAACTGTATAAGATGCAAACCAGGTGATTTTTAGCCTTAGGCCTGTGGATCTGACAGTAAGAAAGACAAATAGATTAGATATGTTGGTATTGAATCACTCATTCTCTTTTCCCTTCCCTTTCCTTTTCCTCTTCTTCCTTTCCTTTCTCTTCATTTCCTTTGGATTATATCATATATTTTATCATGTGCATTCACAGCATACCAACAATGGGATACGTGCAGTCCATTAAATTCTCTTATGACCGCAAGATATTAGCAATCCAGAGATCTATAAAAGTTGTGGTAAGGAATTCAGTTCAATTTAATGTTTCATTTTGCATTCTCCATGTAAATATTTAATAATTATTGAAACCACCGCAAAAGGGGCTGTTCTAATTATTGTTTTTCTTTGCATTCTATCTGTGAATCTAATTTATTTCTAGGAGTTCATTAACTTTGCTGATGGAATTGATAGCCAGCAGTATAGCCAGACATGTAAGGTATGGTATATTTAATTACTGTCTTTAAACTTTACACCACTTAAAGTGCAGGTTTATAGGAGAATTTCATGTGCAGTGGTGGATACTGCACTTAGATGTCTGCATTATCATGATGGTCTTTGGTTTTTTTGTATAGAGCATTTTATTATGGACCATAGTGACCACAATGCCACTACTATATAATTGGAGTCATTATCTCACTGTCTTCAGATGTTTACTAGAAAAAATAGAAAGAGCTGGGTTTTTTTATTATTTTTCTTTTTTTTTTTTTTTGATGAGAAGATCAACACCTTGTATAGCAGGAAGCAAACAGCTGTGAATTACGTGGATCAACTATGAGACATAAATTTCTGGTGTAATCGCTTTACTCATTAAGCATACAAGATCTTATTTTGTGCCTCCTTCACAACCTCAGCTGGAGATCCAACTACAAACATGAATTGTTTTTATAAAGATCTTTTGTTATTTGTTCTCTTCACAGAGCAAGTCTGCCCATGTTATTGGTTTCAACTGGACAAATTTGAATGAAATTGTCTTTATTACAAACCAAGGTCTAGAATTTTATCAGGTAGAGGCTGTAATTTTATTAAATAAGTGTCGAATACCTTTCTCCTCTAGCTGTAGAAAAATTACAAAAATTTAAATTGAGGATGGTCAATTTTTAACTTACAACTTACCAATGAACTAAGCCATTGTATCATGAATCCTTTTTGTGGTATTCTTTCCAAGGTATTACCAGAAAAGCGTAGCCTAAAGATGATTAAGAACTACAGTGTGCAAGTCAACTGGTTTGTCTTCCTGGTAAGACAAAATATTATGTGTGTATGAGCATTTTACTACCAGTGAGTTGAAATTTTCCTTGCATCTTTGACTTATTTCTTTCTAGCTCAGTTGGTGGAAGTTCCCAACTTTTATCTGGCCTTGGAATGTATGGGCTCATTTCTGGGAAAAATCCTGATTTTTTTCTAGGCTGTGCTCTGAATGCCAGTAGGATCATGTGCTGGTCAAATGCAATTAAAATAAGTTATTGAGGTATTATTTCACAGTGATGAGGACCAAACTAATCTTAAGTGTCTCATCCTCTTTCTCTGAAGCCTGAGAGTGCTGTTCTTCTTTTGTCTTCCTCGGGCCTTGGAAATGTTATTCATCCATATCACTTCAGGGTGAGTTTTAATCCCAAATTGTTTAATTCATCATTATCATTGAAGTAAATCTTCTCAGAATGTTCATTTAATAGAAGAACAGTACTTGCTGATGTTTTGGGCAGTTTGGTGTTTGATATAAAATTTATGCTGACCCTCTAAGAGTAGGTGGCTTTATTAATTCAATTAAAAGAAAATGTAGCATTATTTTTGTTGTGTTTCATGTCACTACAGGCAGGGTCTGTCATGAGGTTACCAAAGTTTGAGGTAGATATCCCTGCAGCCTCCAAAGCTCAGAAAGTTCAACTGTTGGAAAGGGATGTCACTCTTGCAAACATGTGAGTTATAACTGTCCAGCCAAAAATCCATACTAGTCAGTCATCTCTCAACTCCAAAATAGACTTAGTTACAAACCATGTTTGCAGAAACTCTGACTTCTGATTCCATCAGTTTGATTTTTATGGAATAATATTCCTCTGTGCTTGTGATAGGGACTCTGACTCAAATGTTAGTGCATGGAATCCAACCTAGTACTGGTTTAAAGTATGTGATCTGTCTATCAAAATCTCTCCCAAGTCAAATATCAAACAACATAGAAGACTGAAAAGTCAGAACAGATATATAATTTTGTATAAACCACAATGTATTAATGCTTTGTTTTAGACTGAATCAATGGAAATAATTCCACTTGAAGTTGACTCAAAAATCAACCCTTTTACACCAAAGTGTGACAAGCATCTAATTTTCCTTATAATATCACCCCAGAATCAAGCATTTCAGGTTACAAGAATAAAGGAAATGATCAACAAGTAAAAGAGCTCTACTAATTCTGTTTGTTAAACAAATTCTCCTTGTCTGCACCTTAGGAAATGTATAGAGAACAGTATGGAGATTATGTATACTGTTGTTCTGGTGTAAAGGGTTAGTATGACATTGATTGTTGAGGCTCCATAGATTTCTCTTTACACGTTTTCTTTCAGAGATGGCCAGCTCTATGTGGTAATTCTCAGAAACCAGCAGAGAAGTCAAACCACAGGACCAGTTGGTGCAGAGATTGTTCTGTACCAGCTACAGCGGTAAGCCATAGACAACATTATTTAAATTGGCCACCTTCAAGAGTTGAAAAGCTAATGTTTTGAGCATCAGCCATCTGTCAGATCATCACTCTGACGAAGGGCTAACAATTGAAACATCAGCTTTTAAACTCTTTACGGTGGCCAATTTACATTAACAACTCAGTTGATAATAACAAATTACCTTGTTATACTCTCCCACCAATGCAGTACCACAGTTTCTTTAGAAACTTACCCCTTTTATTCAAATGTTATTTGTTGAATGTACCTTGCTGTGGGTCAGTCATTTGAGAGTAAATAATATTAATGTGTGTTCTAATTGTAGAGATATCCCAGCCAAGAAGGCAGCTGTTCTTCAACTGAACATGATTGGAAGATTTGCAGTCAATGTTGTGGTAAATATATTTTTACTACACAATCACTAGCTTTGAAACTCATATCATACTTGAATATTTTATTTTCGCACATAAAATCTCAAATGAGCTAAAGCCTTAAATAAAACAGGAAGAAACAATCTCTTTTAGTTGGATCAGTTTAATTGTATATATTAAACTACTAATTAGTAGATGCTGAAGAATTTCCTGAAAGTTAGAAATAAACTGAGTTTCCTGAATGACTTTTTGTCATCACAGTTACTGTGAAAGTGTGACTCATTTGCTCCTTTGCATTTTTATCATCACAGTGAAATTTTTCTTTGTAACATCTTAGTATGGATCAGTTAGAAGCATTTTTTTCCAACTAGGTGCTTTGGAAGACTGACCATGCTCTGGTGCAGCCTTAATAAGCAGATCAATCATTCTTTGCTTTGTTTTCCACAGGATAACCTTGTTATTGTCCATCATCAAGCTTCAAAGGTAATTTTTGAGTCAACTTCAAGTGGAATTATTTCCATTGATTCAGTCTAAAATAAAGCATAAATAAATTATATAGTTTGTACTTAAGTAAATGTCTGTTCTGACTTTGCAGACATCTATGTTGTTTGATATTCGACTTGGGGGAGATTTTGATGGACAGATCACATACTTTCAACCAGTACTAGCACCTCTGCCACTTGAACAAGCAGTTTTTGAAGCAGGTAAGCCATGTTCAGAGTTAATTGGTCATTTTTTTTGAAAGATAACAACATGTTTTTGCTGTACAATTGGTTGTACAGGTTGGAAAATTTGTGGATTTGATGCTTATTGTCTTAAGTTTGTTTCTTTGTGGTTTTATTTTTTAGAAGAGAAAGATTCTACTGGTGCAGTTAAAAAGAAGAGGGTACTTTGTGAAATGTGTATCCAAAAACAGACTCATGCAATGAGAATATTTGCTATATCATTAATATTAAGAGAGATCAGGGAAGATAGTAAATTTTGAGCCCAGCTGTTGGACAAAGGATTATGTTATTTGCTATTGAATTGGGACAAGGAAAACACCCCTAGACCCTCACAAGGACTCGTGCATCAGACTTCAGGATTTTGCAGATAGATATAAATTACCTGTAACTGTGTATTACCACTATGTTTCTTAACAAGGTCTTGATTCCAGACTCTCAAAACTGGATTGTGTTTCAACCAAACATCATCATAGATGCTAAACTTGGTAAGTTTGTATTTCAACTTCAATAGGTCCAAGAAATGTTGCATCTTTCAGTGTTTAATCACTATGATAAAGGTTCCTACTACTTGACAAAGAAATATGAGAGATTTCCAGTGTAAGAGTTGTTGTAGGAGGGGAGGGGGAAGAGAGAGAGAGAGAGAGAGAGAGATATGGTCAGAATATTTCTTGATGTGGATGTACCTTGATGCAAATTTTTAAAGGTGTTTTTTGTAGATGCATACCCCTGCATCTTTAGGGTTTCTCTTAGCTTTACAGTTTTCTTTTGACTGCAAAAAAGAAATTATAACCTTAGGTTTTTCCAAGTAACACCATTTACCGGAATGCTTCGTGTTTTGTCCTCAGGTTGTTTGTGGGAGGTTATGATAAAGCTGGAGCCCTTGGTTGCCATGATTGGTGACAAGGTAAATCTTATTTTGTCTATTTTTTGTCATTTGAGATATCAGTTGGTGTCACTGACAGAGGTAAGTCGCCCTTGATTTCAAGCTGTAAATCGCACAAAGCATGACACTGGGTTACCAGCTGTAGTCATTGGGGTCTGAGCCCCATGGAAGCTGGGATTCTGTTTTTGTTTTTGTTTTGTTTCTTTTCCTGGCTTTACCCTGTATATTTGTTAATCAATTTAATAGGCAATTATTTCCCAAAATGGAGTTGAATAGTGATAGGTATTTACTGAAACATGAAGTGCAAGGTAAATTTCCAACACTTTCAATGACACTGGGTGAATAACTGTTATTATTTAGTATATACTGCACATATAACCAAGAAAAAGGTTTTTTCTGTCAATATATCTTAAAATGTTTGTAAATGAAACTCTTGATGCAAGATTTTGTCTCTTTGGCTACTCAGAGGTGAATAGAACTTGCTTATTACATCTGAACTGGCCAATCAGTAGTATATAGTTACCAGCTAAGTTCGTTTATTAGAATCATTTTGTCATTTTCTTGTTGTCTACTCTTCACATTCAATAAATTTCCAAATAATTGTATATAAACTGACAATGTCAGTGTTGCGTGTTGTACCCATTTGGCAATGAGCTTTTTTATCTTTTAGGGCTTGTTGATTGACTTCCTACTTCTAAGGAAAGAAAGCAAAATGGTCATTTTAACAGTTTTCAAACAAGGTATGGACACCATTTAGCCAATGTATTTAATCATCTCAATTGCAACACTTGGAATTACCATTTAGCTTATTGTTGCTTTATTTTTTGTTGCAAGGTGTGACAGCATAGTTATTAACCTTTTTTTTTTTTTTGTCATCATGTAACAGCTTTAACTCCAGGGAGACAGAGCAGCCTTCCAGTCATAGCTCGTATGTTTGACAAGGTGAACTTGGCTTACAGAAGTTATGCACTGGAAGCTGAACAAAATGCACAACAGGTTAGTCTGTATGAATTCTTGAGGTGACTCTGTTATCACCCCCTGTGAAAGATGATGAAAGATCAGGGAGAGGAAATGGTCAGGAAAGATTGTTCTAAGGGGCACAGAGGGTGAAGGAACCTAATGTGGAGTCAGGAAAACTGTGCACAGGGTGGGTAAAGATTAAGTAGAGGATTAGAGTAGGAAAAAAATGAAAACAAAAATGAAAACTTGTAGACTGAGGCATCAAGGTCTGGATGAAACAAAGAGGGTAGAAATGGAAGGAGAGCTGGCTAATGAGTTGAAGGAAGATGGGAGGTTGACATTCACTGAATTACTTTGGAAAGACAGAGTAAATGGAGACAGGAAAGGAAGGAGGAGTGGTGAAAATGTATCTTAGGAACTTGAAGGGAGGAATAACAGAGCAGCAAAAATTCGATAGGAAGAGAAAAAATAATGGAGAAGTTGGATCAATATCAGTATCTGGGCAACTGCCCACCTACCCCTCCCCTAACTCAACAAGAGTCAATTGATAACATGTTAGGGTTAAAGTTGGGTTAGGGGAGGGGTAGGTGGGCAGTTGCCCAGATACTGATATTGATCCGAGAACTCTTCTCTGAGGTTAAAACATATTCCTATTTGATATGAATCAGAAGTTTCTCTCCTTCTTTCCAAGTGTTTATATGTAACTGAATGAAGAATGCACTTGTTTTTCTCTTAGTCAAGTGATGCTTCCAAGGGTCAGTCTCCCCAAAAACAAGTCTCTAGGTTAGTGAACTCAAATTCTGTTCCTTTTCTTTTTTATATCTTACAAGTTAAATTACTGGTTAACTTTTCCAAGAAAACTTTTCTTTGCCAATATTCTTATATCAGTTGAATGGTAATTTGGACAAGGTTAAATCCAAATTATTGCAGGGGTTTTACTGATGGGATAGGAGAGGCCTAAGGGAGGTTTGCAGGGACATTGCTTTGCTGCTTTGCTTCCTTTGTTTCCCTCTCCTCCCCCCCCTCCCCCATCTATTGCCACCTAACAACACTTACCCTCTATAACTACTGAAAACATGTTTTCAATGTCTTGTAAATATATAATGTATTTAATACTTAGAAGAGAAGCATTTTCAGTCAATTCACCCAGTGTTAAATGCAATTATGCTCCTTTAGGTGCCAGACAGTTGTCAGTCAAGAAGACATGTATTCCCATGTGCTTTCTACATTTGTGGAGAGTAAGGTATAAGACTGCTGTTGTACTGTATCTTCATCCAACCCTTGTTTGGAATTGTCAGTATCCAGTAGTACCATTTCAGCTTTGTAACTGTGAAGGCCAGTTTATAGACTATGAGTAGTCCATCCTTTTAGGTAAAGTGGGTCGCCAAAAAAAAAAAAAGGGTGACTTGCACAATGGACTTTGCCAATAAGGAGGGAATGCTCATAGTCTAGCTAGCCAGTGTATGGTGAGTTCACTGTTGGGGCAGCTTGAAGGGGCAATTGATCAAAAGAAGAAAAAAAAACAAACAAGTTAGTATTACTCAATGTAAAATATTTTGCAATTTGCATTCATATAAACTGCATTAAATTTGTAACAATTTTATGACTCACAATAAATTATTTCTTGGTTATTTGATCACAATTTTGTAACTCTCCAGTGACTGTTTTAAAAGGGGAAAGAGGAATGACAACTGTGAAAAAGAAACTTGCCACATATCTTGATCTGTATTTCAATCAAGGAATAAAATCTTGATTGTGCACTTTCATTGGATAAGTTAATTGGGTTGTGTCTTCACGAACATGACTTTGTGTTAGTTGCCAGTCATCCAAGTTAAAGACTGAACCACTAATTCTTCCCATTTCCCTTGTTCATTTTTAGAAAGTAAAGTATAAATTCATGGTTGCTGTGTTGGTGGAGTATATTCGATCTCTGAATCAGTTTGAGATTGAGGTAGAGGTAAGGGAAACTACAGACTTAAAGAGTTAAAAACTGAGAAATGAAAGCAAAAATGAATCTTAAAAATTAAGTTTGTAGAAGACTTGGCAACCAATGGTTTGGTGTGTTGGACTTCAGATTTAGGATTTATAAACTTATATGTATAAGCCACCCTTTCTTGTTGAAATTGTTTTTAAATTCCGGGTTCCAGCTACACCACCTAAAACTAGTGACGCAACTTGCAATTGATATGCAATTGCAGTGATAGGCAAATATTGCCAGGAGTGCCTGGTGCAGCAGTTATAATTTTTGCCAATCACTGCAATCAGCATGTAAAATTGCCAATATCTGACAGGCCAGATATTGGCAATTTTATATGCTGATTATAACATTCAAAATTTGTTCCAATTGGTGAATAAAATCACCAGGTGTGTTGCTGGCTTAATGCCATCCACAACTTATCACATGACCTGAATGATATAACCGTCTTCTTTTCCACTTCAACAGCACTATCTTTATGAGCTGATCATAAATCTTCTGGTACACAACAAGCGTTTCTACCAACTGCATCAGGTGTGATGGCCTTCTAACAATATATTTCTTTGTGTTCTATCCCTAAACAAATGAAAGATGAGAATAAAAAAAAACAGGTTCTCGTTGCCTTTAATTGTGCAGTGACAGAAGCAGTAATCCCCATCAGATTCAAAATTTGTGCCATACTGCTGGCTCACCTCCAGTAGGACTTGCTGCTCCTGCTATAGTGCATGCCAATTAGAGCCTGCCTACAATCTAAATGTTTAGTTTTCATAATTAGAATGGGTAACAACTTCATTTAAATTCCTCAAAGACAACAAAATTGCACAAACCTTTAGGATGGGTGCAATTTGTAGTCTTTGAAAAATTTACAAGTGCTTACTTACACCAAATTGCATGAGAAATCAGTCATGTTGTTACTTGTTAATAATTTACATGAAAAAAGTACTACAGAAAGTCAAGACAGATGAAATTTTGGAAGCGTGCATTATTTGTAATCTGCACTTGTGTTACAACTTTGCACTCTTGTTATGTGAAAAATGCACCCATTTTCAGCCAATTAGACGCCCATAATATTTTTATGTATATCATGATTATAGATGAATTAAACAACTTCCTCCTCCTGCAGTGTCTTGTTTGAATAATCTTTTAAAGGCTTACATTCTATGCATGCATTCAAACAAATGATTCAGTGATATTTGTATGCATTTTCAGTTCCTGCAATACCATGTCATCAGTGACTCTAAACCTCTGGTAAGAGTAAATCAATATTCTTTCAACCCTTCACACCCTAGCATCAGAATGCATATTCTCTCTACTGTTCTCTTTACATTTCTTAACCCTTTAACTCCCAAGATCTGATTGTTAATTCTCCCCTCTAGCTGCTACACATTTCCTTCTAAATTAGTTATGAGAACTTAGTGCTAGATCAAGATAGCAGCTTCCACCTGATAAGTTTGAATATTCTCATTACCTGTTTGCTGAATAATGTATGGATATTATTGGGAGAAGTTTCATGTTAATCACTACTGGAAGTTAAAGGGTTAAGGTGCTGGCAAGGAGAATTAGCCAACATTTTGATAATACTGTGCTTATGATTTTAGATGTATCTGCCTGGTTATGTTTACATTATGGCTTAAACCTAGTGATTCTCCCAAATATCTTTTCAAAATGTTAGTAGTTACTGCAAATTAAAGTAAAAAAAAAAACCTGTGAAAACTTTGATGCAATTCTGAGAGGTCAATCATGTTCTGACCAATCACAATAAAGTTCAGGACATGGGAGAAAACCTTAAAACCACAAAATTATTACTAAACAGGTACTGTTTTCAGGTGGGATTTCTTATGTCTGGTTGGGTTTTCCCTGGAAACATGATGTTATATTATTCAATACATATTTCCGAGTTTTCATAATTATCCACCCAAGTGCATGTTCAAATAATAACTTTATTATGTGTTGCAGGCGTGTCTCATGTTGTCCCTGGAGAGTACCTACCCTCCCACATACCAACTGGCCTTGGATATGCTGAAGGTCACTCAAACAAGTTTCATTAACAACTGTCTATATTAATGAATAAAGGGGGCAAGTTTCTAAAGAAACTGTGGTGCTGCGTTGGAGGGGGAGTATAACAAGATAATTCGGCTTTATCAACTATGTGTCTGTCTCTATGTTATGTTTTCTGACTTTTACAGTCAGTAGTCCATTTGTTAGCTTGCTAGTCAGTTGTTTACCCATAAAGGGGGTACATTTCCAAAGAAACTGTGGTGCTGCATCGGTGGGGAGTATAAGAAGATAAGGTAAATTGCTCACCTTAAAGAGTTTCAAAGCTGGCGTTTAGAGCATTAGCCCTTCATCAGAGTGAATGATGTAGGGCTAATGCACAAAATGTCAACCTATGGTAGACAATCTACATCATCAACTCAATCGACAAAACCAAATTATGCTGTTATATTCCCCTACTGACACAGCACCACAGTTCCTTTAGAAACTTACCCCCTTTTATTCAACTGTCTATATCACCTATCTTAGATCATTCTTTATGAATTACTGATCAATACTTTTGTGTTCAGACAAATGGGTAACTTTTGGTGTTACTCTCCACAGAGACTTAACACAGCCAATGAAGAAATCATTGAGGTTCTTCTCTCAAAACGTCAGGTTAGCCATTTACAACTAAACTGAAAAGATAAGTAAGGTAGAATTTTAGAAGTGAGAAGAGAGAAGATCCTTATTACTTGTGCTCTCCATGAACACTTCTTTGCCTGTGAGAAAGTATAAGGCTTTGAACTGAGCAAACTGGTGAGAGGTTTTGTGAGTGGTGTGGCACCACAAATGATTATTGGTGCCAGACTACCAACACTCTCTCCCCAACTCATCTCAAATCTTTCCACAGGTGCAGGAACACACATCCTGCAGCACTGATTATGAGAGCCTGTTCACAAGCCAGAATGTTAGCACTTTTCTGTGTCATTTTCCTTCTTGATTGTTCTTCTGTTATTAACAATTGTCATGGTGATTTGTTTTTTTTGATAGCTGTTGCCTGCCTTGCGCTATGTGCGTGCTATAGGTGCAGAAGACTCTATATCACCCCGAAAGTTCTTAGAGGTTGCTTCAAATCCTGAGGATTCCATGCTTTTCTACACTGGTAGGTCATGTATATAGTCACTTCCCAAAATTTCTGGTGAAAGTTATAGTTGATATTAGTAGCTCTCTTCCTGTTCTCAAATAGATAATGTTTACATAACAATTATAAAATGTTGTAAGTCAGACTTATTTTCTCTGGGTTTACATGATTTCAAGCACTAAATGTAAAGAAACTGAATGTGATCCCTTGTTCTCTATTGCAGTATACAAGTTTTTTGAACAACGTAACATGCGGCTTCGTGGAAGCCCTGACTTTGCTCCAGGTATGAATAATTTTGATACTCAATTAATTTCTGCATTTTTTATGCTGTTGAATCCAGTTAGATTGAATAGCATTATCTCCAAACTTGGAAACTTCAACCTGTCCAGACTTAAGTTTGAGACTTCACCTCTTTGTATCTTGGTCCAGGGGAACACTGTGATATGTATGTTAAGAGATTTGAGAGCCGTTTTGGGTCAAATCGGAATGCACAATTCAGCAGTAATGGAGGAATCAACTGAAGAAGGTGGCAGCAGTATAAGAGACAAGCATTAAATGAGATGAAGTGTGGGGAGTAAAGCCAAAGATAGAACAAGTTTCCTGTGCATCAATGTCCCCAGCGTGAGTTTAATGACTTGGCAGAAGGTTGTACTTGTGCATGAGTGGATCATATCCGGAATGTACTGTACAGTGTCAAGATTACAAGGTGGACCATAGCTCCGATGTAGAAAAGAAAGTTTCAGACTCTTGGCTTATGGACTCAAGAGGAATAATGTGTGAACTAAAAAACGAACAGATGGCAGAGTTTAAGTTGCCATGGCAACTGAATTTGCAGCAGAAGTTGCTGATCTGGCACAAGTATTCAGCCATCAGGTTGAAAGCTGAAAGGTTTTCTTCTTTTTTTGTAAGTTAATATAGTTTCAAGGCCTACAATTAAAGTAGGAAAGGTATTTGTCATTTTCATCTGAAAAAACTTTGCTTCTTACCCTAGTTTTACAACTTTAATTACTCCAAAGATAAGGGATGTGGTCATGGGTTTAGTCTGCCATGTCAATTTGCATGTGTCTATATTTTCTGACGATGAGTCACTAAATGACAACTTTTACAAACAGCTAAGCTTGGGCCAAAGGGGAGGTAGGGCTTGAGATAGGAGGAACCTGTCATTCCTGTCTCACTCCTCTTTCATCCTCTGTTATTTATTTGCCTACCAAAATTGTAAGCCTATAGTAAGCTGGGATATAAAGATCATCAATTGAACAACTTTAATTCTTTTCACTCTTAGTCTTTCTCAACAAACCTTTTAAGTTTTCTCTCACTGTTTCTTATATTACAAATTGAAGAATTTTATATTGTATATAACTGTGAATTGAACTCTGTGATTGTGCCCCATAAAATAAAAAATTACAGAGAGGAGTTTCACATGTCTTTGTATTATCGTCAAATAATTTTCTTTTGACATACTGAAGTTTTATTAACAAATGAGATACCCCATCAACTGACAAAAAAAAATGCCTTCTATTGACAGGCTGAAATAGCGTAGAGCACATTGAATACCATATTTAGTATATAGTAACACATCATAAATCCATTAATGTGTGATAAAAACTAGATATAATAATTTCCCCAATCAGTAAGTGAGATGGAAGTGAGAAGTGGTAAAAACTCTTGAAATAATTTTTTATCATGTATCAAAATTGGTGTCTTTTCAACTCTAGACTCAAACTCAATCTTGTGCTTTTCTTGGCACTAAGAGTAGTAAATAAATATATTCTGTTATTGTTATTAACATGTAAAAGTAATACTCAACAATGTATATACAAACTTATATACAGTTTACAGCAGGTTGCAATAATCTTGAATATGGCTCTAGTTATACAGCAATAATCTACAATATAAGTTAGCAATAATGATTCACACATATGTACAAAACTTTACAATAATATAGCAATAATTTATCAATAATGATTCACACATATATACAAACCTTTATGGAACTAATAATCATAATAATATTGTATTAGGCAACTGAATTAAAAAAAGAACAGTTTTGAAGATTTTATCTCCAAGTGTTCACTTTATTGCTTTGAAAATTTGTTACTGATAACAATGTTTATCTTTTTTGTAACCAAAACATATAGAATTTTCAGAAATCTCTATTGTCCATAATTCACTATGTCTGTAGTGGCACAGGTGGTCCACTGTGGACATCACTGTCAGTGTCCCAGTTTGACTCAGAAATGATGGGGCGTGGTGGTGCAAAGATGTTTGGAAACCTAAAAAAACAGAAAATTAATGAACAAAATTGTCTCTCTATTAATGTAAAAATTGGATCTTGTGTCAGATGCTAATGTGCAACCTGGACTTAATTACCCCTAAATAACAATGCATCACATATATACATTTTTTTCAAATGTGGATCTCTACTGATATTAATTTATTCCCTACAACTTGGTAATCTAATACACACATTGTCTTACAGGTGAGTCTAACTAAATTAGTGACAGCAAGGATCATTGTCAGTATCAGAGCAGCTACACACCTACCCCTCCCCTAACACAATAACAGTCAACTGATAACAAACTAGGGTTAATGTAGGGTTAAGGGAGGGGTAGGTGTGCAATATTGTTCATTGATCCAAAAGAATTTCCAAAGACAATCTTTGAGATGCTGCTTACCTTGATTGTGACACATCCTCAGCAGGTTTCCTGTTTAAAAGTGTTGAGTTTGGAGCTCTTGCTTGCATTATAGCTGCAAATGGTTTTGTGCCCCTAGGTAGTGCTAATGACTGGGATCCACTGGCTACAACTCCTTCATAAAGTAACGGATTTACTCCAGGGTTTATCATATATTCCCCGTCAGCATTTGGTAGCCCCTGAATGGGTGGAAGAGAAGGTATACTTGAAAATGCATTTGATGAATCTGATATGAGATTTGATGCTCCCCCTTCAAGGAAGTGCAGCTGTTTCCTCTGTTTCCTTCTTGCATCTCTGCTGGCTTTCCAGTTCATTAAAAATCGTTTGGCAGTCTCATTGATTTCCTTGCCATCAAGCATAACTGTAAATTGAAACAAAATTTAAGAAACTATAATTAAAAAACAGACAAGCATTGATGTATGATTCAAAAATAAATTCTTTACATTTCTCTTGGTCTTATTATCAATATTCAGGGTGGTCACTAAGCACCAACAGCAGGTGAAATTTGCAGGATGAAAGAGTGGTGCTTGCTGCTTGAATCTTTAGCTAATAATCGTCCGGTAAAGCCCTCTGACACTTCTGAGGTTATGCACCTGCAATCACTCAATACTTAACGCTACCTTTGCACCATCTCTCTTGAAATTTCAGCAAGCAGCTTAATTAATTTGGAGTATAGACAATACGTTTATACATGGTTGTGGTTGAAAGCAACTTGTATGTTAGTATAAGATTACAGACAAATAGTTTAAGTGGTGGGAAAACAAATCATATCTCTTCCAAGGAAATTCCCTTGCACCTTTACTTACCTAATGACCTGGACATAACAATGACCCTGTCCCTGTATTTTTTCTTGTTACAAATAGGATTTCCAGTCAGTTCTAACCTCCACAGTGATGGCCAAGATGCAAAAACTCTTGAAAGCTCCTTTTACAAAAAAAAAATTTAAGTTTATTAAATAAGTTGGTTAAGGAGCTTTTTTGCAGTCAGAATAAAATACACAAATTAAACATCAGGTGATGTATTTCTCAAATTCCTGTGCCATCTCAAGCATAATAGATGGACAATATCATAAAAAGGGTTGTGGTTACTCATCATGGTGAATACACTTAATTTGTTTTTATTAAACACTTTACACCCTAAAATCAGTATGCACATTCTCCATACTCTCTATACATTTCCTAAGGTGCTGAAAAAGTACAGCTTCTTTAGTTGATGGTCATTTCATTTATTGTTGTGACCTTAATGTGTGATTCAGTGGTGACATTGTAAGTTAGCAATTAGATGCTAGTCCTGCCCCCTTAGGGCTCTAAGGGTTAGATGTAATCATTTGTTTCACAAGATAGAGGGTTTTAAGGTGGAAAGAACCATATTGACTGCATACTGCAAACCTTCTTCATGCTATAGGGTCAACTGGATACAATTTTATGACAATGTGTTCAGCTGTGGTTGGCTAGTATTCAACAAGGAAATTTAATAAGCAAATCTAAAAGCAATCCATCTACATTGGAAGTAAGTACCTCCTGGACAAAGGATTATACTTGCTTACAAATACTAGGAGAAAATTTTACAAGGAAAAAATATTATTAAGAAGTGTCGCACCTTCATATCTGAGAGGCAGTTGTTTTCTGTGAAAAACTGTGTCATGTTCTTGAGACATTTCAGCTCCTCCACAGAATCTATGTTGTTTTCAGATATATTCAGCACACATAGTGATTTCTGTTAAAAGAAAAGTATTTATTTAATTACCGCATGAATGGTGTAATTTTTAATTTATTTACACATGATCACCTGTTCACTTCTGGGTTCAACCCAATTACTGTCAGTGATAAACTATTAATTAACTGTTAAGAATTTTTGTACTCACAGAAAGAGCTTCAAGTGATCTTGGCTCAAAGAGAAGCTTTTCACCAGGAGGTAGATTTTGTTTTTCAATGTGAAGCTCACGAAGACTTTCCAGTTTCTCCAACCCCTCCACAACTGTGATGGAATTAGAACCAAGGTACCTGCAAATTTTATCAAAATAAGTGAAATTTATAAAATCAATTCTTGTAACTTAAAAATGAGAACAGAATTTGGAACAAGAGTTTTGCAATTTTGATTGTAACTAGTACTGACCACTGCTCTTTTTAGGGCTGATTGCTTCAGTTCAGGGGAGGGGTCCTAAGGTATAATTTTCCCCCTTTATCCCAGAAGCTCTAATTGAAGCATGCTCCAGTTTGTGCATATTTCAAGGGACTGTTAATCTATGTTTTAGACTAGTGCTTCTCAATAAAAATTAGGGGGAAAAATGATGTCAGCACACCATGGGGAGCTCTTGGAGTGAGGTGTTCCTTACTTTTCAAGCAACTCACTCCAGGACCTTGTTGTTGACTTGTGCAACAGACTGCATGCCAACAAGAATGTTGGTTGTTTTCCAAATGAGTCATTTCGCCAACGATTGTTTTGCAAATGTCTCTAGTCAGTTCACAAATGTGTAGAAGTCAGTTCACAAACGTTTAGAAGTCAGTTTAATTTGCAAATGTTACTAGCATTTATATGTGTAGAAGTCAGTTCACACACTTTGTAGATTTGAGATGTCAACATTGAGCATACAAACTAACCCTCTAGCTTAGGTCATACAGTTTTGTAGTTGATTTTGCTCTATCACAGCATTTGCGTGTTGCATGTACAGTAGCTGTAACCCACAAATCAATCTACCAATGAATATGAAACAGGTCTTACAGTTGTTGTGTTCTATCAGGAAGTTTTTCTCTTTGAAGGAAGGTCCACAACTACCAAGACACAGGATAAAAACTGTCCATTTGATTATGAGATAAACTTTAGCGAGAAATAAGCTGTGATATTTCACTTCCAGTAATTTATGCATACAATGTGTCAGTAATGTAGTATTCTAAATCATCTCGTTAAACCCAGGTTGACATGTAAATGTTTATAACGTTTATAACTAACTTCTACATGTTTGTGAACTGACCAGAGACATTTGCGAAACTACCGTTGGCAAAACAAATTGTTGGCAAAACAACCCATTACCAACAACAAGAAAGGGGACTCTGCATCTACTTTTTTTAAGCAGTACTGTGTACACCTCTTAGTTAAAAAAAGTTTAAATTGGAACAGCTCAACCATATACCCACTAATATTATTGTCCCAGGGTAAATAAGCACCATGATACTTACAACTTTGTTAATCTCCTAAGATTGTCAAGTCCCTCTATTTTAGTAATCTCATTCTTCTGAAGGTATAAATGTGTTAGGCTGGTTGCAAAACCAAGATTCTTGATCTTTGCAATATTGTTGTCATAAAGGTAGAGAACTGATAGATTTCGGCAGTGATGAAGATTATCCTGCAATATCAAAACAGACAACAAATCGCTGTAAATTCACACTGATCACATCTAAGAATTTCCTCACTACTGCAAACAGTATGCCAAGTATGTAGACAACTGTCATACAGTAGTTTTATGAACAGTGTGAGATATAAATTACAAAATTTTATCTTTCGCTCGATATTCTAAACTTGAAAACAGTTTTATGAGCAAGTTTTGCCAGAAATATGTATTTCACACAGTTTTGCTGCATATTAAGACTGTAAAACGTTTATAAGATCTCTTACTCTAGCTATGCGTGAACATAAGCTTTACGAAAACTCATAGCTTACAATCATTTGAAAACTTCCCACCCACGAATCAATAACTTTGTGAGCACCCTGACCTGGAGAAAGCCTATTTTTGTCCATGACTGCGGGTCGAATATCTAACTCATAGGATTAAATGAGAAGGATATCTGTGGAATACAAAATTTAAGCTCACTGATTTTCAATCCGCTAGTCGAACAAACTTACAATTTCATCAATGTTTTTCTCTGAAAAATACAAGTGGGTCAACCTCCGCACGTATTGTTGCACAGTTTCATCTCTTCTTTTCTTTGTATGGCTTGGAGATTTCGCCAGCATATCTAAGGTTATCTTTCCCATTTTGAGATAATATTGGTAATGCTACATACGAACTATCGGTATTGTAATTTTGGGCATATTATAAAAGCACCTATCACGTGACTAGAAAACAGTTATTCGTCTCCTTGGAAACAAACTTCTATCACCCAGACTCTACGGGATATACTTGGACGAGAGGTATTGTTACACGATCAACGACCAACAAGATGGCGGCCGGAGGGTAAATGTGTGACAGGTTTGTGTTTTTCTCTAGAAGACTTTGAAGTCCCCGTAACAATTTCTACTATATACGTATCGTGTGTTTTGTGCATTATTAATGTACAGTTGTTTTATTCGAGAGCGATTGACATTTCTAGTAAATTATGACTGGTCAAGTTGACATAACAAAAGGATAAATATTCTCGCGTGGGTTAATTGGCCTTGTAGAGATCATAGTTGTTAGGAGTGCTGTTCGTATTTATTATCAATTAGAATTGAGAAACGTCTTGCTGTTATTGACTCTTGAGGTTTTGCCCTTTTGTCTTTGACTCTGAAATTGTTGCTGTTATTTTAATTGGAGTAAGGTTTCGTGTTTTTCCAAGGTTCGAAGATGTCTAATTTTATGACGTATTTCCTAGCTTCTCAAATTGGTGAAAGATGCTTTCAAGTGACCATAAACCACAGCTGATAGAATACTTATGGGTAAAGCGGATCTAAAGGTCATAAATTTCACATTGCTAGCTTTTAAATTTGTCGAGAATCGGTGTAACGCATGAAAGCGCGCGTTCAGAAGTTTAACCCATGCCGGTCAAGGAATATTTTGGTGACTTGTCATTGATGTCATTTTTTTCAGCAATCTCAAGGCATTAAATTGTGCGGAAGATTAGGATATCAACAACGATGTAGGACACTGCCTTGATAAATAATTTTAGTTGAAGTTGTTACTCTTTTGAAGAACTCACTATGTCCGGGGATTTACAAGCAACGATAGAATTCGCCGTCGAATTTTCCACGTTTCACAACATCGATCTCTTTCAGCGAGGGTATGTAACGCTTGAAATAACGTTTTATGTATAAATGTGTAGCTATTGATTTAATTTTATTATGTTTGTATTTCCTTAATCAATCCAGAGATTATATATAAGAAATGTTCTACATCAAATTATAACGAAAAGGAAACCGAAATTAGATTAGTGACACTTAACAAATGACTTTGATCGCTCGTTTTTTCAAATTTTTATTTTTTCTATCTGACGTATAAATCCTCTATGAAATCAAACGATTATAGGAATTTTAAAGATGGTATTCATTAGTGTAAGAGATTAATTGACTTTACTATTCCCCATAGAAATTTTCAGATATGTTTAAGCAATGCACCCCGCCGTGATCAATAACAATGCATATCACTTTGATCTTTTGATATTATTCATAAGAAAAAAAAGTCATTCTCTCTCCAGATGTTAGCTCTAGACAAAATTAATCTGATTAAATTCTCCAGAAAAAACATGAACATCTACAACAGAAATTGGATGTACTGGTACTCTATTATAAGTTCTCATATATGTGTAGTTACACCTTCTTCCTTGTTAGGAATACTTTTTCCTGTTAAAATTCAAACAAATTCTTATTTTTGAACCAGCCCCAAATATTTAAATTCAGGTTCTTTGCATTCTCTAAAAATATGCCCAAGACATATCAAAGAAACTCAATAAATTTATGTCACATAATCCCCTGGTTAACAGTTAATTTCTTCATCAAATTATAATGTGATCTTTTTTATTTGAATGAGTGGGTAGTATTTAAAGAGGCCCAATACTCAAGATCTCATGGCTTCTAAATTTAGACATCCTCATTACATCTTATCTTTTGTCTTTTTATTTTACTGTTTTCTTTGATTTCTCGTATAACATCTTTTTTTTTTTGGATCAAGAACAGATAAAGTAAATATTGAAAAATAATTTGTTTTATTCTGTAATAGTTTTAAGTCCCCTGCTGAGTGGAAGAATTTGAGCCGATATTAGTTTCAAAATGAAATCTGTTCCCAGGTGGCTGTAGAATGAAAAATTAATCCAGGATAGTTATTATAAATCAAAAAGGTCATCAAGGTCACAACTCACAACACTCTGTTTGATCCTTAGTTTTGTCTTAACCCTTTAACTCCCAAGATCTCATTAGTAATTCTTCTTACTTTCTGCCATACAGTTCTTGTGATGTTAGTTTGGATAATTTCATATTGTATCAACTTATAATCCCCCTAACTGATATTTTTCTTCATTCTCATCACTTGTCTGCTTGATATTGTATTGCTATTTTAAGGAGAAATTCTATCTTGGTCACTCACGGGAGTTAAAGGGTTAACCCTTTCACTCTCAAGGATGACCAAGACAGAATTTCTCCTTACAATATCAAGACAATATCAAGCATACAAGTGATGAGAACAAAAAAATATATCAATTGTGGGATTATTAGCTGATGGGATACCAAATGGTGAACAAGTTGGTCACAGCTAAGAGTACTTAGTGAAAAAAAAGATTTTATCAGATGATAAATTGAGATATTTGAACTGGCAGGTATTACCATATTCGTTGTACTCTTAAACCTCCCGTGAAGGCAGCAGCAAGTGTGGAGGTAGAAAAAAGGCTTGATACTGTGTCAGGTAAGTAATTCAGAGTACAATTTAATCAGATAGCACTCTTTTGAATTACAGTCTCTTAAGCTGAGGAAACCCAGAAATAGAATTTGACAGTTATGTCCATCCCATCATCACAGAGATCAAGAATTAGTCATGGCTACAGTCAAATTAATAGGATCTAGAGATGCATTTAAATTCTAAAAGTAGGAACACCTATAAAGTACTAAAGATATTTCAATAATTCAGTTACTTTTTCTTCAAGATGCAGCTGATGGTGGAATTACCAGCTGTGATCTCAAAAGAAGCAAAACAAATTTTTTATATAAATTCTGAGCAGACAGTAACAAAAGATGGTGTTAGACCATCGCTAACCAGCTTTTATCAAAACCCCTGTAATTTCAGGGTAGAGCATGCAAATATGATCACTTCCCACAATATAAATGTATATCTCTGAGTTATAAGAAAAAAAAATCACAAGAAACAATCATCCTCTAGATTACTTTATTCGTATTATCCTGTACTATTTTTCATAGATAAAAAATAAAAAAAATTTAAATGTGTAATGTGCATATATTCATATATTCAGATCAAAGAGAGAACCAAATATTTGAAATAAACATAAAGTGCTTGAAAATCCCAACTTACATGAGGCAGACCAGTTGGCTATTTACACAGTACTAGTGTAGCCAAGGAGTTGAACTTGGGGGGACTGAGAACAAATCAAGTGAGTGACAAGGTGGGGGACTTGAACCCAGGACCATCAGATTACAAGTCTACTTGGCCACAATAATTTACTACATCAAATGTATTGTGTGATAAAGTTATGATATCATAACAACTTATACTGTTATTTTCCTTTTTAACAACACAGACAGCCAAGAGGCAGAATACCAATTTGGGGCAACCATCAACTCTTCTGGGCAGACAGCCATCTCAAAAACATTCCAAATTCTTTACAGAAATGAGTCTGTGGTGTTGAATGATTCCTTTGTTTTTCGTCTCCATTTGTTGGTGGACAGTGACAAGGTAAAAGTCCCATTAAAATCTCTCTATCAGTGGTACTGAGTTGGTGGGAGAGTGTAACATGTCGAAAGAGTTGATTATGTAAATTGCCACTGTCAAGAGTTTCAAAGCTGATGTTTCAAGCATTAGCCCTTCTTCAGAGTGAATGCACTGGAAATGATATAAAGTAAACAATGTTCTCTTTAGATTGTCCAGGAAATTGACCAAGGAGATTATCAAATGTCAGTGGAACTGTTTTTCTCAGACTCGGACTATGGGTGAGAAATTTTTCAACTAGATAAATTCTTTTAACAAGTTTGCTTACTCACATATTGGCTTTGAGTGCATTTATTTAATAATGTGGTAAGTTTCTTTACATTTTTTATCCTGCTGTTACATGGATGATTTATGACAGCTGTCTTTTCTTGATCAAGATCCTAGAAATTAGTTTTATCCTTTGCAGTTGTAAGTATTTCAATCTAACTGTCCACATAACAGTACTGTATTAAAATTTTGTAGTATTTTTCTTTCTTCATCTAAACCTCAAATTTAAGGCTGCTGCAGTTATCCTCCAATTTGGAAAAAAGAAATTATTGAAGTATTTTGATTCTGTCGATAAAATAATTTTCCTAGTTTTAAATCTTCTACATATCACATCCTCACTCCTTTGCCCTAGGTTTACCCTTCAGTAATTTGTCCATATCTTTAGCAAAGCAGTTAATCATGTCCCTCCATGAATAACTTAAAGAGAGAGAGAGATGAAGAAGCTGGATGCTTTAATTTTAAGAGGACATGTTTCTTTTTTTTCTTTGTCTTCTCCAACCAAGGCTTAATTCTGGGACAATGTCAGTATCTGAGAAACTGTGCACCTACCCCTCCCTTAGCCCAACTCTTACCCTAACTTATTATCAATTGACTGTCACTGGGTTAGGGGAGGGGTAGGTAGGTGCTCAGTTGCTCAGATACTGATTTTGATCCCTAATTCTCATCATCCTTGTTTTCTCATCAAACAGAGTTGACTCAGTTGAATCTCTTACAAATGTAAGCACCCAAACATTAAAACTGCACATGTCCTGTGTGAAAGGTCTGCATCACCATGTGCCGATCTTGTTTGACTATTATCACTTTGCTGTCATCGACACAACAATTCATGCCACAGTAACAGCACTTGGTCTTCCTGATCACAGGTAATTGCATCAAATTTTCTCTTCATGCATGCATGGTCTATCACTTTATTCTCGAATAATGGGCATTTATTTATTCATAAGGCTTGCAAAATTTAGCTGCACATAGCTGAACAACAATCTACTTGACAGAAGAATAACATTGCATTTTTTGTGTATACTGTTTATTCCTAATAGCACCTGTTAACTTGTGGCAGTGATGAAAGGTGTTTTGTTTGTCTCACTTTTTCTCTCTGCTTTTTACTCTCAGCATTGTTAGACCTGTGAAAAACAACTGGCTTGGCAAACCACCTTCAAATATGAGAGTATCAACACCAGCTTTCTATGTTGTACTCTTCAGTAACAAGGCTTTAGCACCTCAGGTTAGGAATGGTCTCATTCTTTATCAGCGTTTGATCAATTGAATTCTTGAAAACAGACTGCAGCAATCACTGTACATCACTTTTACTGGCTACAGATCTATGGTCTGTACCATTTCATTTAAAATATTAATAAAACCAAATGCTTTCCAACCACCAAATGAAGAAGTATGCTCCTCTAATGCACTGTTCAAGTCTCAAAAAGTGTACATGCTTAGGCTCCCTTATTTGTCTCCTATCCAACCATTGTGTGACCTAACCAAACAATGATGGAAAGGTGACTATTGGTAGCCAGCAATACAATTCTAATAAACATGTATACCATCTTTCCAGAGTTCTAAAACATCACTTGTGGAGAAGCAGCTGCAGTTTGCTTATGACACACACAGGTTTGACATTCCTTTTACTTTTATTAGTAGTTTTCTTTACATATGAAGTAAAAGAGCACATTCTTAACTGCCATAGATTACTTCCGAGTGTGGAGGGGGAGAAATTTCATGGACAAGAAGGGGAAATAGCACTGAATAGAGCAGGAAGAGAAATCAGTGGCTAAAACTGACATAGCTATTGTTTCACGGATCATTTCTCTATGCAAACGAATAGGCAGATAACAAGTATTCAGATTGAATGTAGTTTTGAGAATATTATGGATGTGTTTTACTGTTCTAATGAGTTACTTTATGTTTTTTTTTAATGTTAATCTAGGTCATTGTGCAGCACTTTGTTATCTGCCCAAGTGAATTTGTTAGCTTATTTCCAATGCTTGAGTGAGCTGCTTCCAGATAATCAAAGAATGGATATTGGTAAGGTTTTGATTTTATCAGTACTATCTTTTGCTACTACTTGATTTCTGCCAAAAGAGTTATTTGAAGTTTGATGCATATTTAGATGGCCATTGTAATTGACTCAAAAAAAGTGAAACAATCAGGCCAGCTCTTTCAGTCATCTTTTCATCTTTTGAATCCCAACAGTTATAAGCATCTAATTTCTCCTTATGATGTCATCCCTGAATCACACATTAAGGTCTTGAGAGTGAAGGAAATGATCACCTACTAAAGAAGCTCTTTACTGTCAAATAAATTATCCTTGACAGCACCCTAGGAGCTGTTAGGATTTAAAAGATTAAGACTTAAAGTACTTCTATTCTTCAGGAATTGTCGACTTTGGTGAAAAGCTTGATGTGCTTTGTAGGGCAGTAGAGGTGTGTAGTCATATTTTAAATCTGGTTTTGTGTGAAAGTAGTTACATCTGTTACATGTGAAATCTTTGGATAGTTTGATGCTTTCTCTATGGGAAAATTGAAGGTGTATTCAAGCATGACTACTACCAACAACAGTCCTTCTCAGGACTACACTCACCTGGACAATCAGATTACACTATCACATGTTACCCCTGGGTTCAAACCATTTCCTGTATTAATCAGGTGTATTGAAATTGCTGATCAATATCAGTATCTGGGCAACTGCCCACCTACCCCTAACCCAACATTAACCTTAACTTGTTGTCAATTGACTGTTGTTGAGTTAGGGGAGGGGTAGGTGGGCAGTTGCCCAGATACTGATATTGATCCGAAATTGCAGTGTTTCTAAAAAATGAATTAAAATGCTGTGATCTTCATTTTTTTAGGGAACAGTTGGGTGTGAGGAAACATTTTCTCAAGTTTGTAGTGACCTCAATAACCTTAGCTCTGAAGTAAGTCAAGCTTTGTTATTCTGGGTATTTTAAGATCCAATTAAATATCATTTCCTGGTAACAAATCACCTCTCCACAAGAGGAGTGAACCATTTATGAATCAACAGTTTGTAGCACTCTGGACTTTTTAACATACAGTCAACTATCTCTGTATTATATTCTCACCAGTAATGTGTAATGAAATTCAATCACAGGACTGTTTTAGGAGAGGAAGTTTTGTAGATTTTTACCTGTGTGCATTTTATGTGAAATTGTCCTAATACATGATCAAAACCTTTCATGACAATTATTTGTCAGTCAAAGGGTCAGCTGTTTCCTTCCAGCTTCATCCTTGGACAAGTTTACTTCCCTTGCCACACTCGGGGCTTACCAGTGTTTACTTTGAAATCTAGAAGTTGTAGCCTTTTTTTTAATTTTTTTACAGCTTTCCTTAGTATGGTCACAGTTTCTTGAGTTCTTCAGCCTCAACAAAGCTATTTTACCATTCATGAGGAAAGAACACCATAAACATCGGGTAAGAATTTAATATGTGTCTATGGGGGGGGGGGGGGGGGGTTAGGAGCAGTTTTAGAAAGGAGAGGAGACTGGAGAGAAGAAGTAGGAAAAGGAAGAAGTGGAGGTGAATCGGTGACGTGAGGAGGAAACGTGACGGTAAAGAGACGATAAGATGAAGTGAACAGTGGGAGGAATCTGAATAGGGACAGGAGGAAGTGCCATGTTCTTCTCTGATATTTCACTGCAATGAAATCTCTAATCAGGCAAACTTCCTTGGGATCCTAAATGAAATAAAATTCTATGACCCAATCCTTTGATGAGATGAAAAAAGCATACCTAATTTTATGGCGATATTTTAAATCCCGTGGTGATGTATTTTCAATGCACTTGTTTTTGTAGCTCTCTCACTTTTCTGAAGCATTTTTCATCAAGGAGTATCCATGGAATGAACTTCAAAATACACCACATTTCTTGTAAGTAGTTCATCTTTGTGGCACTCTTCAGACTTTAACTTAGCTAGCACAGTGAGCTTAATATCCCTCATTGCCATCTGTTTATATTGGATATTTCGGTCCCGTAAAATTATGAGTTTCCAAGGGAACCCTGGATCCGAGTAGACACGATTGCCCCTGTTTCCCGTTGAGAAATTTAGCCTAGTAAGAGTTGTACTGGTGTCGTTACGAGAGTGGGATTTGATTAGGGGCAATAGTTGGCTTTACACATTATCATCAATTCCCCTCAGGTATCAACAGCAGCAAAGCTTGGCTCAGAGTGTGAAGACTTCTCGTTATTACCAGAGTATTCCTCCAGTGCAAGTCGAGTGTCCCCTGTTAGATGGAGATACCTCTTCTACTCCAATTATATTCGAAGATAAGTTTAGTTTTTTGGAGCCCAGAGAACCAGGTATCTGCGCCTCGCTTCTAATGTAGACAATCATTAGTTCACTTCTTGGATGTTGAAGAATCTGCGTCAGAATAAATAAGGTTTAATTTTTTTAAGAACCTCATATCTTGACACAAAAGACATCAAACACTGCAATTAGGACAAGTTTCAATTTAGTGTCTAAAGTCATTCAGGATTGCATAGCGTTTGTGATTGATCCAGAAAACTCGCGCCACCTTCTCGACCAATCAGATAAAAAAGGACGACCAACCGTCAAGTCACTCACGTGCATTTGCTGGTTTTTACTCTGAATTCTCATTGGTTCGTTGTGATATTTCCTTTGCTGTGATTAGCCGTTCTGTTAACTTTTTTTTTGTTTCACGTCACTCAAACGAGAAGCGCTCTTTTGCAATAACAATTTTAAGAGCTAACGTCATAACATAACATGCCTAAATCTCTTCATGTATATTTTTTCAGATTTTCCCAGAAACCCAGAGATGAAAGAAATATTTTTTACAGTTGGTTTGGATGAGACTGATGATATCACGGATGAAAGTTTTCTGGTAATCAATGGTCAAGGTAATGTTTCCAGAGCCTTACCGAGGTTTTTTTTTTGTCTCCAGCCCGCTGAATATAACTCATTTTGTTTTGAAAGATGTGTCTGTCTGTCTTTCGCAATTCTGATCATAAACGAATGTCTAATTCTTGTTATTAGTTATTCGACTTTCGGTTCTTTTATATATCAGAGATCCTTCTAGTGAGGAACGATACAAGCTTCCAATAGTGCCTGAAAGTAACAAAAGTTATAATTTTTTTAGATTCTGATGAAGCCGAAAAGAACGGCGCAGCGTCGAAAACAGTTTCAGAAGAGAGCGTGCACCAACCAGAGATACAGCAAGGCGATCCTAGCAGTGCAACAGAGAAGGCACTTGACAAAGAAACGGATTTAACTGAAGGCATAGGCGAAGTAGATAGCACCGCTGCTCTGGATGATATTGACATTGCTTTAAATGGCGAGATTGACGATACACCTAACGGAAATTCTAATTTAGCCGAAGATTTGTCGTCGTTTTTAAGTAATTCGGAAAGCACTCAACCGCTCATAGCCGAAGATAGTAACATTTCTGATAATGAAACGCAGTCTGATGATAAAGATATTGAAGTTGAAAGAACTTGTGATGTAAAATCTTCTGAAGGTGATGAGGAACAAAAGGAATTGGCCTCTGATAATGAAGAGTCGGAATTTTTAGACGCTGCAGCAATAAATGGCATTGAAATGTCACCTAGTGCTACAACTGACGTTGAGAATTCTGATCCGTCAGATGACATCGATAGTCCTTCGGAAAACGCACCAGAAAAACAAACCGAAAAGGAAACCAAAGCGCACAGCGATGCCGAGTCAGCACTCGTAAGTAATGATACTGCCAAAGAATCTGTTGAAATCACAGACAGCTCGAATGAGGAAAATTCCGAAGATCCTGAGTTACAATTTATTGCTAATGGCTCCCAGGATGAGTTAGTCTCCTCGTCAACAACCGAAACTGCAGCAGACTCGAGTAATTACGAAACGCCGATGTCTTCCGAGGCGTCCACGAGTGCAACTTCGGGAAGCCAATCCAACGTCGTGACCGAACAACCGAACGTTAATGGGGTTTCGTCTCGTAACTCGGTGACTGTCACCGATAGCGCGCCAACCGCACCAACAAGGAAAAACAAAAAGAAAAGCGTCCCTAAAGGACTTTCTTCGAGCTCGTTGGGAGGTTGTTTTCCTTTGGCTTGCGCGGGAAACACATCGCCTGCATTTACTTTGTCACGAGGAGATTCTGTGTACGGAGGCAGCGTGAGGTCGAGGTCAGTTGAATATTCTTAAGTAACGGTAGGTTTACCCTTTACACCCAAACATCAGTATGGATATTCTCCATACTGTCCTTTTTACATTTTGAATGATGTTGAGAAGGAGAATTTGAAACCAATCAAGAACATCTTTATTGTTAATCATTTCCTTTATTCTCGCGACCCTTGTATGTGATTCTGGGGTGATATTCTAAGGAGAAATTAGATGTTAGTCATTTTGAGGGGTCAAAGAGTCAAGTCTGTACCCATCCATCTGGAGCTTGTACTTCTCCCCTCGCCCCTCCTGGATGGTAGGCTAGTCTTTCGCCAGGTTCCCCTCCCCCAGCATTTCATCAGATTTCCGAGATAATTGCCGCTTCGAAGTCCAAGAAGCACATTAAACCCCGCCCCCCAAAAAAGAAAAAACATGGTTGACCGTCATTTTTTATGCACTCTTCTTGTTAGGTTTGAAATAGCGAAAAGATCAGTGAAACGCAGTCTAAACTACGCCTGTCAAGTATACAGGTGAGATGGCAACTTTTTGAGTTTTGATATGAAGTGCCCTGGTTAATACACTTGTTGTTAAATAGCTCTCGTCAAGTAGAAGTGAAGAAACAAAGACGTCTATATTCGACTTTTTTTTCCAAAAACAACTTGCCATTCCAAGTGATCCGCTATGCAGCCAAGCTTGCTAAGAACCTGCCTTACTCCAAAGCACTTTTTATCTCGTCCCTGAAGGGATATGAAAAGCTTGGGAGCCAGTTAGAGAATGGAGACTCCAATTTAATTATTTAAAACAGAAATCAACATATTCATTCATCCACGAAAGATGTTTTGGTTACCAACTGAATTGGTAATGTGAATTAACCACCCTAGTCAGTTGCTAAAGCTGAAGGTTCCAGCCTCAGTCCTTTGTCATTCGCTTTTATACTCTTCCCCCGCCCCCTCCTCCGTACCCCCTCCCCCGTACCCCCTCCTCCGTACCCCCTCCCGTACCCCCTCCACCGACGCAGTAGAACAGTTTCTTTGGCAACTTACCCCTTTTATTTATATTTTCTTTCAGTTTGTTTATCTCTACAAAACTAAAAGCATTTATTTGTTTTTTCAGTGACCGCCAATTGGTAGGAATTCGTGAGCCATATTTTAGCGCTGAGGCGCCTGAAGGCATTGAGACGCATTTGATCGTTTGTGTACATGGATTGGACGGTAAGCTGCTCAGTCCCAAAAGTGATTAACATGTAACTTCTCCCCATTATATCAATTCAGTATCCAGCAAGCGGGTAGTGAGAATACTCAAACTTATCAGGTAGGAGTTGTTATCTTGATCTCACACCAAATTCTCGTAACTGATTTACAAGGAAATGTGTAGCAGCTAGTGGGGAGAATTAACAATCAGATCTTGGGAGTCAAAGGGTTGAGCACTTTGCAAACTTTGACACTACCGTTTTTTCTGTGATCAACTTAAAGTTTTACTGACTGCACTTCAATAAACTATACAGGGATCTTCTGGTTAAAAGTGTAGAATTGGCGACTTAAATTCAGCATTCCTATCTTTGTTCGTTTAATACACAATTGATAAGAATGCATCTTTTTTTCAGGTAACAGCGGGGATCTTCGCCTTGTACGTTGTTACTTGGAAATGGCCCTTCCTTCTACACGACTGGACTTTCTCATGTCGGAAATCAACCAGGTGAAAAGAGATACCGCCTTCTATCATCTTAAATGACACAGCTAATGATCTACTGGAAAGTTTTGTCTCAAATTTTCCTTGACTGATTCATTTTGCTGTGTGTGCTGTTGTTTTAAGTCATTTTAGAACCACGGCACCTATTATAAGGACTCATGTAAGCTCCTAACGAGGGAACCTCCTACTTGGTGCGGAACAAAAGTTATTTTTTGCGTTTTTCGCGAGAGGGAAGACAAGTGCGAGGCGAACGAGAACAGTGCGAGCAGAGCCACTCACGAATAGAGGAACGCGAAAAAAATTGTTTTGTTTCTGCGCCCCTTCCTCGTCCCGCGGGCTAGGTTTGGTTTATGACTCCTAAATCCTAAGAATAGACAAAACTTGTACTTACGAGCAATAATCCAACCTCGGTGTAATCCCCTGTTCTCCGCTTCGCAGCCTGACACTTTTGTGACGTTTGAAGAAATGACTGAGAAGCTGGTTCAAGAAATAACGCATCATATTGAGGCCTATAATCTCTTCCCCACGAAAATCAGGTTTGTCGGTGACTAGTTGTTGTTTTGTTAGGGTGGTCATGCGATTTTCCTTGTCTTTGTGGCCATGGAACTGAACATGACGTGACAACTCGTAATTATTTTTGTTGTAAAAGAACTTTGGAGCGTGGCCGCAGTGACTTGTGACAAGGTAAATGATGAGGCCATGATGTCTAAATCTGAGAAGGTTGTTTTGATCGCAGGAATGGGAGTTGTATTATGCGCTTAAAACTGACCTAACTACATCGGCTACCAAACATACCTGCCGTTTGATTTTTTCCAAAATATTATTATGATACTCAATATTATTGTGACACTTAAAACTTCAGTGATGCAAAAGCTCTCTAGAACGTTTACCTCTGACTTAAAATCTGAATGACCCATTTCGCAGGGCGTCCGGTTTTCAAAATCTTGTTTTCGCCTACCCTTTTAATTGTTTGTTTTTAGTAATCGAATAAGTGTTTTAACACTCTCTATTTTGTTCATGTCTCTACAGTTTTGTAGGTCATTCTTTAGGGAACATTATCATCCGGTCCGCTCTCGGCCACCCTGAATTGAGGCCCTTCCTGGACAAGATCCACACGTTTTTGTCCCTTTCGGGTCCTCATTTGGGAATGCTATACCCAACAAGTTCTCTTGTCAGCACTGGTAAGCCTGATTCAGTTTTGGTTCACGCGAGACTGCCTCGCGTAGTTGCAGGAGTTTATATCGTTTTCTGTGACATTATGCATTTTTGTGCCCTTCTAGGTCTTTGTCTGTTTTTCCTTTGCTCGTACTTGCGAAAATAGTGAAGTATATTATTCGTTTTCTTTTTGTTTTAGGCTTGTGGTTCATGCAAAAGTGGAAGAAGTCCGATTCGTTGTTACAGTTGTCATTACACGATCATGCTGACCCACGACAAACGTTTATTTATCGACTCAGTCAATCAGAAGGTAATAATTACCTGACGTAGTTGTCTTGTCCTTGTAATCGTCCCATGTCCTTTTCCCGTCGACCTTTGCCTTTCGACCTAGCACTTTTCCCGTTTTTCTGTCGATTTTTTTTTTTATGTTTTTCTTCCCAGAGTTCTGTGCGCCTTTTCCCTGTAAGCGAGGCCAGGTATACAAACAAGTGGCAGGAGTCTGACCTCAAAAGTTGCGGACATTAATGCGTCGAAAATCGTCTTCTGTAAGATGCCATGGCCGCAACAAATTGCGTTAAGAGTTTTCTCGTGTAACGTGAATTAAGGGACGGTGTTAAAAATCGGCGTTAAAAATCGTCTCGTCGCCTAAACCCCTTCAGTTTTAAACTTAAAAATTTAAAAAGTAACCAAACTGTTCAATTTTTTAAAACTCAAGGTTTCCCATCTTCTTTAGGCCTTCGGTACTTCAAAAATATTCTTCTGGTTAGCTCGGTACAAGACCATTATGTTCCATATCACTCGGCCAGGATAGAGAGTTGTCGAGGAGCCATGAGAGATAACTCGGATGTCGGTAAGTATTGGGCGGAGAATTGTTCGTTGTATTTTAGACCACCTTTGCTAATGTGGTTGTTGGTAATGCTTGATTTTGTGCAGGCGTTGCGCTACAAGGCCCCAGTGCAATGTACTTTGCATACGGCATTTTGCAGAGAGTTGTTCTAAACAGATCTTCTTACTGATACAGTGGCCATTTTGAAGAGTGGGAAATTTCATTTTCAACGCTGTTTTTTGTAACCAATCAGATCCCAAAACAAGACTTGAGGATGGCTCGGTTCCAAACGTTTTTCCGCGCTTTCTTGGGCGTGCGTTGTGATGGGTTTATGAAAACTTGCGTCTTCTCAGTAACCAATCAGATGGAGACCCAAAACCAAGCTCGTTCTGATCACGTGTTTCCCCGAGTTTGGAATTGATTACGTGTTTTTTCTTTAAAGTTGGTTTTGGTTCATCATGATTCCCTCCGTTTTTTCAAATAATCAATTCATCTTGATAGCGGCTTGTAATGCAAACCAATTGCTTTTATTTATTTATTTATTTATTTATGTATTAATTTCCAGCTGTGGCCTACAGAGAGATGATAGACAATCTTCTGAAACCACTGGAAGGAAGGAAAGATATGAACCTTATCCGTTACAGTGTTTATCACAATCTTCCAAGTTCAGCGAATTCGTTTATTGGCCGAGCTGCTCACATAGCGATGCTCGATTCTGAACTTTTTATCGAGAAGTTGCTGTTAGTTTCTGCGTTAGATTACTTTAGATAGGTAAACGTTTGAATAGTGCTAGAAATGCAGTCTCGCGCAAGTAATCCTGTCCTGAGAAAATGTTATGAAGTCTTTTTTTATGACAACTAGTGATGTAAGCCTTGTGAGCCAAAGTTGTAAGACGTTCGTGTTATGCCGAAAACTTTCGGTACATTTTCGGCAACCTTTCGAAACGCGCACGAAAAGTTTACGACGGTAATCACTGAACCCGGAAGAATGATAAGAAATTCACGAAGTTGCCATCGGCAACAGCAATTGTACTTGCGCTCAACTTGTTTTACGGTACCATGGGAATTGGTGTTGCCTTGAGGAGAGGAAAAAACGAAATTGATGGCAAAATATTTAGACGAGAATGGTTAGTTAATTCTGACATTTAAGTCTTTTTGGATGCATTTAGGGTGTTTTGATGCTAGATAAGTTGAATTATGATATAGTATAGGTTCAATTTAATTTGATTAATGTGTAATCGGTAGTAATAGCGTATCTACTCGTATTAGAATTTTGTATGGCTATCAGCGAGAGAATTCAGGAAAATCCTTTGTACCTTTTGTTTGAGTTCCAAGTTTCTGATTATGTGGTCTTCGGTCTTCTCCAGAGAGAGATCTATTTGAAAGTAATTATTGAAAATTGGCATTTTCTTCCCATCTTTTGAGCACATGAATCTAGCTTTTTTTCTCCATTAGAAATCTCTTCCTCGGTGTTTTTCCTCTCTGCACGCCTCGTGCAGATTATTTACTGATTTGTTTATTTGTTTTTTTCTTCCTCTTTCTGATGAGGTGATGTTAGCAATCAGAAAGCACTTAAAATGGGATTTGTATGGTTTAATCGGGTTAGGGTACTTTTTGAAGTGAATTTTTGTATTTACACTCTATTTCATAAAGCATACCGTGAAAGGAACTCAAATATCGTAATAATTTCGTTTTGGAACAAGTTCGATGAAAGCGTTATTTGACAAGACTACTACGGCCCGTAAATAATTTTAGTTAAGACACATCATCTACAACGGAATGAAAGACTCGCTTTTTAACTCTCGGTTGCAATATTTATTAATAAATAGACAACGGACGACGCAAAATAATATAGAGTTGTCAACAAGGAATTGTAATAGATTGTATCTTTTTATTATCGATTATTTCATAAATGAATAGAACTGGTGGGTTTGCTGTAATGTGAATACCTATTACTTCATTTTGGAAAATAAAATATTCCAGGTAAATATTTCAGATTCGCTGCTCTGTGTTTTAGATAATTCCCCCACTCCCCTTCATATGATAACGGGTATACAACTATATTTTGATCTATTAATTAGTTTTTGTGATATTAGAAAATGCGCAAAACATCTTACCTCACGATAACTGTCGATAGCTGGACGAGGACTCGGGAGATGATGACGTCACTCTTAATACGCGGTAGCGAATGTTGCAATTCTTCTCGGTCTATTTAGGATTAATCTTTCTTTGATCGCATTGGGATACAAGAGTTCAAATTGCTCGAATATTGCTTGGATATTGTCCCCGGATATTCCCTAGATTTAGTAAAGCCAATGGCACACGAGCAGAAAGATGTGATAGATCCAACTTTCAGTGGAGGTGGGGGCATATTCAGTTGCCTTATGCGTGCATGCGAAGATTTGTTGCGAATTATCCCCCGCCTTTTATACTGAAAAAAAAAACATTTTAATTTTGATAATCCTGTTACTAAACATTTTGATTTCACGTCATCGATGAAGTCTCTTGGTAATTCATTTGCTCATTTGAGAGATTGCCGTTCTCCTTTTGTGTAGGCCACAAACGCTTTCAAGTTTTTTTTTTTACGTTCACTCTTTTCATCAAAATACCTCTAGGACTTGTCTTAATCTCTCCAAATTCGTGGTGCTACGCTTGCGCAAGCAGTTAAGATCTTCACGTCACGAGAATATCAAATGAAGTTTCTGGCCGTCGACACCTCGGCAGTAAATTCGTATGGCTAACTTTACACATATAAGTTTGTTTGTTTGTTTGTTTGTTTGCTTGTTTTTCCTTCTCAAGTTTCTTCTGTTTTCCCTTAGGTTTTTTTAAATAAGCAAGTCAGTTAACAAGCAAGTAATATTTACATACTTAGCTAAGATAAATTGAACAGTCTGAGTAGTAGCCATTAAGTCATCATGTTCTATTTCCATGCAGTGGACGTTTTTAATTCTTTCCGCTCGTCAATTAATAAGATCACCAGCAGCGAAAAAGGTCGGAATAGTACAATTTGGCAGATGGCGTGACAGCTTTAGTACGTTCTTTCAACCAATGACAGCACGCTTTATATCCGAACTTTATCATAAATTTTCGAAAAACAGTATCCGTTTCAGTCCCACTCGCTAAACTTGATTTACACAGAGCAGACCGAATTTCCTCAATTATTTTATGGTAACCATTGCTGTAGTGAAGCTGTTTTACTTTTGACAAGTTTTTTCATACAAAGATTTGTATTTTGACCGCGTTGTCTGATCGTACAGGTGAAGGACTGTTGTCGATAATGGTGAGTGACGTTTCAACCACCTTGGCGCCGGAAGTCATTACCAAAGTCGAGCAGATTCATTATTCCCAATATAATATCCATGCTTACTCCTCGAATTAGCTATTTCTACCGAAACTAATGTTCTAGTAACAATGTTTTGGACTTTAAGATATGTAATTTTTCCGAATGCCTAAAATGTCGGAAATATATCACTAAGGTACAAAATATTCTCGCGGGGGTGGTACTGAGAAGAAACTGCTGAACTAGCACGTGATTCATAGAGGCCAATCAAATTAGCAGAAAAGAGGCGGTCGAACTAAGTCGTGTGTCGCATGTGGTGTGGGAAATCCGTGATATAGTTTTATTACATTACAACAAAGTTTTTCGTGTGTTTTGTACTATTTTCAAGTATATATAGGGAGGAAAGTATCTGTGACAATGGGAGACCAGCGTGGCGCTGGTAACTCTCGCTCGTACAAGATCCGAGGGTATACGAGAGAGAGACATTCAGCGAAACCGTATGCTCGTCCGTATGAACGTAAGAAGGTGCGTGAGTGACACAACGTTCAGTGCTGATTTTTTAGATTTCCTCCTCTTTAAAACTGATCGTTTCTATTTATTAGGAACGTACTTTAAGTTTTATGCCCGTAGAGAGCACATACTGTTCCGTGGGAAAGTATTAAAAAGTTAAACATCGCTCTTTATGTATTGCATTGCAGGGAGTTCTAGAGACGGTGAAAGATTTCTTCTCTCCATCATGGCTTGTAGATTTATTTAAAGGAAACCAGAGATCAGAAACTATCGAAATAGAAGATGAAGACGATGAAGAAGAACACGACGAGGTTTCACAGGGAATTGACCAAACTTTCAATCCGGGTTTTAACGAGCGAGCGTCGTCTTCTCGACCCGAAGAAACTTTAACAGCCGGTAAGATAGGCAATGGGCAGTTAAAATCCTCGTTCGGGCCGGGATATTTCTCATCTATTTTACGAGAGCCTGAGCTTTCTGTCGAAACACCTTCCACCTCGAGACCTGCAAGAACGTTTGGTTTATTCACTGGGGATGATCGTGTGGGTGAACCTTCGATTAGTTCGGGAAGAACGGAGGAATGCGATAACGAACTTGAAGTTCCAAGTTCAAGTAACGAGAAAGTTGTAAGGCCGTCAAAAACGGGCGAGGTAAGTTAACCTTAAATGTTGCACTCGTTCTTTGATAAACTAAGGTAAATGACAAGTATTTTGAATGAGTTACCAATTTATCTTTCGACAGGTTTTGCATGATTTCCCGTAAACTTGCCATAAAAATTTCCATGGCAAAGCTTAGGACAAGCTTAATACAGAATTAACTAAATGAGAGTGGTTTTATAATCATTTAGTTAATTACGAGACACTTCTTTCCTCGTTGCCCTGTAGGCTTCATTAGTGAGCGTACTACTTCCGAATGATATGGTTGTTTATGCTCACACATTCTTAATTCGATTGATTGCAAACTCAATTTCGTAATGTTGCATTTAACACTTCCACTCCAATAATCATATACATGTTCTTTCTGTTGGAGTATTTACTTTTCTTACAGTGTAACCTTGCTTTGTCCAACTCTCTCTGTTAATTCAATGTTTTTGTTGTGAAATTAAACAAGTAAGATGTAAAGGTATGCATGTCAGAATAGTTTTTAAACAAAACTACTGGATACCATCTCCTCTGATACATCTTACAATATGGCTATTATACAGAGATCAACTGCTGGAAATGTCAGTTTTCTACAACTTTACTCGATGATTGAAATGCAGATCAGTCAAGTTGATATGTCTGTGTTTAGCACAATGTAAGGATTTCCTCACTGGAAAACTGTATACTGTATCAATTAATTGAATGACAGAGAAGGTAAATTTGATTGTAGTTTAGTTTTAAACAGCAGTTGTTGTGCTCATAAAGAGAAATTTTCACGCAAGGCTAAAAAAGAAAGTTGAATCACAGATGCTTGTGCATATTACTGAACTCAATTAAAATCAATTAATTGATTCTAGTCTGATTGAGTTATATGACCAAGCAGCTAAATTTGATTTTACTTGAAACACAGTTCCAAGAGTCTGGGGACTTATTTTTGTTAATAAGAGAAGGGTTTATTCTTGAGCTTGGCCTTGCAGGATCTCTGCAGTTTCAAAAGGAAAAAAAATAAAAATAATGATACAACGTAGGTCTAAGTGTCAAATGGAGAGAAAAAAATGTGCCTATAACCATATCCTAAAGTACTAATTTATTTTTGAAGTGAATTATTTGAACACTTAACTGAAAGCAAGATGGAGGATATGATAGCTGTTGTATAAAACCAAATTTAAACCTAATACTTTTTTTTTCCTGTCTCAATGGCCTCTCTCTTCTTTTGTTTTCTCACTGATAGGACAAAACTATGTTCAAATATTTTCTTTGCCTTTAATTTCTGGGTGAAGGGCTCCCTGTAATTATAGAAGCAGGAATAAACCCTGATAAAAGCCTGCCATACAATGTGGCTGTCTCAATTTCAAAGATGTCAGTTTTGAACAACTACCTACCTTACTTTGATGGGTCTGTTCATTCTATAGACTTTCAGGAGTACATAACTGCTTGTTGTTATTTTGAAACACTACCCCTTTGTTAGGTGATAAAGTAATTAAAATTTTAACTAAGGGATATTCTCTTGGTAGTGAAAGAGTAGGATCAATATACTGAAGTTCTGTTCTAACAATGATCTTTTGACTTCAGTTCTGCTTTTAGAGTGATCAGTTTCTTTCCCTTGTTTTCAGGGTTCCAAGCCAAACATTTTTTATTGATTTGCTATTTGGCAACTTAACATTGTAAAATTATCTCCAGAGATAAAGTTCTGACTCAAAACCCCCTAGAAAAACTACAAAAGACACTTTGAGCAGCTTACATGAACCACTAAGTTGCTGACCTTGGTGCCTGTGTTTCCATCAAGCATTATGGTGGACATTGGTTTTTGAAGGTTCATGTATCATATCAGGAATCATATGTGGGCACATCAGGAAGAGAAATTTTTACAGAAGAAAAATGATAAAGCCTGTGTGGTAAATTATGAAACTGCATTGCTCACTTAGATTTCACACCTTAAAGATGAAGATGTTAAATTGTTACAAATTATTGCTTGACTGCTGGACACAGGTTGCCAAATTGGTCGCTTACATAGCCAATTTACCTGCCAAAATCTTTTGTTACTATGGTGACCATAATGGTTGCAGCTTAGAGTGCTGTCATTATTTTTTTAAAACAAACTTGTCAATGGAAATCTAAAGGGTTTACTTGATTTGGTTGCACAATGTTTTAAAACCTGGCTTATTGTTCTGAGGGAAATTTATTTAAATGGAGAACAACACATCTGATTGTGCCTGGTAAATTTTAAAATATCTTTCTTGGTGGCTTATCAATATTCTCTGCAGCATCAAGTCTGAAGTTCTGTTGTGAGTTCCATGAAGTCTACACACAAACCTTTTTTTTGCAGTTACCGATGCCATAAACTACAATTTTACATGATAAAACATCTTACTGCATCAAGTTACATGTTATTTCAGCCAGTTTTTATAGTTTCACCCATGTTTGATCATTACCTTTGTGCCCTTCCTAAATCCAAAACAGTGTTTTCTGCAGAGCTAAATTATATTTATCCCCACAGGAAGAAGATATCACCATTATTCATCCAGAAGCACAGGAGATGAGCAAATCAGACTCAATTAAAACATCCACGCCTGCCTTGTTTTCAACTCCTGGTCTCAAGAAAAGGCCAAACACAACAATATTTGGTGAACCTTTGCCAGAAGCTTCAACATCCCAGGGATCAAATCCTTCCAGGCCACAGTTGTTTCCTTCATTGTCTGAGTCCCGTCCACAGCCTTTCTCATTATCCAAAAACAGACCAACTTTCTCTCTGTCTGCCTTTGGTTCTCCTTTGCCAGTAAGTAGTGTTCCTTTGATGGAATTTGTATGGCAGCATTTGCTGTTGTGAGCTCAGATAGTTTAAATTGCAGCCAGAAAAACTGCTGACTTGAGAAACAATACTCTTCTTACTAGCAGAGAAATAATCCTGACAAGTGAACAACAATTCAAGAAATTGAAAAAAATGATAAGCCTGCTAAAAGCCAGGCTTTGGTGGAATTCCAGCAACTTCATTAACTGCAGCGCTGTTGAGGGTATAAACTTTTTACCTATATTCTCCAAAACCCAAAATATTAGTTGTTTTATTTGTGTATATTTCCATGTTTATAGCCAGTCTGTGTGCTGAATACTTCCTTGATTTATGAAAACTGGAAATGCCATTAATTTGAGAACTGTGGGTAGAAGGGGAGAGGCTTTTTGTGGTTGTGGCAGTGCCATGAAATGAGGCACTAGAAACAGAGAGGTTGCAAATATTATAGACTGCCTTAAATCCCATAACAAGCCATTATCTTTTTTAATGTAGCTTATTTGTGATAACAAAGACCATGTTTATATTTGACTTGAGCTTTGTTTATATGTTGATTTTTAGTATTTCTTTTGGTTAACCCTTTAACTCCCACAAGTGACCAAGACAGAATTTCTCCTTACAATATCTATACAATATCAAGCAGACAGGTGATGAGAATAGAGAAAAATATCAATTAGGGGATTATAAGTTGATCCAATACCAAATTCTCAAAACTAACATCACAAGAACTGTATGGCAGACAGTAAGGAGAATTACTAGTGAGATCTTGGGAGTAAAAGGGTTGATTGTACACTGCAATTGGATTATGGATTTTGAAGCTACATGTTTTATAAGATATTTAATTATTGTTGATGTTGTGTTGTAAAGTTGGATTAGCTTTCACGGCATTGCAGGGATGAGATGCATAAAAAGCCTGTAGTGTGCTGTGTTCTTTTATTTTCTGTCTGTGAATGGTATTCTTATCAGATGGCTCCTCATAGAAAACAAATACAAGGTCTTACAAGATCTGTCTTCTCCTTTCAGCCCAAGCCATCAGAAGCTGGTGGTTTTTCCTCTCCATTTTATCATGGAAGAACATCTTTTGGGGGAGCTTCCTCTCTACAGTCTTCAGGTTATAAAAGACAGAGGATGAATTCCCCAACTTTTGGAGAGGTATTGTGACTATATTACTCTCCAGACACTTGATGTTGCAGTTTTGTCAGCTAAATATGTAAAGGCATCTAAACACAGTCATGCTCGTAAGTCTTGTTTATATTTTAGCTGCAAACCAAAACCTTACTTTGGTGTACTTTCTGTTAGGCTCCAAAACCAGTAAGGAAAGTGATAACACCCAAGCCTGTTTCAAGTAAGTTTGATTTGTACTCAGAAGTTATCTTAACTTTTTTTGTAGAGTTAGAGGTGGAAAACATTCTTGAGAACCTACATTTAATTGGTGTCCTTTTTTTTTGGTCTCACTTTATAGCATCTGGAAGAAGTGGTGTGACTAGTCAGACAGCAAAGAGAATACTTGACGCTTTAGAAAATATGTCCTCACCCTTAATTGTGAGTATTTCTTGTCAATAATACTCCAGTTGTACTGCAATAACTTGATCAGAGGTTTGGCCATTTCAGGGCGTGAAATTGCGCCTAATACAGGCACCAATGCGCCTAAATTTTTCACTTTGGCGACCAAATCCTGAAAGTTAGTGGCGACTAGAACGTTTCATCATAACCTTACTAAGAGATATAGTGAATTAAAAAGATAAATCAAAAGATTTGCAAAGATAAATCCGCGGCAAACTTTCACTTTAAGTTTGTTTCCAAAACATAGCACATGCATCTCAATCGATAACTAGACGCCATCTTGGATTTAGATGAGCCTGAACGTTGTATATCATCCATCCTAGTGTCCACTTTGTAGCACATTACTGATCTTTTCCCTAACTTAATTTTGGAGGGTCTATCTAGAACGCTGACAGCATAAAGAAAGATTTTGTTTGTCTTTGAAAATGGTGACCAACTTTTTTTGAATTGGCTACCACTTTGAAGAATTTAGGAGCCAAGTGGCTATCAGAAAAAAAAGTTAATTTCACGCCCTGCATTTATTGTGGCTTTACCCTTAACCCTCAAGATCTGATGGGTAATTCTCCCCTCTGGCTGCTGCTCATTTCCTTGTGAATATGTTATGAGAATTTGATGTTAGAGCAAGAGAACAACTTCCACCTGATAAGTTTGAGTATTCTCATTACCTGTTTGCCAGATAATGTATGGATATTAAAGGGAGAAGTTACTTGCTAATCACCTCTTGTATTACAGGATGCCAGAAGAATACCAACACCTCCCGAATCCACTTCAGCTTCACCCCTGTCTTTTTCAGTGAGTATGACAAAGCAAATGAGCTGTTTATTTGTGCAATATTATTTTGCAGTTGATCTGACACTTACAACAACTTTTTATTTTTATAGCCTGCGAAAAGGAGAAGAGCTCCAATTCCTTCTCGAGCTGTAGGTTCTCCACGTTCTCTGAAGGTTAGTTAAAGTTATTCCTTTTTACTATCTTACTAAAATACCAGACTCTAACTTCAATTTTGATAAGCGACCACTCTGCCTGTCATCAAAACTATGGATCTACAACTAGTGCATTTGCTATTGGAGGTTCATGAGACTCAGTAAGGCTTGAGTCCTAAAAATTGGGGTGAAAGAAGCAAATTGTAAAAAGATAATAGATACAGTGGAACCCCACTAACTTGAACTCAGTTAACTCAAACCCCACTGTAACTCGAACAAGATCTGATTTCCCTTGACCATTTTTTTCTGTCATTTCTTATCAGCTAAGCCCTGTTAACTTTTTGTTTCCCTTGGGAGATTGAGTTAGCAAGGTTCTACTGTAGCTCATTTTCAAATTGATATGGCCACCAAAAAAAATGAAAGCTTTCAACTCTGAAATGATATATTTATGTCCTTTCTTCTCGCAAACATTTGTCTCAAAAGCACCTCTTGAATAATTATCTTACAGGCCCATTTTCCTGGTCCTCCAGTGCAAGATCTCTCTGCGCCTCAACAAGTATCAATTTCTCGCTTGAGGGCAAAGGAAACCTCAACCCCAGCAAGCACAGCAACTTCATCAGATTCACAGTGAGTACTTGTACAACAATTAGTAATCAAGTTGAAGAGGGAGTTTCCAGTATCATGTGGCCTTGACAGTACATTTTCCTCTTGCAGATTTTCCACAGCATCAACCACTATCCCAACATTTTCCAAGGTAAGGGATGCTCATATAGTATCAGTTTTGCTTTGTTCTTGACCCCAAATTTCTCCTTACAATATCACCCTTCAATCATTAAGGCCAGGAGAATATGGGAAATAATCACCAACTAAAGCAGCTCTTGATTGTTAAACAAATTCTCCCTGTCAACAACTTGGAAACATATAGAGAACAGTATGGAGAATATGCTTACTGATGTTAGGGTATAAAGGGTTAATGATCTAATTTTCCTTCCTTAAAACCTAAATAATAGCAAACGCTGTTAACTTGTAATGATCAGATAATTAGTAAATCAATAAGCAACAGTTTTTAATTTTCCTTGTTTTAGTTTGTTTGAGTGTCACTTCCACGTCACAGTTAATAGTGCAAAGTAGTTTTATCTACTTCGTAAAGTTATTTATTTATTTGATTTATGCCTTTCAGCCATCTTTGGTGTCCTCCTTCACTCCAACACCTTTACCAATTTCGCTATCGCCATCATCCTCCAAGGGCGGGGGGAAAGTGAAGAGCTCAAGAAGTACAAGTCATTACACACAAAGAGATAGAGGTGACGAGGAGAGGAGTGAAAACCAAGTAATGTATTCTTTAACACCATAAACATTTTATTTGTGGTTGTAGGATTTAAACCTAGAAGCTTTTTTGCATTGTTCAGATGTACAAGAACTGGGTGTGGTATTTATTTTATGGAAGTGATGATTTTTTTAAATTTTGCTTCCATCTGCAGCTTGAAAATTGTTTAAATATAGTATGGTGTCTTCTGACCTGTCTGTGTCATTGTGTTAGAATATTGAAGGATACTGAGTGTATTCAATGAGCAACTGTTTCTTTCTTATAAATAGCTGATCATTGTATCCTCCTTTGTTTTGCAGGTTGTGAATCCAATACCAGAGGTTGAGAATCCTGTCCCACTGAAGTTACCTAATGGAAAATCCCTCCCATCCTTTTCTTTCAAGTCGATTCCTCAAACTGCAACAAAACCTGCAGCTACGGTACTAGTTCTTTAAGTGCTAGTTTGTGTAACTTAATTCTTAAATTTATCTGACATTTGAAGATGGTAATCGTTGCCTTCTTTTTCAGAGCACCCCAATAGCCTCTAATGCATCAACTCTGGACTTTGCTAAAAATAACTTCAAGTTCTCATCCCCTGAAGCAAAATTGCCAGTGTTTTCCAAAACATCAACAGCAGAAAATCAGAGCAGTTCTAACAAAGTGAGTAAGAATGAGACTTGTTGCTTCAGTGGCAATTAGAAAACATTTTGATGGGTAGAAATATTAATAGCAGAGCTCACAGAGCGTAGCCCCATAATTATACAAAATAGTAGTAACCCATCAAGCTGAAAAAATTTAGATGTACGACCGTACAATTGTATAAGGTGTTACTTTTGACATGTGTGGTCAACTGTACCGCAGGCATGCCAATGCTAGTGGTCAGTGCACTGGGCTCCGAGTCAGACAACCCGGGTTCTAGTCCTGGCCGAGACAAGTTGTGTGGGGAAAAAAAAAATTAAAGCTCCACTTTTAGGCTTGGCTAAATGTATGTATTATTTTGATTTCATCAGCAAAGAAGAATGAGAAGGTATTGAACAAATCAAAATTTCCCAATTTTTTTTTGTTTCTTTTAGATTACATTTTCCTTTAGTGAGCCTGTTCCTGTTAGTAAAAGGTAAGCTTTAAGAGTTAAAACATACAGTCATTGTTCTATCCTTGATAGATTTCACAATTCTCATCACTTGCCTGCTTGATGTTGTTTCAAAATTGTAAGGAGAAATTCATTCTTGGTTGCTCATGGGAGTTAAAGGGTTAAGCCGTCACCCTCAGGGAATGGTGGAGTGATCACTTAATATTGGTTCTGTGATGAAAAAGACAATTTTATGCTATAATTGATCATGTAGTGTACAAAAACTTGCTGAAAAATACCACTAGCATTGATTTCTGGGGGATAAACTTAGATCAAATATACTGGAAGGCTTGTTCTTAGTTTTGTTTGAGTGGTTCTTCTTTAAGTGACTGTTCGATACTGGTGGGAGACAATAGAAACAGGCTGTTGGGACTCAGTAAAAGGCAACCTGGACCTCTTAACCCTTTACACTCTAACATCAGTATGCATATTCTCCCTACTGTTTTCTATACATTTCCAAAGAGGCTGACAAGGAGAATTTGTTTAACAATTAAGAGCTGCTTTAGTTGGGGATCATCTTCTTTATTCTTGTGACTCTCATGTTTGATACAGGGGTGATATGGTAAGGAGAAATTAGATGCTGGTCACTCCCAGGGGCTAATGGGTTAATAGGGGTGGAAATTTTAGTGTTTAAGGGGATGGAATTTCAGGACTTTGGCAACTGACTGTTTAATACAGGGTGATGGTTTTTTCGGGTGCTACTTAAGACAGGTTTGACTGTATCTGTGATTGGCAGGATAATGTGTTTAAAATATAATTGTCACCTTGACATGAAAGCATCAGCAGCAGCACAAGAATGACAATGCTAATCAATGTGTGGTTTACACACTTGTATATTCTATTCAAAGTGTAAATAACATTCCTAATGCTGATTGTCCTGTTGCTTTGCAGTAATACAAACAATGAAAGTAAACTTGTCAAAGACAAACCGGAAATAAATAGACTTTCAGAGGTACTATATAAGTAGATGCTGTGACTTTTGTTACTAGAATTTTATATGTAATATGGTAAAATTTAATTGAACCTAAGAAAGGTTGATGTAAACAGTTCCAAACACTTTTTTCCTCCAATTAGGTCATTTTAGCAAATTTATGACCATTTTCTGCACACATCCACTTACCCGAGCACAATATTTCTTTTCCTCTCTATAGCCAGTTAGATTTTATCCTCTTAAAATTAGGAGGTACCTTTTGGGAGTGCTTAACAAGTATTTAAGCCTTTTGACAGCAATGCCTCAGAAGTGATTTGCTTGAATGCAACAGAGAAAGGTTACATGGCCTCAACTTTCCCAAAAGTAACTGTAACATAAGCTTGTTTATTGGGGAAACAAATTTGTTCAGACTTGTTTCTAAAATTTGAGCCATGAGAGGACGATAGGTTCTTTGGGAAATGGCTCCTGTTTACGTGTTAAGGATTTAGGTGCATTGATAGTAATGTGCACCCAAGAATTTTAGGAAGTAGAAAAATGTTTCCTGAGATTGATGTAATTTTTTTCTCTTATTTTCCACCAGGTTAAACAAACAGTGAAGCCTGTTGAACCCAATAATAATCTTCTTTGTAAATTCACACCCTTGTCTGGTTCCTGGACATGCGATACTTGTTTAGTGTCAAATAAAGCAACAGATATGAAGTGCATAGCTTGTCAAAGTTCTAAGCCATCAAATGGAGAGTCAGCTCCCAGGAAACCAGCCCCTTCCAGCAATGACTTGATGGCAAAGTTTGCCGCAAAACAAGGGTCTTGGTCCTGTGAAACACGTATGGTTGACAATGACGCAAGTAAAACAAAATATGTTGCTTGTGAGACACCGAAAACTGGTGCTAAACCACCTGTGTTATCATCAAAACCTACTATCATTATTGACAATGACTTGATGGAGAAGTTTGCTTCGCCACCTGATTCTTGGGAATGTGACACTTGCATGGTTCAAAACAAATCAACAGACAACACTTGTAGTGCCTGCCAAACACCAAATCCTGGTGCTACCAAGAGTGCAATAGCAACAGCAACAACTACAACAGCACCTTTAAGTGGTATTTCATCAAGTATTAAACCAGACAGTAGTTTAGCAGCAAAATTTGCTCCTCAAGCTGGCTCTTGGACGTGTGACACTTGCATGGTTGATAATAAAAGTGAAGATTCAAATTGTGTGGCTTGTCAAACACTGAGGCCTGGGGCTAAACCAGGAGCAAGTACAGGAAGTGGATTCAATGTAGGCGGTGGGCAGACCTTTTCTTCCTCACCCTTTAAATTTGGAATGGGAAATTCAGCAGCTGCAAGTTCTAGCTCAGTATCAGCATTTAAATTAGGGTCCAGTAGCTCTGTAGATTCTAAAACAAATGGACAATCTAGCCCTTCAGTTTCAATTACTTTTGGAGATAATGCAGATCAAAATCGCAAAAATGACACCAAGTCAGAAGGCACCACTCAACGACCTACATTTGTGTTCGGTTCTTCGACAATTCTGTCCAATTTCTCAAGTGAAACAAAGACAGGTGCTCCAACTTTCACTTTTGGCGCTCCAGTTAATAATCAATCGGGCAAAGATGACAGCAGTAAGCCATCATTTAGTTTTGGAGGGAACAGTTCTGTTGACAAGGACAAAGCCACCTCTAGAGGAGAGTATACATTTGGTACTAAAAAAGTTACCCTTGATGCCTCTAACAAAGGTAATCATGATTCTTGTTGTTGTTGTTGATTTTAATATGAAACCCAACTTGGTTGTATTTCTTGAAATTCTTAGTTTAAGAAAAGTTTGCAATTAAGGGAAGATCTAAGATTTGCCTTTTTCTGATGTTACAGGCAGAAGCAACTACTGGAAATTAAGTACTTAAAGGCCCATTTCCAACCATGATGCAACGCGGTCGTTTGTTTGTTTGTTTGTTTGTTTGAACCACCGCTTTTGTTTAAGTGGCGCCTCTGATTGGTCAGTTATTTTTACCTCGTCACGTTGTCTTAATTTCTTCACACTTAACACTTTTATATTTCATTTTCTTACATATTACAAGATATTCCTTTCACCCGCCTCGATTAGCATTTGCTATCTGTGGGTCAAGTGAAGTGACTAAACGTCCGGCAGTCGGACAGTCTTAAAATAATTAAACGTCCGGCAGTCCGATATTTTCCATATTTCTCTTCGAAATCCAAAAAATATTTATACGAAAACGTCTTAAAATAATTAAACGTCCGGCAGTCCTATATTTTTCCATATTTCTCTTCGAAATCCAAAAAATATTTATACGAAAACGTTCTACCTTTGTTTACAATCCTCAAACGCTTCCATGGAGGCCTAAAATTTCGAACTTGATGTTTCTCGCTAACCTTGTATACAGAGTACGAAGCCATCCAAGTGCTTCACACTTTGGAATTTTTAAATGACACGGCTGGACACGGTCCTCAAATAACTCCATATTTCTCTTTGAAATATACCAAATTTTCCTTGGAAAATATTCTACCTTTATTTATAATCCTCAAGCGCTTCTAGAAAGTGAAAAAATTTGAACGTCCGTTTCGCCGACCCTGTACACAGAGTACGAAGAGATCCAAGCGTGACTCTTGAAAAAATTCTACCGGACAAAACTTAAAATACTGTAAGGAAACTGTAAAATGACGAACGGCGAACTAAACGTCCGGCAGTCTGATATTTTTTCATACTTATCTTTGAAAAATACCAATTTCAATTGGGAAATATTTTACCTTTCTTTAGAACCGTCAAGCGCTTCTAGAAAGTGAAAAAATCGGAATGCTGTCCTTTTCGCCGACTTTGTTCGCAGAGTACGAAGAGATCCAAGCGTGACACTTAAAAAAATTCTACCGGACAAAATTAAAAATACTGTAAGGAAACTGTAAAACTGTAAAATGACGAACGGCGAATGTATTTACTGTAAAACAGTTGACTATATGTCCAGGATGGCTCTTGAGAAAGACGATTTTAGAAGGTTTTTAGTAATCTGGGAATTTCGTGTTACAGGAAATTAGGTCGAGGCGCGCGTTGCATCAAGGGTGAAAATGGGCCTTTTGAATATTCCTACATGTATAGGCAGTGGGCTTTGGTTGTAGTGGTCCAGAGTTTGTTAAATGCATATGCTGTTTCACTGGCAGCTCTAGAGGTGTATTAGAAGTTACTGTGTAAGGGACGGTTGTGAACCTCTCGTGTGTTGGATTTTGTTTAAGGTAAATCAAGTTCTATAACAGAAGCAGCAGCCAGTGGAATTCCACAGGTGCCAGAGGTGAAAGACCCTGATGTTTCAGTACAGTCTACTAAACAGGCAGGAGCTGGATTGTCTATTGCTGATGCTGCCAAGTCAGGCTTTCTCAAAGTACCTGCAGTTGGTGAGAATAAAGGTTAGTTTTAAGTTAATTGTTTTAATGCAGTGGATGCACTCTATCAGTTTTAAATCGTCAGACAAAAGAGGAATTTCATTTTAAGATGAGGATGTATGTAGTACCTAAGTGCCAACCGAGAACTCTGCCCTATCATGAGCCTCAATTCCTGGCACCCATCCACACTGAATAGATTATTGAATGCCGCTTCATGTTCTTTTGTTGCTACAGTTGATCTTGGTGCTCCTCCAAACGTTAATCTGTTTGCATCAGGGCCTGCTACCAACACACCAAATGCTTCATCAAGGTCGTCTTCTACAGGTTTGTGAAGAGGAAAATGTTTTGAACTGGGGAATGATACTCAAGTAAAACACAACCGCATAGTGAGAGAATTTAAAAAACTGCTGCAAGATTTACGTTTGGAACTCGTTAGACGTTAAATTCTGATAATGTTTATTTGCAAAAGATAACGGTACTCAAAATTGCAAAGCTCATGAATTATTAAATTGAGTGTAGCAAAGAAAACTTTAGCGGCTGTTTGGCTATCTGATCTTAGTGAGCTTAAATTTTATCAGTAATTTTGCTTATTTACAATTTATTTGAGGCGGAATACATATGAAACACTCAAGAATCACATCACATCTCTAAATGTCTTGAATGTTGTCAAAAGGACAAGCACTGCTGTGCACATTAAGTCTTAATCAATTAGTAAATGTTCAGGATTTTTAAGACACAAAGTGTGATTTTTATTAGATTATTTTAGACATTGTCTAGATAGAGGTAGTAATTTGAAAATGATGTAAAAATTCAAAGGGTAAAAAACTTTTTTGCTCCATTTTTGTACAGTCTGGGTGACACTATTAGCAGTCCCGAGTATTTTACCCGAGATCTCAAGCTGTTTATGATGTTTAGTTTTAATGTTGATGGATTTTGTTTTGCTCTGTCAACAGCAAATTCCGGCAGCTCGGGATTTTCCTTTACTGCACAACCTGGAGCACCATCGCCATTTAGTTTTGGGGCTGTACCACCGTCATCGTCAGCTGCCACCCCTGCTGCAGACTCCAGCTCTACAGCTTCCACCAGTAGCAAGCCCTTGGCAAATCCCTTAGCCCCAGGGGGGTCCAGCTTACCAACGTTTCAGTTTGGAGCAGCTTCTAGTTCTGCACCTGCCACGAAATCTGAAGCAGCTAAGACCACAGCTCTAACCCAGTCACCCTTTAGCTTTCCTGTAAATACTGCAGAACCAGTTAAAACAACGGCCTCTGCGCCGTTCGCATTCGTGCCAAATGCTGCACCTCCAGCAAATACTCCGGCAGGGTCTTTCAGTTTTGGCCCCAATCTTACGAACACGACAGGGACCCCTGTAGCAGGAGGTTTCCAGTTTGCAACGCCAAGTACTCAACCTTCAAGTGCTCTGAAGCCTGCTGCTCCATCAGTAACAACAGGATTATTCCAGTTTGGTGCTTCAAATACAACAGCAATGACAAGTTCAGCGACACAACCAGCAGCACCCTCATTTGGATTAACGTCCACATCAGTCAGTTCCAGTTCAGCCCCAGTGAAGCCATTTTCTTTTAGCAGTGGATCGACAGCGTCAAATTTTCCGTTCACTCCAACAAAACCCTCTGTACCTATCGGAGGTATTCAGCCCTCGTTCACTTTTGGGGGATCAACCCCAAAGCCGGAGGTAGCCTTCCCTGGATTTGGGACCTCGCAACCAACATCAAACCAACAAACAGCAGTAAGCTTTCCATGTGATGAATGAACAGCCTCCATTTTGGCATGAAAATAGGACCGGATATTTGTTCGCGGGTATTTTCTGCGGCGGGCATCATCTGCTCGAGCTTTGCTCTCGGAAAACTGTGATCTTGGAAGAACAGATAATGTCTAAGGACAAATATCCGTGCATATTTTCGCTCCAAGTGGAGGCTGTTGTGTTTATTACCCGTAAAGTATCTTTGCAACGCGCGGATAAAATGTTTTCGAACAATTAACTGTTTGCTGCGCGTGGAATTTACTTTTCGTTGTTTTCTGGTATTACTTTATAAAACAAACAAACGTGTCCCATGTTCTGTATCAATAGCCAAACAAACTCTCATCTTCAAATAAACTGAAACGAACGTTTTTTTCGTAGTGGACATAAGGTTTGAAAATTGGGGATATGTCCTCGGATATTCCTCAGTTTTAGCTGAGACATCTTCGATCACGTGGTGCATTTAGACCAATCGCGTGCGAGCAAAAATACTTGATGGATCAGACGCACTCTTAGTATGTACTAAAAATTGTGGTGAAGGCGCGCCAATATTGGCTGTTCAAACTCATAATATCCTTTGCATGTCACCTTCGCAGCTCGATAAATATTCACTACTAGCCTCTTTCACTTCGGCGAATAGTTGTAAAATATCATACTTTTCGAAAGTTGTGTATATTTTTTTGCTGTGTTTTCTTCCAGCCATTCATGTTTGGTGCTGCGTCATCCAATGCTCCACCTGCGTCAGAAGAAACCATGGAGGCCGATGGAAGCAGCAGCTCTAGCAATCTGTTTGGCTCAGCAGGTGCAGTATAGTTGAGACGATGGCGCTTAGGATACTGGGGTGCCTTGCAAAAGCTAATGATCTTATTGTCATCAATGTTATACCATTCATACCTTTTTTCCTCTGATAATCGCGTTGTTACATTATTATTGCAATGGCCTGTTATTTGTGACTCCGATTGGCCTATGTGATGAGGTCTAATTTATTAATATTAGTTTTATTTTCCGACCCGCCAGCCAGTACAGGAGGAACAACATTCGGTACAGCGGGCTCTAATCAAGGATTTGCCTTTGGAGCGCCAAGTGGTCCTTCCACAGGAGGGTTTAATTTTGGGGCCGCTCAGGTTGCCCCGGGACCAAACACCTTCGCGTTTGGAGCCAGTGGAGGAGGTGGTGGTCCCACATTTGGAGCCAGTGCTGGCCCATCGCTTGCTGGTAATTATTTTTAGCTAGTTTGACAATGAATATTCTTTTGGAAAAGTGAAAAAAAAAATTAATTTATGTTGTTTTTGTTTTGGTTTGCAGCTCCCATTCAAGGTGGATTCAACTTCGGCGCAGCAACGGCCAACAATAATGTAGGAGGCACTGGAGCATTCAATTTTGGAGCTCCATCAGGAGGCCCATTGTTTACCGCCGGAATTGCAGGAGATCCCAATAATATAGCTCAAAGAAAAATCAAGAAAGCTGTCAGACGCACCAAGCGCTGACCCCCGTCCCAGCACTGGGTTTACGAGACAAGACTGTTGTACACTTACCGAGTACAAACGTTACGGGGCTATCGTCTCTCTCTACCCGATGGTACAAGTTACGGGTACACAAACGTGACGCGAACTCACCCGAATTGTCGCGACGACGATAAAAACTGCGGACTGTTCAAACGAACACTCTGGAACGGCGACGTATTGTCGCAAGACGTTTGACGAAAACGCTAAACGGCGGCGTTTATTGGACGCCATCTTAGACGGACCAAACCAAGCGTGCCGGCTAGGATAAAAGTAGATTGGAAAGAAGAAAGAAGAAAGAACGAGCTCAGCTCAGGGAATGAATTTTAGAATTACTATGCTACCGCGACCACTTTATGAACAAAGTTTACGATATGACTCCACAGCACAGACCAAGGACATTTGTTAAAAATCTTCGTTTGTTTCATTTTTCGTTTTTTTCTTGATATATTTATATAAATATATATATATTTTGTGTCGTTGATAAATGTTTTGTGAATAACATTTTAGTAATTGCCTCTTATGTTAGCGTGGCTAGTTCTGCGAGAAAAAACCGAAGGAAAGTTTCCGTAGAAAGCGACTGTCACTAGCGAAGTAATGTCTCATGAAAGTGGAACGTAATTTTTATTTTGGTGGGGGGGGGGGGAGTTTTTTTTTTCTTCTTTGATTGATGAAGTGAGACGGGATTGTTTTTCTCAGTTTGAACGCAGGGAGAAAGTTTTTCTTGTAAACAATCTCTCTTCGTAATCCACGCCTAGTTCAGCCTGGCGCTTGATCCAAATTTTCGTTTAAGTGAATAGTTCAGAGTGTAATTTATAAGTGGCTTTTTAAAAATATTTTAAACGACTTTGCGTCAACTTTTTTTCACCAAGAGAGGATTTTTCTTCATAGGTCAAGGGAATTGGGATGGGATATCAAAAGGGGGTTACAAAGATAGAATTGAATGAGTACAAAGCGGTTTGGGCAATGAAGAGTGCTTGTAAATATTCTATAATCTATTTAAGTAATTTCTTTGTCGCGTGATCATCTAAGCTCTTGGTCGGCTTTTTTGTTTGGGTGGTGGTAGGGGAGGGGAGGGTAGATATGACTTTGCTCCTCGCATTGATTTTAATCGCTATTGTTTTTGAAAACGTAAACATTTGAATATTAAACATTAAACAAATTATGTCTCCCTGATGTGCATTTATAACTCTTTGTTTATCAACAACGAGAATCTGGGTTGTCCACGCGAGAGAAATTAGTTTTACTTCATCCTTTATTGAATCAGAATTTAACCGTCCACTCAGGCTACAATAATGTTCCAACAATTCAACCAATCATAGTTTTAGTATACGATTAGTACATGTCTCTTTGCTAGCTACTCTACACGTTTCTTGACAGTCAACAGGTTCTTTTGGCAAGTTCACAGATCTCATCCCGTCGAACACGCATCATGTCACCCTTAAAACAAAGATGAAGAAGTTAGTGACTGAGAATGCACGGACTTGTTTATTGGCTCTGTGAACTTGAGTAACCGGTTTTCCTTGGCAAGGTGGCTCATCTCTATTGAAATTAAACTCTAAGCTAAGAAAATTAACAAAACAAAAAAAATTTAGTTGGCTAAAATGTGTAGACGCGTTAGCTAAAAAGAGCGGTATTATACTGATTAAACATATCAGACTTGCGAATCTGCTTCCAAATACGATAGGCCTATTTCCGGTCTCTCCGTTCGACGTATTTTATATAAAAGAGTTAAAATTGCTTTCCTTAGCCAGACTAGGAATTTTGATCAAAATTTTAAATTCAATTGCTGTTTCTGTTTTTCTACTCGTTCACTTGACAGGGAATTAAAGTCATTTATTAATTAAAACTTACCATGGTGATAACAATAAAGTGTTTTCATAAGTGAACGGTACACTTATGATTAAGTAATTACCATTATAATCATCGTATTTTCATAATTGTAATTATTGAATTTTTAAAAGATAATGCAGAGTTTAAATGAAGTTACAGAACCTTGAGTGTGACAACCACCAACAACGTTCAACGTTAACCCTCCGTATATTCATTTAATTACCTCATCAGCTATTTGGATGCTTCTTGCTCTCAGGGGAAACTCACTAGACTCTTGCAAAACCTTGAGGATAAAATCATTCAGGACGTTTTTGTTTATCACAACGTTATTCTGAATTGTTAACCATCGTGTCCACTTTTAAAAAAAATTTGAAAACCCCGTCCGACATACAACTTCTCTGCAATAAACTATGACTGTTTTTTGGGGGGAATTAGGCGTGAATCTAAATACTCACACGAACTGACCGACTAGTCGTGATAGTCCCACGTAGAAACGTTAAAAAACACCTTCCTGAATCCTCGAGTGTCAGACAGTCAACATTGCAAACTCAGTAAAACCCCAGGGTGCGTCTTCTTGACATACGAATATTATTTCTTATGCTCTGAAATCATTTTCGTTTTTAAAGCTGTCATGACATTGACACTTAAATGGCTATCTCTTACAACTGAACTTCAGAACTTATTTTTAACAGCACAACCGTATATACAATGGCTCTCTCGCCCTCCAGTTTACCTTACGGGACTTGGATCTTTTACCCTCATTTGCTCCTCCGAATTGGAATCGACCACCGCCAAACGAGCTCTCGCTAACACTGACCATACTCGCAAGGAGAAGAAGAGTGAAAAGAAGCGCTTGAAGTTCGGTTTTCATTCTAACAGTTAATAGAAGCAAATGAGGAAATTGTTTTTCGAGTGGTGATATGCCTTAATGGTACAAAGAATGAGGGTGAATTTTGTCTTTCTAAAGTCTGTTTATATATAATTTACAAATGAAAGCGGTACTATCATGGCATTCTCAAGTAATGCATTATACTATTAATGGTGTTTATTGAAGTACAGATAAATACCTTTCCTGAGGGCGGTCTCTCCTTTAGTATTTACACAGTTAAAGATTATATCACAAGAGGCCCTGCGCATTATGTAAAACACATCAAACGTAGAGGAAAAGAAGAAAAGCGATATAATTGCAGGGGAAAAATTTAGACTAAAATAACATAAAACAATGTATAAAAGAAAACAGCACCCTTAAAAAACGTCAGGATAATCATAACGGCAGATGTTATTTTTAAAAGTTTATTGATCATCTCCAACGGTTCTTAAACTAATGTAAAGAGGAATTGACATTGTTTACTAATACTCTATTCTCGAGACCATTTTGTTTTAATAATTCCTGGGTTGTGCGATTAAGGGCAATTACTTTCACTTAAAAAAAAAGAACCCCAAACCCAGACATTTAACTCGTAAATAAAACCAAGAAATCGTGCAAAAGAAAAAGCACAAAATAACGATAAAAATTAAAAAAAAAGGCATGTATGAGCAAAACCACGACCCTGAAAAGTTATGTTTGAGATCAACTCTGTTTGCTTCAGCTGGTCTTCCATATGATGGAGGTTTAGAGCTCAAGGAAAACACGGATTTCCGGTCTTATCCGTCAACTGACAATTACAGCCCAGGAAATAACTGATTGCTAAATACATTGGGCCTGGAAAAATGGGATCAGTTTAGGAAACTGTAGTGCTGCGTCAGTGATGGGTATTGCAAGATAATTTGATTTCGTCAATTGAGTTGATAATGCAAAGTTTCCAAAGTTGATGTTTCGAGTGTTAGCCCTTCGTTGGCCCTTCGTCATTCACTCTCGCTGATAAAGGGCTAACGAAGAGCTAACGAAAAGCTAAAGCGCAGAACTAACGCTCGAAAGGTCAGTTTTGGTAACTCTTTACGCTTTGCTTATTTCCATTATCAACTCATGTGATAAAACCAATTTATCTAGAGATCATTGAGATGAGCTATGAGTCATTTGGCTTCCTTTGTATCTTCTAAACAAATTCACAATCACCGTTCACTTAAGGAATAGATTTTAAGAATTATACTTCATCTGCCCGCCTATGTACTTGAAGCAACCATTTCAGTATACCAAACCATTTGGGCTAAGTCACGCTTTATCAGATAATGTAAGTAATGATGTTTATTTTTTGTTAATGATAGCCCTCAGTTGAAATATATCACAATTAAACAAAGGCGATTCCGAGGAAAGTGAAGAACACTATCCTGGAGACTGAGGCTACGATAGGCTCGGGGAATTGATGCAAATCACTGGCTTTTTTTCGTTTTATCAGTTGTGCTTTTTCGGTTTTTTTGCCTGAAGTTTCTTAAAGTTTCAAGCCATTGTTATTTCAGTCAACCATGATACAGTAAAAACGCCGCTCAGGTTTTTCCTTGTTTTCTTTGCACAATGTAAAACCCTTATCATTATAAAAAAAACTGCTAAAAACGTTACTGATCTTGAATCCTCTCTCTTAAATCGCTGCTTGAAACTATAAAGAATAAAACGAGATTAAATAGTTTGATTTTTACTCGGCGTTAAACTAAAAGAATATTTTGAAACTTCGTGGCAACTTTCAGTGAGACTGCAGTGGCTGGAAAGTCCTTATCTTTGTCGTGAGTTTTCACGTTATTTCATTTAACGACACGGCTTCAAAAGAATTAATCCTGGAAAGAAATGTAAATTTTCAATTGATTGTTGAAACTTATTGGGGGATTACATCTGTTTTTCTCTCCACGCTCTGTGATTGGTCCAGATAACTAGCGCAAGACTTTCAACCAATCAGATGTAACCTAAAACCCACTGTGATTGGTTGCTCGCGTTTCCCGCGCCTCGCATTAGGGCAGCTTGCTCTTTTTTTACTTTATGTTCTCATTGGCTATAGTGTTATTTGCCTTTGCACTGATTGGCCGTTCGGGGAAATTTCGCTTTTTTAAAGGTTCAGGGGCCAAAATAAGACAAGAAATATGAAATACCCACCTCTTGCCCACCCCACCCCCCCCAAATTGGTAACATTTTTGTGGTTCCCATAAGGACAGAGTTAGCTTTATTAGCTAAAATAAGACTCACTTATCCCCCGCCTAAAATTTTTTGTGTTCCCAAGAGGACAGAGTTAGCTTTATTGGCTAAAATAAGACTCACTTGTACGCGGCTTGAACTTTTGTTGTTCCCATGTAGACAGAGTTAGCTTTGTTGGCTAAAATAAGTCTCCCTTATACCCGGCTTGAATGTTATTGTCATAAGAAAACCGTGGAAAGAGAGAAAAAAAGGAAATATTGTGTAATAAGCACAAACCACATTGAAGCTTTTGCGGAGTTACTTTTAATTTGACATAGCTGACATGTTTGCAAAACATGAACTAATACATTGAATGATTATATTTTATGCAGCTTTATATATTTATTGATCATACTTTACTTTACTAATTGTCCTTTTTGCGGTTGTATATATTTATTGAAAGAATCATTTTTTTTCTTTAACATCAGCAGTTTCGGCGTCTAGCCAACTCGCATAGTTCCTCTCCTCGAATATGCATCATTTCGTCCTAAAAGAATAAAACATTCATCATTGTTGGATGTTTAGCAAGCTCATAAAACCATCTCAAACGTGCACTAACAACAACAACAAAATTTATTTACCTTAGTAGTTAAAATACATATCATGAACAATCCCTACCCACAAAATAGTTCGGATCTTGCTTAAACACTGCCCGGACGATGTAATAATGAGATAGGCAGCTACAGGGTGATTAAGGATTGCAAAGACCACATCTGATTCAATTACAATCGAGAAAGTTAGACTACCTTTTGAGCGAGGCGGTGATTTCTTGCTGCAAACGGCAAAACGGTGTCTTCGGCAGGACCCTTCAGAAAGAGTATAGTTAAATATAGTTACTTAGTATCCTTTTAGTCATCTGATTTCTAACGAATTATTGCAGGCATATAACAGCATCGACATTTTGTAATGTATTATCGTAGGAGTCAATAAATATTAAAAAATGAAACAATAAGTGAAAGTAATCTCTGTGCTATATCTTATACCTCATCCTTTTTAAGCATCGATCTTTTCCGACCGACTTCCCCGTTTCCTAAAAAACTTTATCCCTCGCCAATTATTGTCGCGACTAAAACCAGAGCGAAAAACAGCGCTCGAAGTTTGGCGTTCATTATACTACAGTTGCAGAGGGAATGACTGAAAACGTCTTAAGTTAGTTATGATATTTAGCAATTTTATGATCTGATTATATATAAAGTTCTGAATTGAAATCTAATACCCTTGTCTATGGCGAAGTCTTTAAATATTATATGCACTGATTCTAACTATTAATTAAAAGCTCTTGCGATCTCCATATCCTTATTTATCGATAAAACAAGTGGAAGATGATAAGGAAATTTCCCTTTAGAGGTTAGGTTTTGTGCGATTCTCCTGATTATTCCAAGTTAGTTTGCCTCAAAAATGCAAGTCCGAAAAAATTTGTCAGAAAAAAAAAACCGGTATCAAACATTTAAGCAATAGAGAAGCTTTTCCAGCGAAGTTCTTCTTCTTTTTCGTTTTTTTTTAATTGGGTGGAAGGGAAAGAGATACGTAAATCCCAAGTCAAAATTTGGCAAACATTCCGCCTTTTCTATTATCTGTTATTTATTTGTACTTGAACTTACTTTGCGAGTATTGTAAAAGCTATGAGTGTGCAAATTGTGTTGGCAAACACAACAAGCGTGACGTTAAAATATGCACTCTCGTCTAAACTCATCTGTTGACTAATGAAAGCGCGCGTATACCATCTCAATTAATTTATAAAGGATAGCGTTTGAGTATTACAACATTACAAATCAGGGTAAAAAGATCACGCTGAAAACTTGCGCTCTGAAAACATCTAAAATTACGGCAGATATTATCTAGAAAGTCAAGGCCAT